GACCATAAATTGATAAAATCAAATTAGAAGAGATAAATAATTAATATAGTTGATACTATGATTAAATTGAGAGTAGGATTGGACTAAAAAATCCTTAAGATAGGTTAGATTGCTACTCGAGGGTAGATCGTTTGTGAGACGATGTCAAAATTAGACCTCTGGCCACTAAAATGACTACTTAAGACAAAATAGGATTCCATTTGAAGATTGAAGATTAGAATTTGAGAGCTAGGTTAGAACTTATTCCAAAGACGCAAGGTTGCTTTTGGTAGGATTTATTAGAATTTAGCAATTGTTATTGAAAGTCAGAGTTTTTATTAGCAACTTGGGATTTATGTAATAAAATTAGGGCTAGCACTCTTGGCTAGTTCGTAAAATTGGTATTACATATATAGTTCAAATTTTGATAGTGCTTGGTTAATTAGGTTTTTTAAGTGTATGAAAAAATTTGTGATAATCCAATGGTGCAATTGAGAGATATCTAAATTTTGATACAAGAATATACCAAAAATTGGTAATTTGGTATTGGGTAGGATTTCTATGATATCTACAGAGCTATCAGTCAGATCAAGGTAAATTTTTGCACAGTGTTGGAAGACTTAAAGATCAAGCTATATACCAATTTTGAGTTAAAATTAATAGTTGGAGAAGGAAAAATCACTGCTAGAACTTCTATATCATCTTTTAAGTTGGCAGCCAAATGACATTAGTGCAATTTTTTGAGGTTTTTTCACAATCCGTAAGTTGAATTAGGCTGAAATTTCTTAAGCATGTAGATAACTTATAATGACAATAGTATGCAAAATTTCACATCAATGGATGGTTAAATTAGAAGCTACAGCTTATCAAAGCTCACTAATAAGAGTTAGAGCTTATAAGAAAAATCTAAATTGCTTAAACATGAAAGTAACAAGATAATTGGGCTGTATGTATAATTGAGACTACTAAGAAGAGTGTTTTTTAGTAATTTTGAATTAAAATTTTGATTATATTCTTCTTGTATGGGTGAAACCTATTAGAGTTTTTTAGATAGTTGTGAAATATAATTTCGTCTTCTACAACTAGATGCCCAATGTATTTTCTAATAAGACAACACATAATATGACATCGTTTCACCAAAATGGTGCTATTTGTACTATGTACAAAATCTATCACAGGTGAAAGTATAGCTAAACTCTTCCTTGATAATATCTATCACTATCATGGATTACGAAAGGATATTATATCAGAGAGAAGAACCCAATTTTTATCAAGATTTTGGAGAAATCTTTTGAAGATATTGAAGGTGGATATAAAATTATCTTTGGCTTTCCACCTTCAAATTGATCGACAAACAGAATAAATAAATCATGTTTTTTAGCAATATTTGAGATGTACCATCAACTATCAATAAGATGATCAAAAAAATCTTTTCCCATTGGAAAATTTTGCTTATAATAATTTGGTACATTCTTCTAGTCAAGAAATACCTTTCTTTGCCAATTACAGTTATCATCCACAATTTGACACTTTTGACTTTTCAAAAGTTGATAATCATGTGGTGGAAGATGTGGCAAATCGATTATCAGAGCTACATACAACAATGAAGGCACAATTAAAAGAAGCTCAAGAATGATAAAAAGCCAATGCAGATGTCTATCGCAAGGAACAATCTCAATTCTATGTAAGGGATAAGGTATGGTTACTTCATTGCAATATTAAAACTATTCATCTTTGTGACAAGCTAAATTATTGTAGGCTTGGATCATTTTCTATTTGTGAATAGATCAATCGAGTTGTTTATCGATTATATTTACCAGAGTCTATGAAAATCCATCCTATGTTCCATGTGTCTTTACTTAAGCTATATAATACAATGGATATATTAGAAAAGAAAAAAATGCCACCACCTCTTATAGAAGTAGACAATAATAAAAAATTTAAGGTAGAAGAAGTCTTAGATTTAAGGTGGCACCAAAATAGGTTAGAATATATGGTATATTGGCATGGATATGACATTAATGAATGCACATGGGAGCCATCTAGGAATCTAGCAAATGCATCAATCAAAGTTAAAGCTTTTCATCAATGATATCCATCAAAACCAAGATAAAGAATTAAGAAATTCTTTGCTATAAAGCAAAGTAAGCCCAATGGAGATTTCATTCTATCTTGTATCATTATTTCTTTGGATTTTTTAGTACTTAAGAGATGAAGAACCAACAACCAATAGATTCAGCTCAAGAGCTATCATTTGCTGAGATACCAAACAAGACATTGTGACTATCACAACCTTTGAGATGGCAAAATTGAGATGAAGATCTTCAAGAATGACATGTTTTTCCTTGAATAAATGGCAAGATACAATGCATTTAGTACTACTACTTTAGAAGGAACTCCCAGTGTTTAGTGATACTTTTAGAAGTAGTAACCACTACTAATGGTATTATTAATGTTTTGTTTGAAGGAAGTTATGAAGGCTTCAATAATGATCAAATATCAAGGTGGTCTTCTTACTCTAATATGGGACATTATCGATGGTTGAAGGGACCTATCAACTACCTTCGAAGGGAACAAAGATCAGAGTACGTGACAAATATAATTTGGCACATCTTAGATTTTATCAACATGTAATCACTGCTCCTCATGGAACTTGTCCCTAAATGAGGGAGTAATGTCACGGACATACATATTTATCGTGATAATTAATTAGATAATGAGAATAGGTAGAAATAAGTCAAAGTAGATAAATATGATAATATCTTATTGAAAGCTAATTTGAGGTCTTAAATTTTTATAAAATTTATTTAATATTTATTCTATATTTTTTTAAGATTTATTTAAGATTCTATTTATATTTTATTAGGATTTTTTAGAATTTACTTAGAATTTAATTAAAATTTGATTAAAATTTATTAGATTTCATTTATGATTTTTTTATGACTTGATTATAATTTTTTAGAATTTGCAGAAACTTTTCTTAAGATTTGATTAGATTTCAATCATAATTTAGATAAGATTTTTTAAAAATGGGCTAATATTTGGTTAAGATTTCTTTGTGATTTCTTTAGGATTTATTGAAGATTACTTTAAGCTTTTATTAGGATTATTAAGGATTATTCAAGATTTATTTGAAGCTAATTAAAGTATGATAAAAAATTCTAGGAGTTTTTTAAGCTTGAAAAGGTGTACTCAATATGATTAGAAGCTTAGTTAAATTATTCAAGATTACCAAAAAATGTTTTTAAACACCATGTATATTTTTTTTTTTTAAGTTGTAAATCAAAATTCGAGGTAAGCTCAAATCCTTTTAGAACTAAATGCCTAATACATTCTCAAAATAATTTTTATATAATGCAACAGTGTATTACTATACCACTTGAAAAATATGTCATTTATTTTTTTTGTCTTGCATGCATTCTTTTCTTTTAGTCACTATATGGCTAAGTCTTATAGTGATATAATTCATTTTGAGTTATTTTATTTTAATAGACTCTAATGCCATAATGAAGTAGTTATAAATTCTAATAAGTTCATAAGTAGAGTTATGACAATATCTACATTTTCTATTGACTTGTCTAAAATTGCTAGCTCGTTTGTAAATGCCTTTATCTTATTTATATGTATTATGAGGTCTTCACCTTCTTCCATCTTATAAGTGAGGAATTTTTTCATTGTATAGAGAATGTTAGATAAGTTCTTGCTTTTGAAGATATTGTAAATGGTATTACATGCTTTTCTTAGTTCTTTTTAAGCAATAATGTACAAAAAGTTGGCTTTTTCAATATTAGTTGTAATAAAAAAGATCAAGAGAAAGAATCCTTAAACTCTCAAAATTAGTAAGAAGGTGTTATTATCTCAAAATCCCAAAATACCTTCTTTGTAAAGAAATTATTATTTTTTCTCTCAAAATACTCTCAAATTCACTTTTGAGATTTTTTACATACTTTTTGAATAATATAAACATCACAAATCAAATTTACCACCTTTTAAATCACTTCTATACTTAGAAATCATCTCTTAATACTATAAAAAGTCTTTTTAACACTTTAAGTATGTTTAATACTTTAAATCACAAAGGTAGTCCACTTAAGATCTAATCCAAGAAAAAAACACATTATAAGTATTCTAAAACATCTCTTTTAGATAAAATGCAAATACTAAAGTCAAAATGCACTTAATTACAAATAAGTATAAACCTAAAACAAGATTTGAAAGTTAAGAGATTCAAAAAATTAACATCAGCAACCATAAGATAATCTATTTTTTACAACAACAAAGATTTTAAAATCTTCAAAAATTACAAGCAAATGTAAGTGGATCCATAACTTATTGAAAAAAAAATATATATGAAGTCTCAATACTTAGCATTAACAAGGTTGTATATAAAAAAAAAATATAGAATAAGGTGACTCTTATTTCCAACACCATTTACTTATAGGAGGGGAATTACATTTGATGTAGATCAAATTCCCTATAATTTTCTTAATCTTATTTTGTTTCATCCAACCTATCCTAAATTTTTCCTAACCACTATTAAAAATCCTAATTATCACCTTAATAACTTGTTCTAAGCCTTTGCTGCCTTTTAATCATTAGCAACTTATTAAAGTTAAACTTTAAATAATGGTAACTTATCTTAGATTTGTCATTCCTCAACAAAGTTATGGTAGTAGTAGCAAAAATTGTGGTGGCATTAGCAATACCTTTGAAGGACAACTTGTGGTGGCATTAGCAATACCTTTGAAGGACAACTTATGGTGGCATTAGCAAAAACTATGGTAAATGACAAATTAAAGAACAACTTATGATGGCATTAACAAAAACTATGATAAATGACAAATTGGGATGGAGTAACTATGATAAATGGCAAATTGGTGTGGCATTAACAACACCCTAAGTAAAACCCTACACTGGTGGATGTGTTCGAATACTGGTGGACGCATGGGGATAGGAGCACATCGAATACGAGGCCACCGTCGACATGTTTCTGGTGGTCAACAAAGAGCCGCACCATTTCCACAGTTGTAATGCTGGAAGCTGTGTGCTCGATAGATTAAGGTCTACGGCGACAGCTCCGATCCCTTCGAAGCATCAACTGGAACTTGGACCGCTGCATATTAATTTTTCGAGTTGAAACGGACAGAATAGTTTGAATGTGCTTCAGAATATTAAAGCTATATCTGCGCTGTATCTCTCTCGGGTATCCACTTTTGTCTCTTAATTCTCAACACCTCCGTTGTGTTTGATGACTCTCTCAGGACGGTAGTAAGGGTACGATATTCTAAATGCAGTATTAGCAACCCTAATTAGGTCTTGCAGTGTAATATGTTACGAATGGCGTGTAATTCGAACAACTAGCCAACTGCATAAGATCTGTCGGTGTCAAATACATCGGAAAGCGAGCGTGTAATTGAGCGACGCTTGGAAGAAATGTCATCAGGCTCCACATGCCGATGTGCTCTAATATCGTCCTAAAGAATGCAAGTGACGGATGGGCGATTCCTTCAAGAAGAAGATTCGTTTCCAAAGATTTTGCTGATACAATCGCTCATGAGTAGTTCCCAAATGTATTGAGAAAGGTGACGAAGTATAGAAATTTTGCATCCGAACATGCACACCTTGTTATCAAAACCACGGCAATTTTACAGGACCTGCAAGTGTGAACGCATTGCGCCGGATGAAAACCTCACTCGGAGTATCACGGAAATAGCAACGACGTCGCAGGTGGGGTGAGATTGCTGCAGGAAAATTCACTCGAGCGAATTTCATGCGAATGCCGCCACTTTTAGAGCAGAGCTGAGTGTGAGAGCCAGATCCTGTGGTATCTTGCAAGGTTGGAATTACGCGATCTCTGGGAGCGTGATTACGTTCCGCAGCTTGAGGAAGAGGCAAAGTTGGAGAGCGAGAGAGAGAGAGAGAGAGGGACATAAAGAGGGATTTTACATTATTGGGGTTACGTATAAGCTGGCGGGGTTGCACTCTCCTTTGAGTCCTGCTCTTGCTGCTTCTCCCCCCCACCATGCCGTCACCTCGTTTCCTGTCCGCTGCTATGCGGATCAAGACTGTCTCTCCTACCACAGAAGAGGTATTGAAGTTGCAATTTTCTTTTTTATGTGAGGAATTTTAGGCTTTTGTCGATTACGGGATTTGTGAAACTGGTGGTGCAAACGATTTCGTTTCACGATTGCATGAATTTGAGTTGTAATTTTATCTAGATGGAAAAAACTTTCTGCAAAAGTTGTGAATGTCTCCAATAGTGCAGGATCAACGTGTAAAAAATTGTGTGTTCTCAAGCGGCATTTCGAGACATTGTTACGAAGCTTCTTGTGTTTCCTAAACACTAATGTGTTCCATGGCCATTTTCTGGTAGGGCTTTTCTTAAGAACGTAGGCTACTTGCTGGTGGGATTCTCATGTCGAAGAGAGAAATATTCAGTGGATTGGATTGTTAATAAATATTTCTGTAGATTCACAAGATTGGTCACCGTTGATCGAGGTAGAGACGTCTCTTGGTATTTCGGGTCAAGACTTGCCGTGAGAATTACCCATTTGACGGTATTGGAGAGGGTTTTGTTGTATGGTTGTGATAATGGTTCGAATTTCAGTAATTGTAAAACTACGCAGATCATTGCTCAAATCTGTGATTCATGGGAGCTGAGCAGTTTTTCGGGTCTGTACACGAAAGCTGACTTGCTAAGCATCAGTTTTCACAGGAAATCATCTAAGTTTCGAGTTTTTTTTGTTTTTGCTTTTTCAATGTGCTAAACCTTGAAACTTGATTGCAGGTTTTAGTCGAAGAAAGCTTTGCTGCGAAAGCTGCCATTTTGAATAGACCCAGGAAATTAAATTCCTTAAACGAAAACATGGTAAAGGCTATGTTCTCTCGCCTGGTGTATTCTGCTTTAAACTAGTCAGATTGAGCGTTTTAGCAATAGTCAGGCTGGAGTAGTTTGTGAATGTATCAACCATTACCGAAGGTCTAACCTGTCAATTTTGAAGATGCTCACCTTAGTTTGTTACCTATCAGATTGATCGCTTGTTGGAGCTTTACATGAAATGGGAAAAAGACGAGCGTGTTCGCATGGTTATTATTGCAGTGAGTTATAATTTTTCTCTTTGCCTTATTCTATGGGTTATTTTACTTTTACTTTTTACTTTTTTCATTTTTAAAAATCACGGGAATTCAAGGAGTCAAATTTAAATCACTTTGGTGACAAAAAATTCGTATTTGACGTCGTGTGAAGAACTCCGGTCACCTATTAGCAGGTGCACAACGAGCGTACGGGCAAGTGTCATAAAAAAGTTAATTTTTTTGCAATTTTTGGTCATAATCGATTCAAGGGAGAAAATGTTATTGAGGTGAGGAGTAGAGAGGCAATTCGTCATATACTATCACTTTGTTCACTTTGGTGTAGAAGCATATTTGTAAAGTGCAAAATTTGAAACTCTACACGATTGCAACTGACTTGAGTGAGTTATGTTGTCAAGGGTGCAGGGCGGGGCTTCTGTGCAGGGGGTGATGTAGCAGTAGTATATCTTCTCGGCAAATCAGGTTGATGTGCAGAATCCTTGCTTAACCATTTCGGGCTATTCAAAGTATAAAGTCATAAAATCAAAATGCTGTGCTTAATGAGTCAAGTTGTGCTCGCATTTACGCTGCAAGATGAAACCAAGGTGAGCGTGATTCTGAACTTGTGGCATGGCACATTCAGGTGATAAAGATCGCGGTAATACTTTTTTTGGCAAGGAGTTTCGACTCAATTATATTCTAGGAACCTACGAGAAAACTCATGTATGTGTATGGAAAATACTGTCAATGTTTTTTTATTGCGTGAGCAATGGATTTGTTTTGAGATTTGCAAGTCAAGTTGCATAAGTCTGTTTCACCAGCTATTTTTATGATTTAGAAATCTGTTATTTCCAGTATTGATAACTCTGAAATGAAAGAATTGCAGGTGGCGCTACTCGATGGGGTAGTAATGGGTGGGGGTAATGGTGTTTCTATGCATGGAAAGTTCCGAATTGCAACAGAGAACACTGTGAGTTCATGCCTTAAGTGATGGTCCTATTTTCCCTTCTGTCTTAAAAATTGCGTGTTCTTTTTTAGGAGATCGTGGATTTTTAATATTGTCTTTTGTTATGTATGTTTTTTCCTGACGGTTTTGAAGTACAGCATAAATCATATGTATGATTGCTGATTGTTGGGCATCACATTCAGAAATTTGCCATGCCAGAGACTGCCATAGGGCTTCATCCTGATATTGGGGCGTCGTATTTCCTTTCAAGGTTACCTGGTCATCTAGGTAATATCTTTATTGTGCGCTTGTTCTTGGCGAAATCCTGGTAATGATTGTGCTCTATAATGATCCAGGACTTAGTGGTCCGCCTTGATAGAGAATTTCGTATGTTTAATAACACGTGTTTAGTGCATTTCAGCTTCCTTTATGCATGAAATTCAGATTCTTGAACTTTTTATTTGAACTGTACCAGATCTTATGACTTTCGAAGCATATTATAGCCAGGTGTGTAGATTTTGTATGTTGAACTTAATGATGTGGGTTTTGAGGGTATGTCAGGTGAATACTTAGGCCTTACAGGGACTCGTCTTGATGGAGCAGACTTGCTTTCGTGTGGTCTTGTCACACACTTTGTGCCCTCTAAGGTGACCCGTCTTAGAACGATCAATTGTAAATGGACTTAATTTCAGCATGAGGAACATCGTTGTTAGTAAAATTGAAATATATTGATAGTTGTACCCTGCATTTTTATACCTGGTGGTCTTGGAGATGTCTTTGGTCAGACATCATTTTAAGTTTTTCTCAAGTAACCTCGAGCCGGCGGTTAGTGAGAGGAATTGAAGTCTAGTTAGTCCCAACCCCGACAACTTTCGTCTCGTTTTATTTCATTCCTCTTTGTGACCTTCCCAACTCTTTCGATTTTTGAGGTAGTATACTCAAAATAGTCTAAACTGCATCTTGATCACAGCGGCTAGATGATCTGGTGGACCGGCTCGGTAATCTAAACTCTGGGGATCCAGATGTTGTAAGCTCTGCTATTGACGAATTTTGTGATGTTGTTTGCCCCGGAGATAAGAGCCCTTTGCACCGGTATGCAGTAATCTGTGAATTGATATGATTTGCACATCTATCTTTATAAATAGGCACATAATTAGAAATATATTGTTCGCGTTTCTAGAATTTTGGATAATGTCATCAGGTTTATGTTGTTTTTGTTTTGATGTGAAGAAGGGACGCCATAGATAGATGTTTTGGACATGATACGGTGGAAGAGATCGTACAGGCTCTGGTAAGTCGAATTCTTTGCATAACATTTATCGAAATCTTGTTGCATTTTAGAAAAGTTAGATTTTTCACATTTTTATTCATCTATTTGAATCAAGCACACTTAACTTGATGCCACCTGATGTTCTATTTAGATTTTTAGCTGCTTACATGACCTCCTGAATGAACTAGCTATGGCAATAGGGATTTGATAATTCCTGTCTAATGCAACTTGCAGGAGATCCAAGCGGGGAGGTCTGAAGATGAGTGGTATACGAACACATTGGCTTTATTGAAGAAAATGTCTCCCATCAGTCTGAAAGTAGCATTAAGATCTGTAAGACCAGTGTTCTAGTTCAGCTTAAACCTCCGTTCTGAGGTCTTTTATTCTCTTGAGCATTAGGCATACAAGACTAATCTGAGTAACACAATAAAACTTGTCATCTGTGGTCCATTTCCATATGAGTTAATGACCCTTCTTAACTTGACCTCATTTGCTCGGTGGCCTTTTTACAAATATGCCTCAGATCCGAGAAGGTAGACAACAAAGTCTGTTTCAATGTCTAGAGAGTGATTATCGACTCGTTGTGCACGCTGTTAACGCGACGCACTCCACAGACTTTTATGAGGTAAGCTCTCTTTTACTAATTAGCGGCTGGAATTCTCGAGAATTTGACAGTATTGGTGATATAGTTGGCTATATGGTAGTCTGATTTTATGTTTGCTTCATTTCTTGGAGGAAAAGCTTGTCCATTTCTGCATGTGGTTCATGAGCTTACTTGCTTCTAATTTCTACGACAGGGTTGCCGAGCTCTTCTGGTGGACAAAGATAACAAGCCTAAGGTATTCCTCTGCTGTTGTTTTCCTAGTAAGAAATTAAAGAACTTGAATTAGTCGGTGTATTGATTCTGTACATGGATGTGGAATGGGTAACCTGGTGCTTCATCTTTTGATGATCAGGTGAATTCAATGCTGAAAACAAAATCACAGCATTGAGTTTGTTTGTTTTTGTTCAGTGTCTACAAAACAATTGTTCACATTTCTGCTTGGCGCTTCAGCGTTTCGCATAAGTGCAAGAATGGCACATGTAGCTTGTTTTCTTGCATAGATTACCATGTTCTTTGCTTTTGTTGTCACCTTACGAACGATGTATACGTCAATAAGGATCTAGTTGGTTTCTTCGAAATCAGCACAGTCTGTTTTGTGAAGTAAGAATTTTTCCTTGAATGCTTGTCACTGGATCTTTTCATGGTGACCAATGATCATGTTTCTGCAGTGGAGTCCCCCAACTTTGGCCGAGGTTACTAAAGAAATGGTGGACGACATTTTTGGACCATTTCATCGAGGGGAGAAAGTTTCCGAGCTTCTAGTTCAAGACCGTGAACGCAACTCACGATCTCTTTCTCGACTCTGATGCATTTCGACAGTTACATTCGTGAATGTGATTGATGACATTGCCGAATTGCTCATTGGGGGAATTGATTTCGGTGGACTGGGAATCTTCAACGCATGCTAAGAATTTGCAATCATCTTTTGAATAAAGATTTTCTCACTATTTGAATGTTATTCAGGTTCTCAAATGTGTATAATTGTAATTCTACAGTAGTTTTAACACGATTGAAAGTTCAATGTTTATGGTAGCAAAAACACACCTAAACGACAGTGCTTGAAACTGACAACCTCGAAGCTAGAGATATAGGACTAGGACTGAAGGTAGCATTGCAGCGTCGGGGTTAAAGTGTGAAGCGCGAACACAAAGAACGGTAAATATGGGCAGATTTATTGCAGATTTTTGGCAGGTTCACGAATCTCTGAAGACTCAAACGGTTTCACAAAACTCATGGATGCGCCCACCTCTTTGCAAGCGCAAGTTCCCCCAAAATTGAAACCATAATCTGTTGGGTTGTTCCCCGACGAAGATAGTATCCTGGTTCACATACACGAACAATATTCTATCAAGAGAAATTCTCAAACGGAGGAAAACTCAAATTGGAAGAAGTGATTTTCAGAGACCACCATGACCACCACCACTGATCTCTTTGTCAGTGCGTAGCTGTGAAGACACACTGACTCCAGTTCTTCTCACCACTCGCAGATGCTTGGTGAAGCATGAAAGACTGCTGCATCGGCGCTAACTTCCTGCAGACATGCCTCCCTGATTGTAGCGATTTTCTGTTGCGTTTCTGTTCGGCCTCCCTATGATGAATACAATAAATATCAATTGTTGAGTTTTGTAACAAAGAGTGTTTATTTTTATTCACTTTTATCTTGCAATATATTTTGCAGGTTATAGAGACAATATTTGTGGTTAAGAAATATGTATTATTTTAATTAATTAATTTATTATTGATATTTTAGAATGTATGTTTTATTTTATTTTTTCAGTTGTTATTATCATTGTAAATATAATAAGCATGTCTTCTTGGAAATTTTTGGAATAGCTCAAAAAATAAGTTAGAATAATGATAATGATAATAATAATAATAACAACAACACAACATTGTTTATGTAATTCTAGTAAAATCTCTTGGACTCTTTGTTTGCTTGTTTGTTTTTTTTTTTTTTATACATATCTTACTTCAGCAAAAAAAAATTGTCATGTTTATTATTCATTACTATACAACATTATTACCAAGTTCCTATAGGTGTTTGCATATAAATTTTTGATTAATAAACATTGAGTTATAACTTATAATTTTTGTATATATTTTTATTAGATTTGAAAGGAAGTTTTATTTATATTTATAATCTAATAGATATTCTGTCAAAAAAATATCAAAATATTCGTCATCATATCAAATAGTCAACCAAAAGAATGTGTCACCAAATCATAAAAAAAACATATTAAAATTTTCAAATATATTATTTAGTTTTTCTAATTTTTATCTATATCAATATTGTAGATACTAAGATTTATTTTTATTTGTATTTGTATTATTTTTGTATAAACTGATGTTTATAATGTATAAATTTGATAAAGATGACTACAATTTTTATAACCATACAACAAATCAAAGCATCAAATATCTACTACTTTTCAATGCATGTGCCTTTTTTTGTAAATTAATTGAATATTCGAAATTTTTCTCTATTAGTTTAGAAGCTTCTATGGTTTTTTATAGTTATCTTAAATTTTTTATAAATATTTATAAGTATCTATAAGAGATTCTTTAAACTTCTAAAATATTTCATTGTACTTAAAACCTTATCTAAAAGAACTTACAAATTTGAAAATACTTAGTTGTCATAATACAAATAAGAGCATTCATCTAAGAGAACTTTATCTCTCTAACATGGATTTTGGAGCCATTGAAGTAGTACCTTGTTTTTTCATACACTTATGACAAATATGCTAAAATATTTAAGTTATTGGAAATGGGTTGGCTGCCTAACTTGCACTTGCAATATGGGCCTTCTATGGCTTCATGACTTACACTTTGTTGATTATTAGGCAAGTGTTGATTATTGGGCAACAACCATTTTTATATAAATCTCTATATAAAACACATAAGTAAATAACTTAGCACAATTTTTTCTTTCTTATGATTAAACTTTAGGAGTTGTTTCTTGAACAAAATTAACTAATTTTTTGCATATCGTCTGTAACAATAGCACAAGTTCAACTAGTATGTATGTATGTATATATATATATATATATATATATGCCAAAGATAGCACAAGTTCAACTAGTATGTATGTATATATGTATGTGTGTATATACATATATATATATATATATATATATATGCCAAAGATAGCACAAGTTCAACTAGTATGTATGTATGTATATATATATATATATATATATGCCAAAGATATGCTATGATAGATAGGAATAAGATGATCTAGACTCACATTTATTCCTTGATTATTTACTTTCTTACCAACGTGTAATAGATTCTTTAAAGTAAAAGGTTGGATCGTAACATTGTTCAATGGATGGATGGATGGATGAGCGAGGGTTCCATCAGACCCAGCCTCCATTTTGACCTCCTCGCGTGGCCATCGTCTCGCCTTACTTTCCACCTAATATTCTCGAGCAAGGTTCTCTTCGGACGTTCCCCAGTTGCGATATCGTCGTTGACTTAGCGAACGCGCTTTGGGAACAGCTAGTTGCCCACGCCCTATCGCAGTGATCGCCGCAACCGATTGTCGGTAGACTGCAACGCGCAATTCGAGATCCAGGGCGAAGACCCCATCTTCATCCCGACGGCCGGAGCCAAGAGGGGGTCTTGGTGGACTTCCTCCCTCTCTCCCCGATCTTGCAGACGCAAGTCAACCTCAACTAGTTGGGAGCTCTCTCGCCTTTTTCTCCTACCGCGCGCCCAAACTTGGTCTGAAAGCACACCACGATGTTTCTAGCCATGCATTTCGGCCCCGCACACCGATTATCTGCCGGTTTTGCTCGCATTGTTTAGTCTTCCATCGTTGCATCTCTTCAGTGCAATATGTCAGTCTCTTCAGATCGGATTCTAGACCAAGTTTCTCCTCTCGGTTGACCGTATTTCTGGTTCGAATGTGAAGCGGGAGGATTGACTGTGCGTGGGGGGAGGTTTCCGTCAGGAATTGTCGGTGATGATGTTGTTGTAATTCGATGGAGTTTTAACACAACTTACTAAAGTCATTTTGTTGAGCATTTTGCTATGAGTGTTGATGCGGATACTGTTGTGGATTGGATTTGTGAGGGGGAGGGGGAGGAGTGTGTGGCAGTGTGTGCGTCGTTGTAGCGGGTGTATGAGAGCTTCGTCGATCGAGAGGATGAGGTTTGAGATTAGGAATCGGAAAAGTCGATTGTGAAGTGTAGGTGAAAGTATTTTGGGAAGCAGGTGGATTTGACACAGTGATGGCGCCGCACTCGCACGTGCCGCACCTCGAGCGAAGGCGGGTGGTTGGGCGATGGGAGGAGCTAGTTTCGAAGGCGATTGATGCAAAGGGAAAGCGACCTTTTCTAAGGTTATCCCGTGGAGAGTACGAGGATACGGTAGTGCCACAATTCTTGCAGGAGCAGAACAATAAGATATCCGACATATTACAAACGGCTCATGATGTGGAGAACGATTATCCAATTGTCGCGCGTATCTGTACGTGGAACTATCAACTCCCCCCCCCCTTTTAATACTGATTCAATGCACGCCCTAGTACACGCTTTTGTACTCTGTCCAATTTGACGCTGCAACGCTTATTCCTGTCATAGAGAAGTTTTTTTTTTTTTTCTTTTTCTTTTTTTCGACTACAGCCGGCTCTTTGCTTACCACTTTCGACACTGTAAGGACTTCATATCTCAATATTTTTCAGTTGACTGAAGCAAGTAAGCAATAAGGTGGATTGCGAAGTGTAGTTATGGATTTTATTATCATCTAGCTTTGTAGTTGAAGGCGCCTGAGTTCAAGGTTGTATCATCTTTTTGATATCATTCATACATTTGTAATTAAGAGTATGCAACTTAAGCTTCATCTTCTTTTTCTTCTTCTCCTCCATATTCACATATAAAAAGTGTAGTTCAAATTATTCTTATGTAATATTTTCTTGTTTGCAACAGTATTTGAGTATGCTTACGACTTATCGCAAAAAATGGATCCAAAGAGTGAATCCAGGGGAGTGTTGCAGTTCAAGACGGGATTGCTAAAGGCTATCAAGGTAAAGCATGGAATGTTTAGTTTGGATGAGTGATTTTTGTTAAGCAGACTTAATATTGATTTGACCTCTGAAAACCTTGAATTGATGCTGGTGTTTAGATTTCATCAGCATGAACCACTTGTGATGCTCACGTTTCCGTTCATTCTGTACTTTCTTCTGCTACAGTTAAGAGCTGATGGGGAGAAAACAGATCGGAGTGAAGCTATAAGTATGCTTCAAGACTTTTACCAGTACTTAAAGGGTCATATTGATCGACTCGAGGATGAAAACGTGTCCCGGGAGCAACGCAAGAAATATAATAAAACGTATGTTACTCTTATGTCTCTCCTACTACCGTGATCCAGAGTTACTTGTATCATGTTTACGACCTAGTTAAGCTGTGCGAAAGCTTACGACTCATCGATTGTTGCATGACACTCTTATTTTCAAGACAAACCCAAATATCATGGGCAATTGGAGGATCCATACGAACTAGAAATCTTTACTACTGTTTTGCAAATTGTTCCAGCATTGCTTAATGCGTCATATATTTCCTCCGATGAGAACGTTTGCTCCATGTGTGTTTCCAGCATTGTTATTTATTTGTTTATTTTTCTTTTCTTTCCATTCTAATAGCAACTTCATTTCCTAATCTCCCTCTATTCGAAGCAATTCTTTTCAACTTCTCTACTTCTCCTCTCACTCAAACTAATCCAATGACAAAGTTTTGTAATTCCATAAGAAGTGATCAGGAGTATCGCACCTGGTACAATAGAAGAATTATCTGCATGCCAAATTGAAGCATGTTCCATGGAATTTGATGCAGACCCGAAGAGTGGACGGAGTTGAAAAGGAAAGTTTACATCACGTCACAGATTCTGAATGAGGTAGTTGATTACTTGAGTCCGAAAACGAATCAGGACGTGCAATTTGATTCAGACGTAAGTTTTCTTCGTTTACTCGCTCATTGGCATTTCTAAATCACACCTTTTCCGAAGCCAGTAATGGTCTTGATTATAGAACTGGTTGCCTTTTGTCTGATTGGGCCTTCAAATTTACTCGGGTGATCCTCAGACTATTGAAAGTTTGATGAACCCAGTTGCTTCTTTTTCTTTTTCTTTTTTCTTTTATTTTAAACGGGCTCGAGGTCTAACCTTTGTGACGATAGTACTGCAATGTTTACCAGGATTTTTTTTTAATTGGAGTAGAAAATTGCACTGCTGCAAGTAACTCACTACAGATTCATAAGTGAAATGATGGATAAATTTATAACTACATGCTTAGTAACCCTTTATCTTTCAGCTGAAAGAGGATCTGAAGAAGACTGCGGAAAAGGTTAACGATTTCAAAGCTTACAATATTATACCTTTTGAGGCTCCAGGCGTGGTTAATCCTTTTCAATACTCTCCAGAAGTAAGGCCCAGAACTCAACACTTTGTACTGACTCACAATACATGGGCATTGAGATCTTTTTCTCGAGATTTTGATTTCTGTTTGTCTCTGCTGATATATCAATATCCAGTTTACCCAGCATTCCGAGGTCTTTATTTATTGTAATTTTATCCTTGCACTCTAAAATGGGTCGAGATCTCCTCATTGCTGTCAGCAGAGCTTGACATAGGTGACATGGATTGTGAATGTAGATAACGGCTGCCATCAAAAGCATAGAGTTTGAGCCATCTGGTGGTCATGAATTCGGTGTCGACTTCAAGCCGCCAAAAATGAGGAACCTGGATATTTTCGACTTTTTCCAATATGCATTTGGGTTTCAGGTACTGTCTTTAAATTGAATCTATCGTCTTTTGTTTGAGTTTATAGATTAAGCATTCTACAACGAAATCCAAGTGTTACTACCCAGCGAGAACGCCTAGGGCATATAATCGAGTCACTTCTACTCGTACTTCTGGGACTGCACTTGGCTTGGTGTGATGTCTTTCTCTTCTGCTTTAACACCTGGAATATGGTTGCCTTGTGTTTTCATAATCTAGTTATGTTCCGGCACATTGCTGAGTACTAATGAATTTGACTTCGTCTGAGGATCAGGCTGACAACGTTTTGAACCAGCGAGAGCATCTACTCCTCCTTGTGGCCAACGCACAGTCACGCGTGAATGTTGGTTTCTATTTCTTCCTTTTTTAAAACTTATATGTATTCTGATGACATGGCTGGATCTTATATGTGAAGTGGAATAGACATCCGTTCCTCTATGTTTTGTTGAAACTTGCAGAATGGGGATTGTACAATGTAATATTGATTTGATACTGTGCATCATGTTCTCACAGAATATCGTGAAAGCCATCTCCAACGTAGAGGAAAAATTGCTGGGAAACTATGAACGATGGTGTAAATATGTGAAGAGGGTGAACTCTACGAGCCGGTAAGAACACGTGCTATTATCCAGCGTATTTATCTTACGTAGGTATTTAGCAGCCGACATTCTACCTGGATTCACTTGACCGTTGCATCATTTGAGACGCTGCTCACAAGTTGCTGCTGACTCGGTGAATGTGCACAAGTTATGTATATTCCTGGAATTTGACAGTTTAGAGCTGGAAATCAGCAGCAACTCATGACATTGTTCATGTAATTGTATGACGTAGTCACTAAGAATGGCATGGTTGGTTTGGTTTACACCAACTCGACTTCCGCATAGGAACATCGAATTCATTTAACTGATCTAAGGTCTTCTGATTCTTGGTTGGTATTGTATTACATAAAATATGTAGGAAACCACTAGATTCTTCTCCAAGATCAATGAAGCTCTTTTGGGCTGCCCTATATCTCTTGATCTGGGGAGAGGCAGCAAACGTGCGGTTCCTACCGGAGTGCCTTTGTTACATCTTCCATCATGTGAGTTTCTCCGCCTTGTTTAATTAGTAATTTCAAATACATCCAAATTAATGGCAAAAGGAGAGTATGACCTTTTCTTTTTTGTTTTGTTTTGTTTTCTTGTTGTCTATAACAACGGGTCTAATGAAAACAGTATTTTGAACTATGTTTGTATTTGGTGTACAGATGGCATTTGAGACTTATGAACTGCTGAATAATCCCTTCAATCAGAAGTCAACGATCCTCAAAGATTCTGAAACATTTCTTGATGCGATTATCAAACCCGTTTATGAAGTAGTGGCTGCGGTAAGATTCTAGGGGCCTGTTCGAGGTGGAGATTCACCTTGAGCCTGAATTTGTGGTGTTAACCGCTCTTATAGCTCGTAGAAACATAACTTTCTCAATTTAGTTCGAATAATATTTGGTTACTCCAGATCATCATCCTATCGTGATTTTTATGTGTGCAATCAAATGGTTTACTTCTGGTTTTTCTGGTTTTAAGGTTTATTGTTAATTTTATTTCTTTAACTACGGATTCATGTTACCAATTAGAGCCAGATTTTTAAAGTTGATATATCACCAACTATTATTCAACTCAGAGCTTGTGTTTTACATTTGCACACGATTTTGAGTCTCTTCACTTGAATCTCATGCAGGAAGCGAAGGTTTGTAACCATGGAAAATCTCCGCATTCAAGTTGGCGAAACTACGATGATTTTAATGAGTATTTCTGGGCTCCCTCTTGCTTTGAATTGAGTTGGCCGTGGAGGCTACATTCGGGCTTTTTTGTGAAGCCAATGCAGGTTTCTGATAAGGTCAAAAAATTTGTAAGTCAAAGCACCTGGCATGTGATTTGAATTCACACTTCTCACATAATCTCATAAATTGGAATTGATCTTTGTACTTAAGTACCGTTACGCCAAAGCTGTTGGTTATCGAATTTGAGGTTTGTAAGACTGATATGGGTGAATTTGGGATCTAGAAATTTCGAAAGGCACAAGACCAAATGCCACTTCTGGAACAAAACCATCGTTCGGAAGGAGAGCATGCGATGGAGAGGAAAGCAGGGAAATCTAATTTTGTCGAGCATCGCACCGGTTTTCACCTGTATCATAGCTTCCACCGACTTTGGATTTTCCTTGTCTGCATGCTTCAGGTTGAATAATTGTCTACACATTGCACCACAAATGTGTCCTAGTCCTTGGCAACAAGCATCCAATACAGATTTCATCCCACATAGCTTAGCCTCTAGTTTTGGACCTATTAATTCCTTTCTCTTCTATGGTTTATTGTAACACACATGTTTTTCCAATTAGATTTTAAATCGTACACTTTATGCTGGGACGTTGTTAATGGACTTCCTTCTTGATGCTGCTTCAGCAATTTTGTATTGGAGGACTTCTAAACTTGCTAGCCCTCTCACCTTGGAAACTAATCTACTGGTTCTGTACTGTTAGGGTCTTGCAATATTTGCCTTCTGTGATGGGAAGTTGAACAATGCCAACATCAAGTATGTCTTGAGTGTGGGTCCTACATATTTTATTATGAAACTTTTACAGTGTAAGCCAATCTTTCAGTTGATTGGATTTTATTTATTTACTTAGTTATTTATATTTTTGAAATCCCTGAGATCAAGATAGTTTCTTCGGGTTGCAATATGTGTCCATGGCAATTGCCAGCTCAGAAGATACCTTGCTTGAATCTCATAACGAAATGATGTAATTCAGAACTACGTGTAGGTTAGTATTTCGTTTTTATTTGTCATTCCTGAGGAAATGCTATTTCATGCTCGACAGTATTCACATCAAGCATTGATACGGTAATAAAATGGTCTTTTTCATGTTATTCAAGGATCCATTAAGACTGTGTATGGTTTTGCTAATAAATGTGTTGTGCAAGTTTGTAAACATTTCAAAGATTGTTATTAATTCTGTGCCCAGACTTGTGCGTGCTGTTTCTTATTATCTGTGTTCTGGTTAAGTGATGTTCTCTGATAAGTGCTACTTGTATTTTGCAGCTGCGTTAGATGTAATCCTAATGATCGGTGCATACAGAAGCACCCGGTACCGCACTGTGGCAAGAGTGTGGTTGAGTTTAATCTGGTTCGCTGGTTTCTCAGGAATTATTACCATCCTATATGTGTAAGCTGCTGACCATTGCTTGGAAGGTGAAAGATTTTGTGTGGCAATTATTTTCGGATGTAAGCTTATGCTCTTTATCATAGAAAAACCTTGCTGAAGTATGAATGTCTATCAACTTGACGACGTGTTGCGACTTTAAATTTCATTTAGTGAAGATGACGTGTCAACGAGTTGTTTTTCATCTTGACAGGAAAACAATTCAGGAACAAAATAGTGGATCAGGATTAAGTACATGGTTTAGGCTTTATTGCATTCCCTTGATATTCTACGGAGGATCTGAACTTTTTATTTGGCTGTTTTTAAACATGCCGGGGCTCCGAATACTAGCTGCGAGTTGTTCGAATTTTGGCCCCACAAGGTTTTTGAAGTGGGTGCACCAGGTACACATATGTGTTCAGTTTTCTTCTGTGTTCTCTTGTGGTATGGTTGCTGTGCAAAGTAAGCTAGAGTTATGAACAAATCCTCAGTTAGCATAATGTTCTTTTCAAAATTTATTCATTAGGAGCAATATTATGTGGGACGCGGGATGCGCGAAAGTTCCAGCGATTACTTTTCGTAAGCATTTCATCACCAACTCGTGAGCAATAAGCTTTATTGGTATTTTGAGGGCGGTTTCTGTTTTGAAATTTTCATAAACGCCCGAAATTAATACACGTCGAGTATAATTGAGGGGATTTTTCCTTGTTCATTCCACATTGGCTTCGTACACATGATCAGGAGTTAAAAAGTACTAATGAATATACTTCAGAAAGAAGGTTCTTCGTCTTTTGACATGAAACTGCTGGATACATCTTAGGTACCTCGTATTCTGGGCGATCGTCCTCGCATGCAAGTTCTCCTTCAGCTATTTCCTTCAGGTAGTTTCTTCTCTGGACATTTTCTCGTGTCTAGTGAGTCTGTTTCTAAAGAAGTGAGAAGTCCGGTGTGTCGGAGGATTAACCTACAAAAATGAGTGACTTGCAATGCAGATTAAAAGTATGGTGGGGCCAACCAGGATTATCATCGACCTCACAGACATCAATTATCGATGGAGGGATATTGTTTCAAAAAGTAACTCCTGTACAACGAACTTGTATTATCTGGGGTCCCAGTCTTTGCTGGATTCCCTACTCCATACAAACTAGCATGTTTTTCATCGTTGCATTTGGTTCTGGGTCGCTCAAGTGAGGATTGTAATTTGCTCGATTTTTTGTGCATTGTTCTGAATATTTCTTGGTGGTCTGTTTAAGGTAATCATAACGCGCTCACACTTGCTTCGTTATGGGCTCCAGTTGTGATGGTATCTATTCGCACCATCAGTCATTGTTTGAACCAGCTGTAGCTTTGGTTAGGATAATCTTACCTACATATGTAGAAGAATTCTGTCTGTTAATTTTTTATATTCCTCAAATTCAGAAATACGATGGTGTGAGGTGCTAGATATAGCACTGCTACCTAAGGACTAGTTAGAGAAATAGAGTATGATGCTTATAAATCAACCCGTAAAGATGTGTGTCGTTTCGTTCAATATAGTTGATTACATTGTGCCAACCTTTTAAACGTGCAGCGTGTGTTGTCAGATTTATTTTCTGGACCTACAAATTTGGTATACAGTTATATCTGCACTTGTTGGAGGTTTTGATGGAGCACGGATCGGACTCGGAGAGGTTGGCAGTTATTCGATGTCCCTGTGTACATTACATTTGTAGTGTGTCCTAGGCTTTTGAATTTCACTGTGTTGCTTCACAAGCTACTGAAATATCTCCATGTTGCGTGTGTAGGGCTCCTGTTGAGTATTTGATGCGTCTGTGGTTTTCATTTTTGAAATCTCTGTTAGTGAGGACGATTATCATATGCACTCCAGTGAAACTCTGGACTAGAGAAACATTAATACACTTCACCATGTTCGGTTGAGGTGGAGAAAAGTACGGTTTAGACTTCAAGATGATGCTTTTTTCTTCACCTTTCCGCTCATTACGTGCTCAATGTGGCAGATCCGAGACCTTGAAATGTTGCGTCGCCGCTTCTTTTCCTTGCCATCAGCATTTACGACGAAGCTGTTACCCCATGAATCCTTTCAGAAGTAAATACTCTACATTATCTGTGAAGTGTGTCTGTATGTGTGTATTATGCATTATGACGAGTTCCAAAACACGTGGAGCTTTAACTATTGAAGTCGTGATGCTAATCTGAATTTGTTCATTTATTATTGCAGAAATTCGAGGGAATCGGTTAACAACGATGAATCTAAGGTTAATGCCATGAAATTCGCCCCTATTTGGAACGAAGTGATCACATGCTTACGTGAAGAAGATCTTATCAGCAACAAGTAAGAAGGAATATAGTATTCTTGAGTGTTAGGAATGGCCAACTCTTGTTAGAACTTCTTCACTCTTTCACGTTATTCTTTTACCAAACATTTACATCTTGTCATGTAGTGCATCATCGCTGATCTTATTTTCCATCCATTCTGATGGAGATCTCATGCTTTTATTATTTTTGTGCAGGGAAAAGGAGTTGTTACTCATGCCTAATAATAAAGTTTCAAGAACGCCACCTTTAAACGATCTCTTATTGATCCAGTGGCCTCTGTTTTTATTATCTAATAAGGTCCGTATGGACATTTCTGCATGCTAATTAGCTCCGCGTTTAAGATGATTCATCCTAGTTCTATCCCTGCATAATCTGTCATTTACTGTATGTGGGTTCGATCTTGCTTGTCGATATGAAGTTCCTAATTTTGTGAAAGTTTCATAGTTGTCAAGGATGGGTTTTTGTGGTTAATGCAGGTATTTTCTGCAATTGACACGGTAAATGCATACAAACAATCTAAAAATAAGGAGCTGTGGGATAAAATAAAGGATGATCGCTATATGATGTATGCTGTACAAGAGGCCTACTATTCTTGTAAAAATATATTGGAGTACCTACTGGTGAAAGACCAAGGCGTTCTATGGTATGCTTCGAGCCTCATTAAAAATTAACCATGTATTGTGTTTTGTTGCGACATTCTCTAAGCTAGATTTTAGGTTAAGTCTATCGTGCGGAGGGTTTAATTTATCTTTGGTTTAAAGTTGCAAACTTGATGTTTCATAGAAGGTTTTGGACTGAATCCAAACTTGCACCACAATGGTACATACTCACATGATTAAATTTATTGTGAAGGATTTGGTTGGATTAGGCCCAAATTGATATGTATAATTTTGGGGTGATTTTCAAATTATCCACAGTGGTTCAGCGATTGAAGTTCTTTGGATTTCTAGTCGTCAAGTGTCGGAAGCAATGGTTTAGGCATGCTGGACTACTTACTGAAGAAGTCTTGATTCCTGATGATACATTGAGCTAGTCCTTAATATTGCCCTCTTGGAAGTCATGCTAATGTTAATGTTTCCGGTTGAGTGTCAGGGTTAAAAGCATTTTCGCCCTCGTGGAGGCTATCAAACCTGATGAACATTTGAATGACATATTTCGTTTCAATAAGCTTACGAAATTGCTGGATAAAGTTGCAAATCTGACGGGTGTTCTGGTAAACGGCACATTCAGTTTTGCGATTGATGGATTGATGTTTCTCTAACGCATCATGCTATAATGAATGCGGGCAGTTTTAGTACCTGATCGTGAGGATTATTCTTGCGTGATAAATTTTCTTCGCCTGGTCCCTGTGTAACAGATCAATGAGGCTGCGAATGAGGTTTTTACAGTTGCTGCAGTTCGGGAAAAATTACTAGATCTTTATGACATGGTGACAAGGGACTTTGTGAGGTTTGAATCCAAATTAGTTTCACTCTTCGTTCTGTTCTTCCATAAGCTATTTTGAATCGTAGGTGACTCATACATTTTTTCTGATAGCAAGCTGATCCTGTCATGGTTTGGGAATAGGGAGGAAACTAACGTTTCAGTGGATCAACAACTATTTTCAGAGTTTTCTCTCCCAACTCATGAATTCGTACGTTTCTTTCAACTTTCGCCTGTGAACTATATGTGTCATTTACTGTAACGTTCGGCTCTCTGTGGCGCATACTTTCTTGCACTCGAATTCTACTGCCTCGTATTCTGGAAAGGTCATTTTGAAGCCCAGTAGTCCCTGCTTGCTTTGGAGTTTAGGACGCAACCAATTAGAATAAACTACAGGTATCATTCCCTGGCTCACGTCAAGTTGGTTTCACCATATTGACCATGGTTTGGCTTGATTGTTTTGATGTACAGATTTCACAAGTTCGTAGACTGAACAGTATTTTGACAAGTAAGGAATCAGCCTCAGAAGTTCCAGTGAATGAAGAGGCTCGCAGACGCTTGGAGTTCTTTAGCAACTCTTTGTTTATGACAATGCCCAAATCACCTCCTGTCCGTAAAATGTTTTCTTTCAGGTCAGTTCTTCGGTTTTCCACTTTGTTCCAATCGTTGTTTAAAAATATGAATGGAACAGGTATTTTTATTTGTGGGAGGTTCTCTCATGTATTGCATGTTGCTCTTTTTAAAATGAATGGATGTATTTTTTCCTACTGCTCAAAACGACATGTGCTATCAGTCCTCTAGTCAAACTAACGAAATCTGTCTTTTCGGATGGTTGTTCAGTGTGTTCACGCCGTACTACTCAGAGGATGTGATTTACAGTATCGAAAAGCTAACTAAACCAAACGATGATGGTATCTCCATAATATATTATCTGAGTACTATTGTTCCAGGTTTGTGTTATTCTCTGGTCCCAGATTATCCCATGTTTTTGCAGGACTTTACCCTTGGTGTGTAATATTTTTGAAGAATGTTCGCGTTGGCATCATTTTGCGGGCGATTTAATTTATTGCTTTCAAATTTAACAGAATAGCCTTGTTTAGTTTAGTTAAGTTTGTGTTCTTGCTATCGTCATGTTTTGTAGATGAATGGAAAAACTTTCTGGAGAGACAATTCCCAAATGACCTTGAAGCTCGGAGGATTTTTGCGAAGACAGTCCTCCCTAAGAAGGATTATAAGAAGGAGAAGGAAAAATCGAGAAGCCTGGACGATCTGGTGGATGAGGACAAGAACCAGCTACGTCTTTGGGCTTCATATCGAGGACAGACTCTTGCGAGGACAGGTGAGTGCAGTATCCGCTGTGTTGGTTTCATCTGTATCTCAATGAATTTGAATATCAAGATAGGATAATACGTGTCAAGAATCCGGGAAGAATCGATTGGGTCCCTTCACTGGAATTTTCAAAACATTTTTATTCTTTTTGTCTCTTCCGTGTAAGGTATTTAGCTTTCTTGGCTCCCATCTTCGTATAGGTTGGCGATTCTGAAATCTGTGACCGATTTCGAACCCTTCACATTGACCATTCTTTCATGCATTGCAGTTCGTGGGATGATGTACTATAAAAAGGCTCTTATATTACAAGCAGAACAGGAGTCCACTTATGGATCAGGTAACTGCCTTGGGGTTGTCGAATGGTTACTCAGTAAGATTGTACTGGATAGCCATTCTATCATCATATTTCGTTATTGTACCCAACACTCTGTCCTCCATTTATACGTTTGTTGCGGATTGAAGCAGAGGATTTAGAACAAGGACTTCATCATTCAACACCTAGTTCTCCATCAGATTCAGGTGTCGTAACTGCTCGAGCTCAGGCGGAGTTGAAGTTTCTTTATGTTGTTAGTGCTCAACTTTACGGGGAACAAAAGCAGTCTACCAATCCTGAAGATCGGCAAAGAGCTACAGATATTAAGTGGTTGATGAAAGAGTGTGTTCACTTCCAATGTTCTAAATTTATGTTTTTGATGCACGATTATTATGTTTTTGAATGATCATTTCTTACTTGTAAATTTCTAAAGGATACCTTATAGATGTTTTGAGATGTTATTTTATTGTAATCCTTGTGACCTTTATTAGATGATTTTCCTCTTTCCGTTGGAAGTTTCATCTCGGCCTCCATCGCAAGCTGAATTTTTCTTTGCATCAATATTTTGGCAGATATGATTCTTTAAGAATTTCCTACATTCACAAGGCCAAGGTGACGAAGCGGGACAAGACGAAAGTTTACGAATACTATTCTAAACTCATGAAAGGATTGCCGGATGGGAATGATCAGGTGCTGATTCTAAGAATGCTGGTCTTAAGAATTTCTAATGCTTTCAGCTGCTTCCATCTAATTATTGTACGTCTAGAGGTTATGTACTGCATAAGACATCATGAAGCCTCGAGATACTAAGTCGTTTGAGAATGTCAGCCATTTTTGACCGATTGGACATATTTTGATCAAACTCACCTTCGAAACGCCAGCATCACACTGGAATGAAACCGTATTAAAATACACGTTAGTCTTCCATGCTTGACATATGTTTGTTTGACATGTGTGCATGCACAAATGAAGCTAAGAATGCTTATTTTGTACAGTGTCAAATGAAACCCCACAATGGTGAAAAGTGTAGTATCACTCGTACTGGCGTGTCCGTAGTTTCTTTTATCTTGCAGTAGACTTCTTACTGACATAATGTCTCAGGGAAGTCCATAATGGAAAACTCAAAAAGTTGACGAGTTAAAGTTACAAAAATCCGGTCGGAGCATGTTCACAAGTTGGCAACTTACTTCGCCTTAATTTGTACTAAATAATTAAGTGTTTTGTTTTAGATTTTTCATCATGATCTTTCCGTTCTAATGAATGTAGGAGATAAAACAAAAGTTAAGCCTCATCTGCCAGCAGAGACCCACCGTGACGTCGAAATGTGCAATAGGTATAGGTCAACTCCGAAATTCTGTTGATTTGTTACTATCTGCAGGAAATCTACTCCATAAAATTGCCTGGAGAAGTTATTCTGGGAGAGGGCAAGCCTGAAAACCAAAACCATGCAATTGTATTTACTCGTGGAGAGGCCATTCAAACTATTGACATGAACCAGGTACATCCCTCTCTCTCTAGCTCTCTCTCTCTCTCGCTGTATATATATATATATATATATATATATATATATGTTTTAGTTCCTTTGTGACAAACTTGGGGTGGCGATTTGTTCGAACACCTGCACAGTAGTTACACAGTTTTTCGTTGATGAGAAGTGTCATCATATTTCGGAGCACGTTGCATTGACGCAGGAGCACTACTTAGAAGAAACTTTTAAGATGAGGAACCTCCTAGAAGAATTTGAAATCCAATATGGGGGTCGGTTTCCTACCATTCTTGGTGTTCGTGAGCATGTTTTCACTGGAAGGTAGACTTATTTTCAGCATCTTACCTTTCATTAGCTTTAATCTGAAAGTTATGCATTGTTAAGCACTGTTGAAGGACAGAATATCAATCTATCCACTCTTACCCAATCGATCATCTTACGGAGAGCTTCCAAAAATTCATCCTCTGGAGGTCATTTCTGAGCCCTCCCTAACCATCTCTCTGGTTGCAGTGTTTCTTCTTTGGCGTGGTTCATGTCACTGCAGGAGCGGAGCTTCGTTACTTTGGGACAACGGGTTCTTGCAAAACCACTCAAGTTAGTATTTTTTGAATCTTAGATACACTGCGTTAATTTTGTGCTTAATATTCGCATGGAATCTTCATCCGTTGGAATCTCTTGGATGCAAGTTCTTGTGAGCGTACACGATGAATTTTTTTACTCCGTTTCTCTTTCTGTAGCTGCTGTTCAGTTCTCATGCCTATCCACAAAATCGGGGAATTCCGATTTGTTTCTATTATCTGGAAACCAATAGTTCCCTTTCGACTATTTAGTTAGCAATTTACTGTGTGTTTTACAGAGTGAGAATGCACTATGGGCATCCAGATGTCTTTGACCGCATTTTCCACATCACAAGGGGAGGCATTAGCAAGTCATCCAAGCAGATCAATCTTAGTGAAGACATTTTTGCAGGTTTAATAAATCACTTGACATGACGATCTTTTGGCTAGGATTTTATGCTTGTTGCAGAGTATGGGAAAACTACAGATAATGAAATTTGTTACGCATTTCCATGTTTGGCATGGGTTGAGAGTCCTCCCTCTATGGCATACTTTACGTTGTCTGTGTCTGTCATCGATAGCATGTTTTCTAGTTTATAATGATAAACTTTCTCACTTCTTTTGCAGGGTTCAATTCCACTTTACGACTAGGGAATATTACTCATCATGAATATATTCAGGTCGCACGCATTCATACACGCATCGGACGCCTTTGGTGATTAATCCAATCTGTAGTAGTTATGTTTTGAAATGAGCACTTCAATTTACAATTGTTGATTTGGTTCTGTGTATTTTCAGTGTGGCAAAGGGCGAGATGTGGGATTGAATCAAATTGCGGCATTTGAAGGGAAAGTAGCTTCTGGAAATGGGGAGCAAACCCTTAGTCGTGATATTTATCGGTTGGGCCATCTATTTGACTTCTTTCGAATGATGTCTTTCTTCTTTACTACAGTCGGTTACTACTTCACGACTATGGTACGTTCTGCACTATCTATTGTCAGTTTAATTTTAGAAGTTCGAGGTGAATGTAAGCAGATTATGCTTGTTTTTCCTATATTTCTTCCTTTTATTGATTTTGTCTTATGTTGTTTGAATCTATGTATGTTTCAGTAAGAATTTTGTCATCTTTGTTTCACTTGGTTTCTGGCAGTTGACTGTCTTGACCGTATATGTGTTCCTTTACGGCAAGGTATACCTGGTATGTTCTATCATATGACAACTTCATCATCTTTTGAACTCAGATTTGTTTTACCATATGATTGCTTAACTTTTTTTCATATTTATTCAATTCATATATAAAATTGTCCTTCTGTTTTTTCTTTCCTGTACTGGAATATATATCCCTTGTGTACCTATCTATACATTGTCTATACGTTGCTGTGTCTAGTGCATCTAGTTATCGAGCTTTAGATATATGGTCTGCTGTTATTCAAGTCCCTTAACTTCACAAATGGAAGAAACCTTTTACAAGTTACCAAAATAGCTCCACAAAGACGTACCACATAGCGTGGATAACTCATATGATCTGTATCTCGCCAGTGTCAAATTTGAAAACTTTGGACATTTCCTGATTTTGATTTTCGGGAACAGGCACTATCTGGAGTGGACGCACAACTCAAAATTAAAGGTCTTGCCTCTAATGTGGCATTACAATCAGCACTTGATACACAATTTTTATTGCAAATTGGTGTTTTCACTGCTGTACCGATGATCATGAATTTCATTCTGGAGGAGGGACTATTGCGGGTAATAAATACATCCAACTGTGTTGTCAACCAGAAGCTTGACTCTAATTTCCGAAACTCATTACGCCTCGTATATCTTTCGTTGAACTAGATCAGGGCAGCAAATCACAAAAACATGGCTACCTGGAAACCTAGCGGTCAAGTATATCTTAATAATGTGTAGCTATTCATCATGACTTGCTAGTGTGTTGCTGTTGTAAGACTTCACCCCTTTGCCTAGTTGTGTCAATTGTACCTTTTCCTTTTATTGCCATTAGCTCTCATTCTGTATTACACACTGTTATTTATTCTTTCTGACATTTCGAACCACTGGGATTGCAGGCAATTACAAGTTTTTTCACAATGCAGTTTCAATTGAGTTCAGTCTTCTTCACCTTTTCGCTTGGGACAAGAACACACTATTTCGGCCGCACCATTCTCCACGGAGGTGCCAAGGTTTACTGTCTTCGCCTTTCTCTCCAAGAACTGCATTTGTTTAGAAAGTTTGCAATCGAAATACCAAATGAGACATTCAAGAAGTTATGATGTGGAAACTTTTGCTACCAGAGATTGAGTTCTCTCGTATTCTACAGTACTGCTGCTAAACTAAATCAGAAATTATAGTTGGTGCATGTCCATAGGTTATTTAAATTTTTGATACAAGCTTTGACGTGTTCATTGCTCGACATTACTCGACAGATTTCCAGAGTGTCACTTAGCGAACAAGTCGCTTTCTATTTGTCAAGGCATACTATACCTGTATTTATGGATGGATCCTGATTCTTAATATTAGTTGACTGTTATTTCACGCAGTATGCAAGCACTGGACGAGGATTCGTTATCGAACATATCAAATATGCTGAAAATTATCGAAATTACTCCAGAACCCATTTTGTGAAAGCGTAAGTTAACTCTTGACCACAGTGTTCCCGCATGCGTATAGTTATTTTGATCAATGTATTAGACCACACAAGTTATATTCCATCCTCAAGAGTGGAAATGCCTCCGGTTCACAACTTTCTCCTCGGTGTAGGTTGGAGATTATGCTGCTGCTTATTGTGTACCTGATATACGGAGCTCCAGAACGGACAACTTTCACCTACATCTTACTTACATTTAGCAGTTGGTTTCTTGCCGTCGCATGGCTATGGGCTCCTTACATATTTAATCCCTCGGGATTCGAGTGGCAAAAGTGAGTACCACGCAATTCTTCACCTTAACTCAGATATCCTGGTTCTCTTACTGTCATGCCTGGTACTTTCTTCCTCTATATCAACTTCTCATTCATAATTCTGTCACCTACACACAGGACTGTGAAAGACTTCGAAAATTGGACAAACTGGATGTTCCAACAAGAAGGCCAGGATGAAAAGGATGATAAATGCTGGGAAGTCTGGTGGAAGGGCCAAATATCACACATTCGAACGCTCCGGGGGCGATTTTGGGAGATAGCACTCAGCTTGCGGTTTTTCATGGTCCAGTACGGTGTTGCGTATTCTCTTAATGTCGCTGGCCATGACAAGAGTTTCCGGGTTAGTAGTCTGCCCTCTGCGCTTATTTCCACATTGTTAAGAACCATGTCTGCATTCGAGGATATTTGTTAGCACGACGACTATTGCTCCCTGTTCTAAATCATCTGGCCACAATGCATGAGTTACTTGCCATGACATGTGTCATTTCCACAAGCGCCAAACACTAACATAGTTCTATCTTTGTCACTGTGATTTTATTCGGTTATGATTGTGACATGCAGGTGTATGGGTTCTCCTGGTGTGTGCTAGTGCTTATAGTGGTGTTATTCAAGGTGAGCAGCATTAACTGGCCGCTGTTTCGAATCCACTTTTACTTGTTAATCTTCCTTTCCAAAGTTATGTGTAGGAAGTCGGAGCTGTTTGGATTTGATTGTACATTTTCTGTTAAATTCATTTTTACTTCGGTATTTGGTGTGAAGGTGTTTTCCTTGAGCAAGAAATCTTTGGCGAATTTCCAGCTCATAGTACGAATCCTTCAATTAGTTGTGTTCTGCGGCGTCATCTGCGGCTTGATTTTCACTGTAGCTTTCACAAGTCTTACGATCGGCGACGTGTTTGCAAGTGTGTTATCACTTATCCCCACGGGTTGGGGCCTTCTATCTGTGAGAATCTCCTCACTCTTACCGAGGCTGTTTTCCGCACTTTTTTTAGTATTTTTTGTTGTTTTAACATCTAGAGCTGTATTCTCATCTACTAAGGTCTCAGAAAGATCGAGATTCAAATATAGAGATCTTATTGAAACCGCTTGTATCTTCTTTGAATGGCAACAGATCGCAATTGCATTAAAGCCAGTGATGAAAAAACTGCGCTTGTGGAAGTTCGTTCTAGCTATAGCAAGACTGTACGACGTATTCATTGGAGCAATTGTGTTCATTCCCATAGCCTTTCTATCCTGGTTCCCATTCGTCTCCACCTTCCAGACTCGTCTTGTCTTCAACCAGGCGTTCAGTAGAGGACTAGAGATATCAACCCTGCTGGCTGGAGGCAACCCTGACGTTGCCGGAAATCAATCCCAGCATTCAAAAACTAGGTAACGTTATCAATTTTGTATAGGTAGTGAATTATTACTGCCTCAGTTAGCATTCTAAATCTATTGAAATTAGTGTATTTGTTAGGCGGTTACTCTTCAAACTTTGGTGGTAGCATCTTTTTGCAAAATACCTAATGTACAGTTCTGTATGGAACTGAACATGTACTTTAAAATGTAATGTTGATGAGAAGAGTTTGGAGTACTCGTGAACATTCTATAGTATCGATTTTAGCCACAATATGAACCAATGTTGACACAATCGGTGAACTTAGTGATCAATCCTTTTTGACATTAATACCCTTAAACCAGTTCTGAGTTCTCTTGGGTTTAAAGCATGGGCTCCTATGGATGTTCAAAGTTGTGGGTCTTAACCAAGTCAAGTAAAATGGTTCCTTAGACAATTGGGTTTTTCTATATTATAAATGAATTCGTGACAATTGCTTTTTTTTTTCCAATTGACAACTGATAAATCCATGAGGATTGCTTTTCTTTAGAGCCCATGGATGAATTCTTTTGTTAGCACAACATGTTGTAGGATCAGCAACGAATTTAAAAGGGAGATCTTAGAGCAACAGAAACAAGGTTTTTCTATCTGTTATGTTGTAGATAAATATATTAAGAAAAGATTTACATCTTGCACATATACATGTGGATGGTAAAACTTCTATTAATCCTCAAATATGGCTATTTTTGAACATGTAACTCAAAACAATGGTTTCAAACAAAACAAATCACCTCTACCATATGTAGATTATTTATTAATATTTAATACTTCACAACAAAACATTAAAAAATCAAACAACCTCAAGCATTTTAAAATCCTACTATACATCCTAATTTATAACAACTTCCAATTTATAGTAGTAGATTATAGAAATCAAAAAGCATTAGCAATGTTCTAGTTTTTTATTACAAAACCTATATATGAATATAAGAAAAAAAGAATTAAAAATACATGTTACTAAAAAAAAAAGTTTAAGTAATTAAAATTCTTTAAATTATAATCTATATTTAAAAAATTAACACATAAGGATTATCACATTTGAAAAATTATCACAACTAGGATTTTGATATCAACTAAAAGCTACATTATAGTTCGGACTTCATACAAAGTGTGAAACAATGCAACCTACTCCAAGCACGTTTTGAAACAAATTACAGGCAAATATCAACAGGACAGCACTCCGATGTGATTCTTTGTTATTGGGCACCTGCTCCAAGAGTTGGTGCCAAACATGAATCAGTATCCGAAGAATTGAGGGTAGGAAACAGTCCAAGTGAACAAGTGAACTATAGAGGCTTGTGCGCAGCACCATGACCTTGCGGTTATAGCGGGACATTGTAGACTAATATGTTTCATTTCGCACGTTCCTAATTTGGCTTTCAGTTGCGAAATCCTAGTCTACAATGCAAGGATTAACTCGCTAAACTTTCTTCAGTGAGACTCTTCACATACTCGCAAGACCGTTTACTCTTGACGCGCTGCCACTGGCTTCACCTAGACAAAAACCCTCTTTTGTTATAATAGTGCCACCACTGCGTTGCTCTCCGCTTGATGATGCTCGAGGTTACGAAGAACGATTCGGGCAAACACTTTAGCCTGCATTGCCGCAGTTGCTGCTGCAGCCACAGTCCGCAGCACTCGACTTGCACCGGTCTTCTGCAGAAGATCTGCATGGTGCATCGCATGCCTACCTCCAGGCATAGTAAACTGTTCCACACACCCACACCCTACGGGTCAGTAAACCTAAGTCGAAAGGTACCTTAAACCTCAGTCCAACACTCCCCGTAACAAAACGAACCTAAAAATGATACAACCACCCCATCGCTCCGTCAACTCTGTCCTGTCGATCAGCACCAGTGATTACCTGCAGAAGAGCAAACGCAGCACATGTTCGGAGAACTGCAGAACCATTCCTCAACATGGCCACAAACCGTCCAAGCTCCGCTCCACTGCAACCAACCACGCCGAACTCTCAAATTTTGTCCACGTCCAATGCATTGGGAACCACTGCTGTCGTTACCCACTGTCCAAGCCTCAACTTCCCTATCAACTACATGAACCCAATACTCAAAACTTGCCAATGCCCATGTCATACAAGACGGGCTTAAATTGCTTCCACTCAGCAAAAGAAAACAGCTATCCCACTCAATCTCATTGCTCCGACTTCAATGGATGTGCATCTTCCCATCCCCACACACACACCCCTTACCTGCATCTGAGAAGTCCAGCTTCTTGGATCCTGGCGGTCTCCGCAACTTGGTTCAGGGTGGCAGGAGCCCACGATGACGCAGCAGCTGTCAGAGCTTGTTGATCACAGAAAGTTAGCACAAACGCATCAATGCTTCGCAACGCCAATTTCCGAATCGCTTCCAGGTTCACTGTCCTGCCATGGTTCTCTCCGCTCGATACTCTGACAGCAACCTCATCCATCCTGCACCAGCGGAGCCCAAATGTGACGCTAGTCTACAACACGTCTATCTCGCAGCATTTACCCACACTCCTCTGCCGGACAACTCTATCGCTACACAGGCCGCCTCAGGACTTTCGAACAAGTCGTGCACCGCTGCACAAAACGCCTAATTAACTACCTCAACTATCGAAACATATCCGAATGAGCTCCTGTTATGCAACAAAACTTCATCGTCCATTGCTGGGCACCGTCACCATCACCGGACCTAGTTATTTCCCAAACGAAAACACTCGACTACACTGCTCCACCACACCGCACACACCCTGACCACATCAAGACGCTTTCCGCGGACTTCCACCCACCCATTCCACACAATTCCACCAAGTTCGGCAACATCTAGCTCATACAGGCAGATATGAGTGCTATACCTGCCATCGAACATGTACGCGAGGGCCAGAGCTGCCATAAAACGTGCCATTTTAGATCTTGACGACGAGCACAAATGTACAAGCGCAGGGACTCCTTCTTCCGCCATGCGCAACGCGTTACCGGGATTGAAAGCCAGATTCCACAACGCGCCCACCGCTGTCTCATGTACGTCCTGCAATTGCGTCAATCCCATTCCAAACCAACACTCAATACGCATTCATTGCTGAGCCAACGGGCCAACACCGTCCAGACTGCACCATGGTACAAAAAGCTATTTCACGAACAGCTCCATGCACAGCTATTCCTCACACCTCAACAGCACACCATCTGCCCTACATACTGTTTAATGTATGTTCTGACCTCCGCATACTAGAAAGCATCCCAACGAAGCACCAGCCCTTGAGCTCGACATATTCGTAATCAGTTTCATCCACAACCTCCAACTGCTGAGACTTACAAGCTACCATATATACTCCGCTGACCAGAATATCACATGCCTCATGCTGCAAAACCATGCGCCAAATCCAGCACCTCACCTCAGAGTTCGAGTGTGCCAGAGTGATCAGCGGGGCAACTCCACCTTCACGACCGATAGCAATGCTGAGCCAAAACACACATTCACAGCACGCACTTCAGTGATATCATCTCCGCAGGCTGCAAACCGATCCATAAAACCCCAACCTCCACACAAGTACATATCATCGACTTCAGCACCCACAGATGAAGACCTGCACCCTTCAACAAACACCCAAGGCTTCCGCGAAGAACACAGCTTCCCATCACGAAAAACGTTCTCACCTGTTGGCTTCAGAAACAGATAGACCCCACAATGCACCAGCAGCCCTCTCCTGCAGACCTTGAGATCCGCTGCTACAATCTTGAGCTAAAGCAACCTACACAACCACCACAGGTTCGTCATGCATTCTGTGCCAACATTCCTCTGCTGGATCCCCACAGTATTGTGGGTAGTCTACCTCTGACAACGACATGTGCAATTTACTCCCAACCTGAAAAAAGGTGAAAGTCATCCCCATGTCGTCCTCAACCTGATATAATCATGACCACATCCCAATGGTACACATCACAACCAGACGATTTCCAGGGGTCATTCACCACCACAACTAATTTAGCGTCTGCATTACGGGAGCAATTTTTCATTTTCAACTCCTGTTCCACTGCACCCTTGTACTGCACTGTCACGTGACCCACCACGGAACCGAACGACAACACTGACTCCTCCATCTCTTGCTGCAGTCAAGACTCGTGTCAACTCTGACTCACCAGTGCCTCCACGCCACCAGCTGCTGCAATAGCTTCTCGGTTTCTATCATCAAAAGACAGATTCCACAGTGCTCCAGCTGCTTCTTGTCTGCACATGTGAAAGCCGATACCAAAATACTGTCAGGTAAGTCACCGAGTTTGGACCTTATCCAATCTCATTGACCAACCAATTTCAATGCCGCACACTCGCCTCAGAGATCACACGTACCTAACGCCTTCATGGTTAGACCCAGTCAGGCGCACGAGAGCTTCAAGTGCGCCTGCCTCCCGCCCCACAGCAGCATTATTACCGTTGCTGTCTCCATGAGTGGCGAGATTGGCCAAGGCGCGCGCTGCCTGCAAACAATCACGATTTCAAGACCTGTACTGAGAACCACCACAAGCTCTCCCAAAAACTACAGCCCATACAACCTCTGGACGTGCACCTCATCCACGAAAACCAAACTCCGATTCCAACACCGCGACCTCAGAGTCTGATTGCCCCGCACCTGCTCTTGCACCCCTTCGTGATTACAAAACTGTGCAAGTCTAACTAGGGCCCGTACACCGCCAGCCACAGCAACTTCCATGCTGCACTTGTCATCAGCTGCTAGGTTAGCCAGAGCACCTGCTGCTCGCTCCTACCATCCATACAAAGTGCTCAGCGTTAGTGTCCACTGTTCTTGAACCCTGTTCGAAGGATCCAAGCAATCCCATGCGCTTCTGATCAAAACTACACCGTGCACAGCCTACACACATCTGTGCAAGGGTAAGGGTCCTAAACAAGCGTCACTTCTTCATCACATCCGACAAAATCAATCATCGCAACAGATTGAGAACCCGCAACACCAATTCGGAAATGCAAACATCGTCAACATGTCAGATTTAAAAACAACTATAGCTCGGCTCATAACAATCCCAAACTGGTGAGGAATGTACGTGCTCACCAGAACACCCTCCCCTCCAGCAGGCCACTTAAATGCCAGATCCACCAGTGCTTCAATTGCGCCTGCCTCGGCTATAGCACCCTATTAGCATCAACGGTCGTATTTGTAAGTGCGAAAATGTGACCAAGACAGCCAACCAACCAACTATTTCAAAACCATGCTCACTATGATCTTAACTCCCGGCCAATCACAAAAACAACCTATCGTGCACAGTAACTGCAAACAGTTCACAAGATGCACTGTTGTAACTTGCACCACCACAATCTGTCTGCACAGGTCTTTCGGTAACATTGACTATCACAACAGAATCCGTATGACGAGACTCCGTAAAAATTCCATCATCGAATGTGCAGTTCCTTGAGCAACAGCATCCCGACCCCCACACACAAAATCCGCAATTCGCAAACGCCTCATCATTGTTGGAAAGCATGGCACCCCACCTTATGCTCTTCCCCGACCGACAGGTTCCATAAACCCCCCGCTGCCTCCTCGGCAACCCACCGATTCGGAGACCTCGCTAACGCAGCCAGGATACTGATTCCCCCTTCCAAAGCAACCCTCTTCGCAACTTCTGTATTTACAGATAAATTTGCAATGGCCTGCAACAGCCACACGGAATGTGTGCCATTAGTCGTAATTCACTATACTGAGTAACCCACGCAAACCACGCCTACACTCGAGGGAGGTTTAATTGAACATGGGTCAACTTCGAAAAACCGCCATCATCGTGAACCAGTTGCCATTCAACCCTACTTCAGCTAACGCCGGAAAGAAATGCAATGCTTCCGCCTGCCCGCCTGCCAACCACCTAGTAAACACTACCCTCTCTCCACAAAAACTGTCCCGTGCACACTCGCACTCCGACTCGTTCCTCAGAAACTAGAACTACCTTGGCGGCTTCGGATTGCACTCCCTCGCCACAAGACTTTGCCAGACCTAGCAGCAACGCAATGCCGCCACCGTTCATCACAGCTTCCGCCCGTGCAGAATCCACAGTCGCATTCTCATCATCCACCAAAACAAACACCGCCAAAGCAGCCGCAGCCCTTTCCTGTACATCCTCCTGTGCGCTTTGGACCAGTCGAAGCATCATGGCGGTTCCCTGCTTCAGCCAGAAGCTATCCAGGCTGGGCGCATTGCTCTCCGCAATCTTCAAAAGTGCATGTGACAACATTCTCTCCGTCCACTTCGCCACTTCCGGGTCCACACGCATGCGCCTGCCATACCTGGATCGTCCAGACGAACACGCCTCCTCCTTCGAATTGCTCGGGTTCAGCAAAACCTCCAATCCTTCCATAAGATCTGTGAACCGTGCCAGCAACACCGCCGTCTTTGACGATGGCGACGGGATCGGGTTGCTACCCTCCTCCAGAAGGGGGCAGTTCAGGCCGCACACCACCTTCAGTTCGGGACATGCAAGCACCTGCGCCAGTGTGCTCGGAGTTATATCCGTCCGAGAAACATCCAGCCCACTCAAGTTGGGCAATTTGCTCCAGCACTGCGCTGCCGTGCTCCACGCTATGCACCTGCATCCCGCCACGGACAAAAATCGTAGGTTCCTCGCAGCCCCGAAAGCTCCCTCGTCGATGGTGTGACTGTCCAGAAACCCCAGCTCTGTCAGACCCTGGCAATGCTGGAACATTGCCTGAATGGCGTCTCGGTCCACATCCCGAATGCCTGAGATGCACAACCGTCGCAATTTAGGACAACAAACTGCTACCACTTTCAGCGCCTCGCTCGTCACCCTCTCGCAATCCGAACCCAGCTGCAAGCTCTCCAGGTTCCCATGCCGAGCAACCACCATGGACAGGGTTGCATCCGACAGAAGGCTGCACCAATCACCGCTCAGCTCCCTCAGCTCCCTCGCATGCAAACCCACAATTGAGTTCGCGAACGCGCCTCCGCGAAATTTCAGACACTGCAAATTCGAGCACCGGCCCGCAAGCGCCGACACGACCTCCGAATCCAACCTGTGCAAGCGAAGATCCAACGACGTCCACAACGACGTCGAGCTCCCCAACCCGCGCCATGCCCTGCACACGGACGCGAGACTCGCCCTATCCCTATAGTTCAGCAAATTGAACAACCCGAACACAGTATCATCCGGCAGCTCCGTCCAATGCGCATCGCGATCCCCAGCAATTCCCACGCCCGACTCCGCAACAGACACTGCCGGGGCACTACAAGCGGACGACGACGACGACGGTGTTATCCTGGCCTTCTTGAACAAAACCGGCTGCTGCTCCTGCTCCTCCACCGCCACGTTGACGCTCCGCCGCCGCTTGTTGGACATATCATCATCACCTCCTCCCACAATCGCCCGCTTCATTATCTAGCGCAACGCGAACGCAACACCTTGGTCGCGATCCCTTGTTATCCAACCATCACACTCTTCACCCTCCTGCACCTATTCACCCATTCCCTCTCCCCAGGACTCGATCCCATTCCGCGACGTTGTTAGCTATTCCCACACCACGAAACACCACGCATGCGCTAATCATAATTCCCCTCCTCCTTTCTCCCTCATCTCCCTCCCACCCTCAAAATTAACAACGTCCTTCCTTCGGAACCATACCCTTGCACTCAATGTCTGCTCCTCTACGCATCCCCTGCTGCCACTGCGCCCCCGCAACGTAACCAGGCTCTGCGCGTTTTTCATCACCCAAGCAACCGGCAGCGTATACGTTACGGCTCATACAAACCCCAATTCCGTCACGGACAGCATCAGCAAACACCGCCTAGCAGAGCAATCGCAACCCTGTCTACACAAACAGCTCACAAGAGGAAGGCAAAGGATATGAGGAGGAGGTGAAGAAGAAGAAGCACCAGTGGAGAGGAGAAAGAGAACTACATACTGCCTGCGCAGCCAGCCAGCCAGCGCAGTGCCAACCCACCTGGGCCGGGCCGGGCCGGGCTGGACTAGGCGTGGCGTGGGTGGGTCAGCCCGGGCCGCCTTGTTCCAGCGTTGACCGGGACCTTGCGGCAGCTCCGTTAGTCTCCCTGCCCGTCCGGGCAATTTTTGTTCACGAATGAAACCAGACTTTCGATGAAATATGGGATTGATGAAGTTTTGATGAACACATGTTATGGATGTGTGATGAACGAATATATGGATGATGTTTGGGTGTTACTGGATGGACGAATGAGGTGTAATGATGGATGGATCTGGATAGATGGATGACGGACTCTGCGGCATCCTTGTCTATTCACAAGTAACACGGTTGCGATTTTTAAAGTTGTCTTACTTTTTGAAAGACAGTTGAACGTTGGGGGCAAGATTTCATGTTTATTACGGTCACATTGATTTTGGACACTTTTTCGAATTCTCATGTATGCAGCTTTGGGCGTTGAAATATTCAATTGTCACTTTGTCACATGATGCAGGTTATAGCTATTGACAAAAATTGTTTGTGTGTGTATGGAGGTTTGTGCAACTTTTAAAACATGGGTTTGATTGTTTGATAATATATATATATATATATATATATGCGGTACTTTTATGATTTTGGATTTAAGATACCAATGTATATGTTTAAGCACACACATGTAAAAGACATTATTTTTATTTGAAAGTTAAGTCATGAGATAACTCTTTATGATTCTCTACACAAAAAACTTTTGCTTTCAAAGAATTTATTTGAATATATATATATATATATATATATATTTATACATTTACACATGTACATTTTTGGTCTTTGGTGTTGTTTTTGTTATTAAATTTTCATTCCATATTCTGTTTTTTTCAGATAAAAAGATGTCCGTCATAGAGAATATACATTGAAATTGTATACTGTTAAAGTGAAAGTATTTATAACATCTACAATTGAAACCATATTCTGTATAACGTGAAGTTTAAACGTTTTGAAGCAATGTAGGTTCAAAATTTAAAAGTAAAAAGTTACTCTACCTAAGTGTTTCATACCATTACACTATTAGTATAGTAAACATTAGTTGATATATCATAGTTTAGAATTAACAGGAAATAGACATCACTTTGCTATCCATACACTGACAATAACATGTCAAAACTAATCTCGGCTTCAAATCACATGCTTTCAAATGACACTTCCAAGCCAGCTCTTTTCACCAGTAATCTTGATTAGGTCCAAAACCATTTCTTTCACCACAAAAAATCAACAAAATGTCGTTTTTTCTATAATAGAAACCATTAAAAGTATGTACGTCGCACTGCACTGCGTTGGACCAAGCTTGTATTTGAACAACGTACTATGCCAGTTTGAGGGTACATCAATTCTCTTTTCAAAAAAGAACAAATTACACCGGAAGCATTTACATGTGTTTAGACAGACATCTGAATGATGTGATCCTTTCGAGGCTTTGGATGTAGTGATAGGTGCCCAGTAACTACTCGACATGATTTGACATTCACAATGGGCCACATCAGTTGAGCTCATCTCCATTTGCTCCGAACATCTCAGCTTGTGAAATTCAGATAGTGAAATAAGCTAGGTTACCAGCACAGCAATCGTTCACGTTGATATCAATTCCTTTCACTAATGCCACATCAAAAGAGTTCACATTCGTAGACAGAAACCACTCCCGTTTCGATGGATTCAATACAACAGCCAAAGCTCTTTCCTCATCAAAAAGACTCGTAATGAACTGCAAGTGATGGTGGTCTGATGAATAAGTTAGCCATTTCAAAACAGACGTTTCGAGTATGTGTGGAATACCATCCTGAAGTAGTTTCACATGAATTCCTACTCCATTTCTCTTACACGGTATGAAGTGGCCACAAGCTTCCAGTAACCTCATGTTCATGAAGCTCAATTACCAAGTGACAATTCAGCATGTCTGGGAATAAGCAAGGCCAACAGACTGTTCTCTGTACATGTCAGGAAGGGCAGCAGCAGCTAGTAATGACGTCCAAGAGATTATTCAAGTACACGCAGAGACCAGGGCTTGGAGCAACTTCAGTGCGGATAGTACAGTAGTTGACACGAAGTGGGTACAGCTATAGAGCCCTGGGAATTAAGCCTCGCAGCCGCCATCTGATGTGGATAATAGCTACATAGTTAACATGTATGAAACTCCTTTCCGTACTTAAGTGGGAGCTCGAAAACTCTCAGGTCCTCGAAAGCTGTCTCCGGCTCGGAAGCTACTCCCTCGGAAACTACCGAAGTCTATAAATCTGCGCATGGATTCGGACCTCACAACTGGGTGTTTTTTGCGTCGGTGTAAATACACGGCACCTGCGACCAAAACTAGTAGAGCAAATGCTCCAGCGAGGGTACCCGCAATTATCCAGACCTTAGTTTTGCGTGACATGCCATTCGGATTGGGTCCCGTAAACGCCTGTAAAGAACATGTTGCGAATTTCGTGTTAGTGCGCATGCGCGAGGCAGGAGCAACAAAAAGATCTACCCAATACGACAATATCAGAAAAACGTGATGAGGGTTTCATGGACTCTTCTCTGAAGAAATTGTGAGGATGAGAATGAAATACATAGCACTTGGGGGATGATTAGAAGAGAAACATACTGAATTTGGACCATACTCGCTACCAGGCGGTTTCAGCAGATCCAAGTTGACCAAACTCCCGTTCTTTATCGCCCCCTTGACCTGCACATGAATAGGGTTCCCAGAATTCGTCTCAAAGAGTTTAGGAGTGGAGTAGAACAAGTACAAAAAGTAGCATTTTCTAGGCCGGGAAGCGAAGGCCTTATAAGATAATAGAGGTATACTAGTGAACACTCGTAATGTAACTTCAACCATTCTACACCACAGTTGGATATCAAAATTCCAAGAGCCCAATGTACCATTCACAAATAACACTAGAATAAAATCCCAATTCATAGGGGTATACACGGGATAATTTGAGCAAACGCGAATCGAGAGCCAGAATGCAAGCGTTATGCTGTCAACTACAAGAGAATAAAGAGGGTCGATCGAGACATACCACCCACTCTGTAGGTGTAAGCGACATGAAATCATAATAAGGATCCTGTGCTGCTACACTCCGGCTTCCAGTGGCAGGGTCAAATGAGACTGTACCACTGCAGCCCTCGAACTTTAGGACTCCAGGACCAGAGCCGTTAAGTGATTTCAAAACATTCTGTTTGGTAACAGTTACATTTGCCTTAATGAGGTTGTCGATAACATGGAAATACGTTTGCACAGCGTCAATTAAGTGGGCAACGTAGGACCGGGTTCTATTCTTCCTTTCAGAGGGATAGCCAGGATATTTTTTAGCTTTCCAGTATGAGTAAAACTTTTCGCAAGCGGGGTTGTTAATGTCGGCACCTGAAACAATGGTAAAAACTCCTGTGTTCAATTATCATATTGGAAAAAAAAAAAAATAGAGAAACATAAGTAGTCCTATCACATAGCAACATCACTCCCTCCAACTGAAAGAGGCATGATCCCTTCCAAAGATGAAACTTCTAGTTGGTTGAATCTTTCAGTGTCCTCACTGCCCATCAACCAACATAGGAACTTGAAATTTTAATAGTCAGCCATTATAAACCACAGTTCGACGTGAATTGTATTCCTCCGTCTGTGAACAAACAGGTCTTTCCAAACCAATCAATAGTTGAAACGAGTAAAAGAAAAATTAAACTGAATGACACACACAGATTTGAAGAATACTAACCATGAGGGGTTACTCCAATTTCTCCTAGCAAGGCGCTTACCAAACTGGGATCTACAGCGGGTAAACAACACTTTCAATTTCAACGCAGTAAGCGTGCCATGAAGCTTAACAAATAAGACACATTTTCTCTTAAACTTCTGTCCAGCTCCATATGGGTAACGATATGAAAAGCCAAACCTGTAGTGTTGTCCGTAGGATCAAATGCAGTAACTCCATCTGTCCCAAAGTACCAATATGGCCACCTTATCCTGTCCTGCACATAGTAAGCCAAACAGTTTTACAAACCCTCAGATCAGATTCGACGCAAGGAAAGTTTATGAACAATTTCAATTGATAGTAAATCAGTCCCCAATCTATTAGACAGGAGTCAATTCTTACCAAGTCTCTGGCAGCTTTCCAGATCTCATAGGCTTGGATTGGTTGCACAGCCATGACTACAAACTCTTCCTTTCCGACTTTGTCCAGAACACCAGCAAGCTCAGTGATATCAATAGTTGAATTCACTCCTCTGTGAAGAAGGAATGTATTTACAATTGTCGCGTTACCTATCGCCTGGATGTAGTTCACAACAATCCCGATGTTACCAATGCAGCTCTTGTGCTGGAGTCCGTACTTAACAAATAAATGACCGGTTATTTTTTTTAATATGCAACAGTCCCTAATACCCTACGTGACAAGAGAGCAAGACCTACTCGTATGCTTCTGTCCTTGGACTGAGAAGGGGAACTGAACATGATTATCCACATATACATAATTACATGGATTTTTGTGGAGTGGTACCAACATTGACTATTTCTGAGCCCAAATTCATGCTGTAGTACTGCTGAGTGGTCAACACCGTGATACGTTTGATTTTCAAATGTAACACCTGAGATGAATTTCACGTTAGTGTAATAGTGTACGTAGCAGCTGAACCCAAACATGCCATCACGAACGCATATTGACAAGGTATACTGTAGAAATTCGATTGTGAACATTAAATTACAGCTGGTCACGGCAAACTAGTCCAGAGTAGCACATGTCCAGGCACCTGTTGTGATCTGGGCTATGCATTCACATAGGTAGACGTTAATTTGCATACGGAAATAATTTGCGCAAAACAGAGTTTAGATTTAAATATTTGCAGAAAAGAAGTGATAATATTCGAATGATGAGATGAAAAATACTTACACTAGCTGCAATGGCTGCTCCTTGATACCTATCACTAAATCTGCAACGAAAAAACAAGGAAAAGTGAGTCGGTGGCACCAAACAACACATTTCATCCACAGAGCTTGATAGAATCCTCCTCTGATTTGAAATCAACACTGCGTCAACAGTTCGGCAACGAAAAAGAGAATCGCGACGGGATATATACACTGTACGGAAAATTGTTGGGAAATTAATCCGGTTCGAAAGACTTTCTGAGGTGGCAGCGAACGAAACAAGCGGGTAATTTTGTTCCACAAAAACTCTGCCAGCTGACATAGCTGCGTCAGAGCAGGCAGGACCCACTCCGCCGATTAAGAGTGGAATTACTGTCGGACGGAGAAGGGTCTCCGCAGCCTGCTGGCCGAGTTGCCAGTCACATTCAGTGGATTTCAGCGTTGCGACCATCGTGTATGGTCTCTTCTCGGAGTTCAGGACCTCCATAGCCACTTGAAATGCCGAATTCCTGGCAAGAACAAAAAAATAGAGGCCAAACTTCAACGCCGCACGTTTTGAGAGTTGATTGAAAATAGTAGAGGTGTAAACTTTACATGATCTCTCTGCAAACCTTGAAAAATAATCACCCGTTGCCTGTCTCAATAATGCTATCCAATGAAATTCGTGGTTTGAATCAAAGGGGTCGGCACTCACCATTCAATGGCCAGATTGGTGGGAATGACTGAATCAGGTGAAGGCGACAGAAAGCCTATCCTGTAAGTTATATTCTGAGGATTTTGAGCTGTTGCATCCCCAAAGCAAATGCATATTACCATTGCGAGAAGAACTGCCATAAACCTCCCCATTCTTGCCATCGCAACGAACATCAACTCCAGTGACTCCAGAATTCTCTTGTCAAGGTTTAAAGAGCCTTCATATCGGTCTTTATACAAGGCTGTAGCTACAGAGGAGAGAGATACATCCAAAGTATCTACTCAATTTGAAGAGTGCTGTCTACCCGGCGCAAATGACCTTCTTCAGTCTGGAAATGCAACCCAAGAACTATATAATGTCAGGTGGTGGGCTAGAATGATCCCCCAGAGAAGAAGCTCACCGAAAAAAATGTTATCCTTCTCCAAATGAGTACTTCAGGGACAAACAACGCTAATGATACGAAAGACTTTGGCTCTAGCTATGTCTAAATGTTCAACTATCAAGAGGACACACGGGCATAGCACAGAGCCGAAGGAATACTAAAACATTCAAGATACAATCAAGAGCAGTTGAGAACCTAAATCTAAGAAATTCCAACGACGCACCCAACTATACAAAAGTTAAGTTAGTGATGTCCAAGAGAATGAGCTAGGACGGACTTACATTTCTTCCAGGATCGCAGGAAATGCGATAATTAGCCTACTTTAAAGCACACCATAAAACTGAAAACACAAGAAAGGACAAGACTGGACACAAGGTAGTGCGCACGTGCTTGATAGCTCTTGCAACCTCTCAGGTCTGCGCCAACCTTCAACATTCACACCTAAAACGCATAGCAGAGGAAAGCTTCAATTGCTGTTGAGGACTCCGACACATGGAGCTCAAGAACATTTCTCGATTGCGAAACTGCAAAGACACTCTACTTTCCATCACACCGCAAGCTCCAGCAGATCACAAGGGCGGCACCTTCGAAACGCGAAGGCGGCAGGAGAAACTGGGAAAGACGCCAATGGGTTGGCAAACGGGGTCAGTTCTCGAGACAAACGTCGCGTGGTGCTTTCAGATAGCAAACTATAAGCTGCTTTCAAGGGAAACACCCAGGATACCAATACAGCCGAGAACAGGCAGGAATGATTTGACCCACATCACACAGATACTACCAGTGTAAAACGTCGAAGGACGCGAAACCAGGGAGACCAACAGTGTGCAAAGCTCCAGAAACCAAGGAAATTTCAAACTTTCAGTAAATGCCTGGCAGGATTCTGTTACTCACACTCATATGTACAGGCAATTGGGCGTCTCTGAGGTGACGACAAACGTAACGAATGCCAAGACTGGCAAAGGAAGCACGGTGCAGACAATCAGAAGCAAAGTGGGTGCACGTCCTCCCACTCACTCACTAGGTATGGTCCCCAATGCAAAGCACAATGAGCGATTTTCTTCTGCACAAAGCATTCACCAGATACCCGCTTCGGCTGCTGCTGCCCAACGGCCCACTCCTTACAATGCGCGACTCATGCGTGCCACGTCCGCATCAAGACCCAGTAATCTGTCAATTCAAAGCCAACCCCGATCTTACGGGACATTGATTCGTCCGATCTTCCTCTATCACTGGTCCCTACCACTGCACTACTCCAGCCACACCGCTTCGTAAATAGACTCTAAAAACACCAACATAATTGCATTGTGGGGAATAAACTAGACTTCCTCTATTGCCAAACCCCGCACGTCATTATCATCAATGCAGCATGCACAATCGCACTGTCCCCCACTGGCTCCACTTCCAATTCCCCACTTTGACTACTGACGATGGACGACGCATGAACGTTGAGGGGACTAAAAGGAGCTCCAGCCCGCTTCCTTCATGATGATGCAAACCCGGCCTTCATTTATGTTGGGTCCGACACCACCGCCGAACAGCACTAGTTGACCCTGATCCAGGATGGTACATCCTTACAAGTAAAAGTCTTGCTCCAGAGAGATAAATATACCCTCATCTCTTTCCGAGCACAGATCTTCCAAGCCTGCCTACTCTGCTGACTTGCTGCCGCTTCGCCACCGCATTGGCCACAGCTGCGTCATCGCAGGCCTACTTCCTGGTAAAATGTGGGTTTAGAGCTCGCTTTTTACGACATACAATGATTTGTGCAATAATGCAGGTAGAAGGATTAATAATCATTTCGCGTTTGCTACGTGTTGGACTCGGAGTTTTGCATGCATTTGTTGGATTTACTTTTGTTAGCTCTGGAGTGGCGATGAGGTAAGGCTGTCAGTGTTCGTGGAGGGATGCGCGTCCTTCAATGGAGATAACCTAGAGACGGGGACAGATACAAGTTGTAGTATGAAGTTGAGTATCTTCTAGTATTTTCCAACAGGTCCTTCGGCATTCACTGCAAGTAGAACTGTTTTACAGTAGGTGCTAGTATTTGAGTAAGTAATTTGTCTGTTTCACTTGATTGTTAAACACTGATTAGTTGTTCATTTGGTATTGTAGCTACTCGATGGTGTAGCTGTAGATTAGTTGCCAATTGCTAATTAGGATGTTTAAAGCTTAAACAAAACTTCGGAGAAATGTCTTTAAATGAGGTTCACAGGGTTTTAAAGTACCCTAGATAAATGGCAAGGACTTCAATTCGTCAAGAGGAAAAGACACTTGAATTTGAAATCTGCATACATGACCCAGAGAGTAAACTAGACACATATATTATTAGACCCAACTGAGAGGTATTCAATGACATGAGACAATACGGTACCAGAGTGTACCATAATGGTACGAAACAGTCAGCAGCTAAGATCGATATGTTAGTAGGTCCCGAGTGAAACAGGAGAACTCGTAGGACGTTGGTCGGAGATTCACCAGATTGTAAAAGACGGGAGACAATGATGCAATCGATATGTATGGCTTACAGGTGAAGGTCAATATCACTGTACGAACTCCCCCCTCCCCTCAGTCCCTCCCCCTCCAGCATATGCTTCACAATAGCTTAGAACAAACTTTACTGCACTTCTTTCTAAATATCTAACATAATGAGGAATGAAGTGGCGAAACCAGGAAAAAAATCTAATTTAATTGAGAGAATCAATACACAAACGGCAAATGCCCATCATTTAATACGCTGATGTCGCCGGAGCGGACTCTTCCTTATCTCCCTGCCAAAGGTCGAGGCCAAAGTTAAAGCATTGATGACTTGATTATCCTCTCTTCATTAGATAACCATAACTTGCGGCGGATTATATCACAATGCATAATAACGTAGACCCCAAATCCCAGCTTATAATGCCAGTTAAAATCACTAAAAGGAAACAAAAGTGCATGCACTTACCCCAGTTTGCTCAGACTTTTTCCTTATTTTCCGTGTGGGAGTTCTCATGGTGACGAGCTCTTCAGCTGCAGTAGGATGAATTCCCACAGTTGAATCGAACATTTTCTTTGTCAAACCCGCTTTTACAGCAACAGCGAAACCCTACAACAAGTTCAAATCAAACATTTCTTACATGAAAAAAAATTACATATAAATACCTCAAACAAACATGTTCACTTCCGAATATGACATCTTTAATAATTAGCAACAGGACTAGCAGAAGCTCTTCATCAGCTGATAGGCAATAAGCAGATGTACAACACAAAAAACGTAACTGAATCAGTATGTTATAATGCAATCACAATTCTATGGAAGACACAAAAACTCGGGGGATTTTGCGTACCTGCAAAATTTCTGGAGTTTCATCCCCACACATATGGATGCCAACAACTTTGTCACTTGATGCATCTACAATTATCTTCATAAAAGTCTTCTCTGGTAAACCAGATAGAGTAGCCTTCATTGGCCTAAAGGTCGAAGTGTAAACATCTACGTCGCCAAATTTTTCCACTGCCTGAAAAAAAACGCTCAGCAAAATTTGAACACAAGTCTTCCCAACTACAAAATCAAATTACATTGTACACAAATAGAAAGGAATTACAAAAACATTCTCAACGCTGATTGCTAGAGTAGTATATTTCTATACTAAGTACTTGAATACAATCTCAATAGGTTTGAGTACACTATTGACAAATGCAAGAACACTATAGCAAGCAACCTTTCTCCGCCTAGTTAAAGAAACTAGCTTCTGTAAACACTTGGCACAAGCTCTCCACATCTCAGAGGCCTAGAGACTGCCTAGTAAATGAAGTCAAAGATGAAAAAATAGAACAGAAAATAAATGAATGATTCTCAATTTTAAGAAAGATGGTCTCATCTACAGCACGTTGAAAACAATCACGCTAAGCACACACCTGTTCTTCAGTGTAACCGACTGTTCCGATAGGAGGTTGAGTGAACACCGCTGAAGCAATAAATCTGAAACAGTAAAGCCCGGATCTCACGAAATCAGACATAAAACATCGGTAAGTCGTTACAGAACAGAAATCAAGTAACTGGGTACTCCATGGACGCCGCTTGTGTTAAAATTTCATTCACATATCAGAACAAATGCAAATGTGAGGCAGTACCTGTAATCAGGTTTGGTCGGCTCATTTCCGAAAGCAGTTTTTGCCATTGCCATACCCTCCATGAGAGCAACAGGGGTCAAATTAATGCGGTTTGTCACGTCTCCGATTGCCCAAATTGAATCTACGTTTGTCCTTGAAAATGAATCCACCTTCGAAAAGAAAACCGTCAAGAACAAGCAAGATGTGTGAAAACTTGAGTCTGCATGAAAATCATACAGGAGCCCATCACACTAAACTTCAAACGGGAAGCTTCACTCAAAATAGCGTCTACGTATACATGGAGATTCATATGATGCAATGTCAACAATACAAAACTTCTGTGTAGATTCTAATCTGCACTTAGCTTCGCAACAAAGAAAAATCACTTAATAAGGATCCCTCTTCACTTAGATAAAAATGGCTGGTGTGAATAAGCACCTCAATGGCTCCTCTTTTGTCAAGCTTGACTCCAACTTCTTCCAAACCTAAATTCTGAAAAGTTCCCCAGAAACACCTGAGAAAAGCATTTTCTGTTCGATATACGCATTGAAACGTTTGAAACACGGCCCATACAATGTCGGCATTCTCTGAGATAGAATTTAAACTAATCAAACGCATAATGAAACGATCTCCAAGTGATCGGCACTCTTAAGCAAATACCTTAGTGTTTGGAGCTCGCCCAGTAGCAAACATGACAAGGTCGCTGACTTCTTTCCCAGAATCCGTCACAAGACAAAATGTCCCATCGTTTCTCTTCTCTATAGCTGTAGGGCTCTCGCCAAAATGGAATACTATCCCTTGAGCTTGCAGTTGGGCCGCAATGAAATCTCTAATCTGCAAACATTCGCAGAACATCCCTCAAGAGAGAACCACAACACCAAACTAAAAACCGAGACAACCACATTGCAGCAGAGCTTTTGATACTTTTATCATGTTGCATTCAACACTAGCAATAAGATCAACCCAGCATTTCTTTTCCTATCATGTCATCAGAAGTTGCCGGGTAGAGAGGTCATATTACTCCAAGTACCTCTTCATCGAATCCTCGCAAAACCTTCGGTTGGCGAACAAAAACATGAACTTCTGTTCCTAGTCCAGCGAAAATGCCTGCAAATTCCAATGCAATGTACCCGCCTCCCACAATACAAATCTTGTTGGGCCTTTCCGACAGATTCAGAGCCTCATCTGAAGTGATGGCATTCTCTTTACCGGGAATGTTAGGAACTGTTGCACGACCACCAACTGAAACAAGGATGTGCTGGGTTGTATATTGCTTGCCCTTCACCTCTACCGTATGCGCATCAACAATCTGTATCAGTTTCAATAGAGAAGTTAGTTACGTGGGTAGCCACCAAACACTAGGTAGCACATCAAGCAGCTACCTGTCAGAAGCAACATTTGAGGCCATCATAGCTCAGCAAGACCCTTGAGGCTTGCACCTATACGAAGAAAAAGAAAAGCTTACGGCCGAACCTTGCCACGACCCTCTATTAGGTCGACTTCGGACTTTTGCAGCAGTGACTTATAAACTCCCGTCAATCGATTTAACTCTGCATTTTTGTTCGTGATTAGGGTTTTCCAATCGTGTTTGGGCTCCGTCTCGAATGACCACCCGAATCCTCGGCTGCTCTCAAAATCGTGTGGAAAGTTGGCTCCGTATACCAGGAGCTTTTTAGGAACACATCCTCTTAAAACACATCTAATGACCACCAACCAACTTAAGTTAATGATATTGAAAACGCCGAACTCATACTAGACCTCTCAGTTACGTTAGCTTCGATTGACTCATATCAGAGGTCAACGTGAATTTCGTGAACAACGTCTGAAAGAGCACCAGTCTTGAAGTCAAGTGTAAGATCCAAACGTCTACCGATCGAAAAGATCTGTTAGCTACACTAATCCAGATTAGAAAACCTCGCAAAAGGAAATAACAATAAAATAAAAATTCAGGAGCAGGATAGGGCATGCTGAGTACAACTTACGTTCCCCCAACACCACCAGCTTCATCGGACGAGATGGGCGCGAATGGCATTTCACAAACTGCAACGTTAGCCCCAAATTGAGATGCAAACCGGGCTGCCCGGACACCACCACTACCAGCCCCGATAGCTATCAAGTCATAGTCATATTCCTTGTAGTATCCATTTTCTCCATTTGTGGACATAGCCTTGACCTTCAAATCTTGTCGCATGTACACACCCCGCGAATTCCATGGCCGGACACTGAGACGCACTCCTGAAAGCAAAAAGTAATGGAATTTCAAGATTTAAAAGAAAACATTGCACTGGTTCATATAGTGTATACGGAGAGTAAGTAATCCATATCAACTCGTTAGGAGTTCAAGCCAGAGGGTATAGACACAAAAAAAGCAAGAAAAACGTTGTCTGTGTGGCAGTGCTTGAAGAACAAGCCTATCTCACGGCCATGATCAAATTTATAAAATCACCAAAAATACTATTACAGAGTCGTTAAATCAAGTTAGACCGCCCGCATCACTGAATTGTGAAATATCTTATCCCACTGTTAAAAATATAGTCATTTCCAGCTGAACCATTGCATCATGTAGAGCTTCGATTAAGAAGCAACACAGTCACAGTTCAGAATGTCATTTTTTTATCATCGCCAATAGAATTACTCGTACTAACAGACGGAACTCTACTGCAAAGTCAAATCTCAAACATTAAGGCAGCTGCAAATCAAGACGAGAAAACCTCATGATGATCTAGCTGAATGCAATCAGTCCAAAGACTTACAACCCCCCGCATAACATACAACTAATGATCATACCACGAGAGTAGGGAGCAAAACGACCAAGAGCTAAGAAGATACACAACGAACACTCACCGTAGAAATTCGTGCAGACAGGGGTATGAGGATACCGGTGACGCCCCAAGATAACCTCCTTCACAACTATACCACGGACGCACGCTGCCCCCACGCATTTACTCATTCCGGCTGTAATTGCCATTTTGTCCGCCAGTCCTCTGCACCACATTCAACTCCACCTGAATCCGTATCTACTAAACTTCACCTCCGAATCCCAATGTGCTAGGAGCACTACTACGCATCCACCAATCTCATACTACCAAAATCCCCGGGCTCCATTCACAACACCGAAAGAAGAAACAAACAAAGGAAGGGAAAAAAAAAAAAAAAAAAAAAAAAAAAAACCTAAACCAAGACCCTTGGCCATCGACTCACTCAATCCCCGACAATTATTCCACTTCGCAATACAAAAACGAAACCAGACACACCCTAGCAATAAAATAAAAACAAGAGAGCGAAGAATTCACGAGCGAGGTCCAAAATTACCGGAACGAAAACACAAGCAGCGACTCGCTCACACAGTGACAAGCGGGCCATAACGCGGCTCAAGGAAGTCCGTGGACAACGAGCAACGCCGTTAGAGCACCCTCCCCAAGACCGCGGCAGCGGATGACGTCGATGGGAGGGAGGGGGGGTCCCAAGGGCGTGGAGAATGAGTTGGCATCGTGTGAAGCCAACGACGTCAGGAAACATAATCCGAACTGGGGTCGTAAGTGGCGAGCTGGCCCTGCCCAACCCGCGACGGCGAGAATCCACCCGGTGGAAAAGGAGGGCCCTTCCCACGTGTCATGCCACGTCATATTCTTCCACGTGTCCGATGAGGGGACCTGCTGGCACGCTTCTTGTCCCTGCGGTCGAGCCTTGGTTGACGTGGATGCCTTCATCGAATTTATATGTATATCTTTATAATTATTTTTTGTGATTTTAAAATGATTGGGGTGACAATGACCATGATGGGCTATCAAATCCTGTTTTATCCCCCTTGCAAAAGTTTGCCTCTCTTTGTTGTGCTTCTCAACTCTAAGCTAACAATAACACTACATGTTTATTTTTATTTGTTTTGTTTAAGTAATCATCCACAATTGTGACTAAAAACTTACTCACTGTTTATTTGAAAAAAAAAAAAAAAAAAAAAAAAAAAAACACACTGATTACTAGCACTCAACTTCTATTGGAAAATTATTTCAAATTCTGATGTTGATAATAGATTATTCTATTAAGGTGGCAAAGTTTCTACTATATATAAAATTTATTACATTTTTTTTGAAAAAAATCTAATCTTTTTTTAATAATATTTATCACTATCATGGATTTTTAAAGGATAGAGTATTTGATAGAAGGACTCAATATAAATCAAGGTTTTGGAGAACTTTTATTAAGATATTGAATCTAAACATAGAACTATCTTTGGCTTTCCATCCTCTAATTGATGAACAAACAAAATATATGAATTAAGTTTTTTAGTACTATTTAAGATGTACCATCAACTACCATAAAGATGATTGGGCAACTTTTTTGTTATTAGAAAACTTTGCATATAATACCACAATATATTTTTATATTTAAAAAATATTTTTTTAATATTAATTATTCTTATCATCCATAACTTGATAGTTTTGACTTCTCAAAAGTTGATAATTTAATAGCAAAAGATTTGGAAATTTTTTTGTCAAATCTACATACAAAAATAAAGACATAATTAAAATAAATAAATAAATAATAAAAAACTCTAGAACCACAAAAGATAAAAAAAAAAAAAAAAAAAAAAAAAAAAATGCCTATTGCAAGGAACAATTTTAATTGTGCATTGGTGACAAAATACGATTATTCTTTTGTTATATTATGACTATTTGTTCTTGTAACAAGTTGAATTATTATAAACTAAAATCATTTCTTATTTGTGAATTAGTCAATTTAGTTGCATACATAAATAGTCAAGAAATTCTTACTCGTTTCATATTTGTGGTCAATATAATTTTCCACATTTTATACATGTTCAAAATTTAATCACCACTTCTTATGAAAAAAAATCTTAAAAAGGATACTGTATAAACAAAGATAGTTACATATAACATAGAAAGTGCTACAAACCAATTATAAAGTACGTAAACAAAATCAAATACAAATGTACAAAGAATACACTCTTAAGGAAAGATTATAAATCTACACACAACTAAGTCAAGCTATCTTTCACATTACAAAGGAAGAATCCAAGAGTATAAGTATAAAGAATTAAAAAAATCCCAAAACTTTATTAAAATAGGTCAATCACCATAGCTAAGCAAACCCTTACAAGAAGTTCTTTTTCCTCCAAAATTACTCACAAGATTTGATTTGACAAGAATGTCAAGTCAAGGATTTTTTTTTCTACTTAAGTATTTAAATCCTAATTGACATTAACAAAGTCAATTGATAAAAAAATATCAATAGATGAAAATCTACTAGTCATGCTAAATTAAATACATTTGATGGAATTTGGTACCTAATGCCATATCAGATGATAGTTGTTGTGTAAACTAAGATTATTACACACAACTAATTGAGTGTTACAAATCGATTTCAAAGTATATAATATAAACCAAATACAAATGCACAACCAACACACTTTCAAGCGTCTACTTCTTCTTCTTTCCTCCTAGTTGATTATAAGTCTTTTTAGTCAATTAGAATTACAAATCATACATAGTTGAAGATAAATGTTATAATGATATTGTTGCCAAATTGTACTCATTTTGGCTAGTATTGTAATAGCTAGACCATCAAAGTATGTGACAAATATAATAGAAGAAATCTTCAATCCTTATCAATAGATGACGCATGGCTACAAGACTTCTTACAATAAGAGCAAATCTAATCTCTTGAAAGGGGAGTTGAAAGAAGTGGTATCAAATATGCCATATGCCACCCATGTTGACATTAATCACACAAAAGTATGGTACCAGCCTCTTTCTTCTTGCTACATATAAAATAAAAAAGACTAATTAATACAACTACTAATTCAAGATGTATAGAATTGTTAATAGAAAGATAACAAAGAGCACAATTCTTTGAATGCTCCTGACATTCTTGTCCATCCTTATCTTCCAATAGCAAAATACTACTAGGCAACATATCCTTTACACATAGAATTGTGCACCCTATCTTATTATCAAATGTTGTAGGCATCTCATGTTGCAAATATATATAATTATTTTTAAAGAATCTTTACAACTAAGGTCTATAAGCTCTATTAGGAATGAAAATATGTTGTAAGGTATTGCGATGTTGAATAATAGATAAGTTATCAATAGCCATAGATATGGCTTGCTTAAAGAACTCTACTTAATTGTATAGACATTCAGCCTAAATATCAAGATCATCTAAGTGTACAATTAGAGCTAGCTTCTTACATATTGAGCTTGGTAGGATTGGTTTTTGTACATACAACTAGTGGTATTCTTTGTTTTGTATCAAAGTAAATTTTTATTAATTATTTAGAAATAATAATGATAATAATAATTTAAATGTTTATATAGTTTTTTATATTTATTTTACTTTAGAAAAATTAATTATGCACAACTATGCAAGTATTATTTCTAACTTACTACACATATTTTCTTTACAATTGTTTTATAATTTTCTAGCTTCTTATTAAATTATGTCACTAAATATTAAGCATGCTTCAAGTTAAAATTATTAATCTATCTATACTCTTCAAGAAGATATTCTTTATTTATATACATATGTATATTATATTTTTTATTTTTTATTTTTTATTTTTTTATTTTAGCTTGTTTTATATTATATTCTTATTTTGCACTTTTTCATTGTATGGTTGTCTTAGTTTGGCTTTATAATTATTTTTTTCATCTTTTATAAATATTTTTAGAACTAAGTCATGAAAAATTAGGTCTTTAATTAACATTTGAGAGATATTTATAATATATAAATTTTCATAGATAATTTTTTTAATCTTATAAGAATATGACCACTTTTCAAATTATTTAGCAAAAAACTTTACTAGAATTGAAAGTGATTTATGTTTGTAAGCACTTAATCACCTTCTTTAAACTGGATATTTTTTCTATACTTATGTATTTGTTATTCATACTTTTAGATTGTAATTTTTAAGATAAATTTTAGTCATCTTTACTTCTTCTTCTTTTTTTCTTTTTGTTTTTGTATTCCATCCAATCCTTTTAATTGATTGGAATTTTAATGTAAATTAACTTCTTATTTTAACACCACTAAGATGTATTAGTTTGAATGCACTAAAGTTTATGTACTAAAGTTTATGTACCAAATTAAACAAAAAAAACATTGATGAAATTTTGAAATTTATATTTTCCTTCTATTAAAACATATTCTATCTAATTTCTACAATTAAGGACTATATTATCTCTTAGATACATATTGAAAATTCCATTGATTCTTTTAATTTAGTCATCTCCTTGTGAATGTTAACTTGTAGTAAGTATGACTTAAGTTCTTAACTTTCTCATTATATATTGCCAAAACATTGTGTGACATTGTGCATTCTTTATATTTATTATTCTTCAACAAACGTATGGCTTTATATAGCTTACCATGTTGATTACTATGTCATGTGCAAATTGACCTTATATAACTTATTGTATGGCTGACCATATTATGGGTGATTTGGCCTTGAATGTTAAAATGTATAAGTTGTTATTTCATTTTTATATATATGTATAAGTTGTTATTTCATTTTTATATATATGTATAATAATTTCTAATAGTTACTAAATTTATATTCACAAGTCTTTGAAAGAAGTACTTAAATTATGATCAATCTTATTATTGAATATTTTATTATACACAACTTTTTGATACTTTAATTTTTTTTTAAATAAATAGTTAATATATGCAAGTTACACAATATTACATGTATAAAATACTAAATATTATATAACTTAAATATTCCAATTTTTTTAATGAGAATGCATTTAAACTTAACAATTGTACTACTGCTCTTTTATAAACTTATGTGATCATGATATTTTGTACAACAAAAATGATTATCAATGTCCACGAAAAAAAAAGCACATAGTTAAAATTCAATTTTATTTTGGAGATAATTAGCTGAGAAAGCATCGTAACGAGCACTTTTAAAAGTTACTGACAGGAGTCTAGCGAATGTACGTACGTATAGATGAATTAAAAGAACAAAAAATAAAAAAGATAACAGCAAGAACAACAGCGAAGGGAACGAAAATGATTCAACAGCAAGCGCTATGAAAAAAGTTAAGTGCTGAACTGGCCATCTGCCATTACCATCATCAACACGAACTTTGGACCTGGTACTCACAAAGCAAATGAGCAATTGCAAATCCTGATATTACATTTCGGATCACTGAACGGAGGTCTGAATCTCAGAAGCATCGTTAAATACACATACTTAGTTCAACTAAGGTAAGAAATTCGTCAAATGGAAAAAAGCACAAATGTCGAGACTGTTGTCTCATACCATGAACTTGGATATTTTGGTAGACATAACCCCTCTACGGCAGGATATGGGAGGTAATTACTGTGTTTCAATAGCTCTCAAAGTCTTTTGGCCACTAGTGGAGAAAAGAACAACCCAGTAATTGGACACATGTAATCTAAATCATCTGAGAAAAGCATTTGTGGCCGATTAGCAGCTGTGCCTTCTAAGACACAAAAAATACAAACTCCAGGTGCAAGGATGGATGCACTGGAGCCAGTTGAACACAATGTTTTCCAGCAAGGCATATTTGAGCAACCAGCAACACCATCATAGCTTGTGGGTACGACAATTATAGAAGAAGCATTCTTTCCAAGAAAAACAAACCACTCGAGATCACATCCCACCAAACCAAGCCACGTGTGCGCTTGAGCGGACTACGATCCAGTTGACTTCGTGCTGTTCACCCCTTCATCTGCTCTCCTTGCTCTCCAGATATTTGCATCTGCTTTGCATACAGCAGAATCACATCTAAACAACGGAACCATTACGACCAGAAGATATTCTCAATATAAAGAGCACATTCTAGATACTTCAAACAACTCTGATAGCGGAATCAGATCAAACCAATGACTATGACCATACAAATGGATAGCAATTCAATAAAATCAAACATGTACAAATTTAACGACAACAAGAATATTCTCACGAGCAGCCGATTAATTAGACAATCCAAACCTAAACCACACGCAATATTGGTGATCAATGCCAGCAACATTCCTGAAGTCTGGTACTGCTCGTAAGCGCAGGAAGTTGTTCCTGTCACCATGCGCATAAGGTATCAATGAAAAACATAAGACAACGTCATACGAATAACACATACAGTCTGGGACAATGTAATGCGCAACCTGCGTACAAGTAATTCGAAACATCGCAGTGTACACATAGTCTTCAGGAATAACGTTCAACAAAATAATAAGGCGAGAGGACCAATGAAACATACTCATCGCACGTGCTAAATCGAAATTTATTCCCAACGACAACTTTACAAATAAAGTATATGAAAATCTAACATTACAGCTTGGCGGTACGCATAGCTACGGCGATTGTGAGTGCACCACAGAGTAGAAACAAACTAGTTTCTTTTTGGGTGTTCAAGAATACGCTCTGCTGCATATTATATCATATCATACACTCATATTCTCCGTTCAAACGAACTTGACGCGCCAGGTTGTTCAGTAGAGATTAAGGCTCACTCTATCACGCATGAACGGACGAGCGGTAAACATTTTCATAGCTCAACATGAGATATGGACCACATGTCTTAGAGTTGCTGATAGTGTCAAGCAGGGCCAGCCGGCTCGAAATTAACATCCTGAAGAGCTCGTTGACCTGAATTTCCAGGGGCACTAGTCCTATCCCAAGGTCTGATGAATGCTTTCTCAATTCTTCCAGCATCACCTTCATCTCTGCTATTTCTTCTTGCGTGATTAGGAAATTATTATCAGTGAGATGCCCATTTAGAAACTCGTGCAAACCCCGCACAGAAGCATCCACATTATGAAGCTCCTCGAGCTGGGCGATAGAACCATTCTCCATTTCGTCAGTAACCTCCTTCACTCTTAGTTGCAAAGAGATCAGTGCTTCTGACCACTTGTATTGCTTTGCCACAAGAACAGTCGTCGACGACCGCCTCTGTTTACAAGCCAGAGCAGTGACAACTAAACCACACAGAAAAATGGCCGTTACCTTAAATCCATAAACTGCATTCAAAAACCCGTTCGCTTTGACTGCCTCGGGACCCTTAGGGCTCAAAAGCTTTTCCCCCATGGTCCTCAACATGGAGCTGCATTTCTCAAGCTTCGATTTCGGGACGTCTTGGTTCGACTCGGCTTCCTTCTCCAACATGGCTTCCTTCTTCTTCATGGCTTCCTCGAACTCGGTCAGAGCATTCTTCGCTCTTACATACCTCCCATCATTGCCGCTCTCGATACTACTTTCAAGGTTGTGGAGCGCGAGCTGCACCAACATTTGGTAATTCTCGACTTCTGTAATTCCTTCCTTCAACACATTACAAACATCTAGAAGCTTGGCGCTGTCGTCGAAATACTCGTCCACCCACGAGTTGTCAACTTGTTGGGACAAGGACAACTGCGACTCTGGAATGAGTCTTTCCACGTTTGAATGCGTAGCCAGGATGACAGACATAGCGTGGAGCAGCAAGTCTAGGCTCAAAAACCCTTTCGACTCTCCGGAAAGCTTCAATTCCTCCAGACGCTCTGTCAGTCGTGTTTCGAACTCTTGCAGTGCCGAGCTCTGGCATGGATGCACATTTCCATGACGATGGAACGAGAAATGCCTGTGCAGGACCGCCCGGATACTAGAGAAGCCTCCTTGATTTCTCATCTATACCGTATGTAGTAAGGTGAAACTGTTCAAAAAGGGCACAAATGAAAGCACACTGCACTTAAAACCCCCAAAACAACCTACAAAATACTTACACTAATTTCCCTGTTCAAAGCAGATGACACCCAAGAGATGAGAAAAACCAGTCAATTCTACTCGGAAGAATCAAACAGCCTGCACAGTCAAAGTTACACGTTCGTAACGAAGGACGAGATTGAAAGGCACTGTAAAAGAGCCAAGGTGCATGAATAGGCCTTCAAGATTGTCAGGCATTCTCATCTTGCACAAGCGAATCCTTCAAGTGGGCATTAGAACACACAACCGAGACAGAGGCTCCACCAACGAACCATTCAAAATTCACACTCTCACCTCGGAAGCAAGATGATCATGTCACCTCACTCGCGACCAATATCTCACAATCTCTAACCCAACCTCACGATGCAACTCGCTCCTAACAACGTTAACGTAATTGGGAGATAACGACCCCCATCAAAGCCCCACGATAACGTCCTAATCAGAAACCCCACACCTGAGAGCGTCACTCAGCCCAGACGGAAAACTACTCCCGAAGCCAAAGACAAAAAAATAAGTAACGCAAAGCGAGGCAAAGCGCAACCACTTTACGCGTGAGCATACAAGGAGGGGCGACGTCGGTCAAGGACCCACTTGCCAGCCAAGATGCGTTTGAAAGCAATAGTGGAGCGGGGACCCTGTTGACGGCAGCAGCGATCCCTAACGCATGAATCTACAGTACCACAGACTAATCCTTTCCCACTTGTGCGTCCCCATTCACCGTCCCAACCACAATTTGTCTGCTAGCACCACATTCTTAAACATATGTTTGAACAATGAATGCTTAAGATTAGCGCTGCAACGTTTCCGTCTGACACTACGTGCTGTTCAGAGAATGTGACGGCTGAATACAGCAGCGGAGGCGCCGGGAGTCAGGCCCCGAATTGCTCCTTAACCCCCTGAGCACCCATTGTGTGCTCATTCTGTTCCTATTCGAGCCTTCACAGCGCCTGATCCATTTGGTTAAGCATTCCCACGCGTTCCCCGCTAAATCGGCACGCCATTTTGCCGTGGGTGGATGGGACCCACTTCTGAACCTAATCTTGTCCCCATCGGTCGTCCTGGTCCTGAAACCGGGTGGCATGCTACTCATGCCACTTGGCGGTGACTATCAGCAAGTCCATCTAATTATTGATGATCATTGGTGCGAGATGACCGGCGATTGGAGGTTGAGACCTGGCCGGGCTCCCCCCTGCCCGTCCAAATTTGGTGTGCCCGTGGCATCTGTTTTGCAGTGCGCAGGTTAGGGATGGAGAGATTGTTCCCGGCATTTTCGATTCTATCATGCCGTGATTTTGGTTGGAGGTCTTTTGAAGTGGCCTGATGGGGATACTATCGGAGAGGAGCAGCTCGGTACGCTTGCTCAAGGTCGTGGTCACGTCATGTTGGAGCTATATCCCGTTTCTTTCATGGTTTGTTTATAATTAGTATGGAAAAAATTCGTTCCTTTGGAATGGGAATAGTTAATGCAAATTGTAGCCGTTTTTTTTTATTCCTACAGAGATGTTCTCATGTCAATCGTTATAAAAGTCTCTTGATTTGAAGCTGTCTCTAGCAAACAAATGCTAATCATGTATTTAATGAATGATTTTTTTTTTTTTGCCAAAAAAAAAAAGTTGTTTTTGAATTTTTGAATTTGTTCCTCATTTGTTGTTCGATAGTCACAGAAGTCGTCTTTTGCTCGTTTTGTATATTTTCCATGAAATTATTGTAGATTTTTTAGGGTTTTTTGCTCCACCAATCAAAAAGTATCAAACTCTAAGTTTAAAATAGAGTTTCAGGTCAACAAGAGTTTGAATTTGACTGAACCATGTGAATGGTTCCAAAATAGTGCATGTTTTTTTCAAGGAGAATTTTTTTTATAAGTTTCGGATTAATTCAATGGAACTTTGATTCACAAGAATATAGTACTAGTCTACTAAAATAGAGCTTTAGAAGATTGTTGTTGAGCTTGGATTACAGAGGGATACTGGCTTGAGGAATTTAATTCATGAAATGAAGTTTGTATTTTGTTGGTAAGAGATTGGTATGGAACTTAAAAAAAAAAACTCAAATTAGGGGGATTCAGACATAGCCTTTTTGGGTGATATTTCACCCTTGGTGAGATCTCAAAGTATCCAGTGATATTTTGAAATATCTCTTGATGCTTCACCAAATATCAATAGAAGGACATGTGAAATATCAAAAACTTCATCCATTGCCTTAACTCTCTTCCCTCTTTGACTCCAAACTAGGGGGTAATAAAGTTTGAATCAAGAGGTAATACCACGGTTAATAAAGTTTGAATGGTGATATTTAAGTTTTGATAATTTGAGTGACCCTAGAAATATTTAGTGTTGAATCCCAGTTATTAGATTTTGCAAAAGTGCCAAGTCTAAATCCCCCTGTTTGTTATTAATGAATTGCAGCTGTGGATAATGTTTTTCAAATTTTGATACTTTAAAAACATTAATGGAAGGTAGAATTAAAGAATCAAATTACATGTTTCAAACATGGTGTAAAGGAGTTAAGGACAATATCACAACACACTTACTATTGAAAATATAAAATATAAAACAATGATTTTGACACAGGAAAACTGAGAAGGTGTGCATCCAGAGGTATTAAAAATAAATAAATAAAAAATAAACTGATTTTATCTTTGACTTTTTTCAACCTTCTGCCTAAGCTTAAAATGACTTGTGGCTTATAAATGTTTTAAAATTGTGATTTAATCATTTTTACATTTTAGTCAGTACTATTCATTCATGACTTTGGTTTCTCATCATTTGAAACCTTATTAATTTGTGTATTAAAGTATCAAGTGTTCATTTAAGCTAAATAATATTTATTACAAAAGCATAATACATGATTTTATTTTTCAGTTCTATTTTGTAATGAATAATAATAATCTTGTTCTCTTAAATAATGTTTCCTAGTGAGACTATGTAGTCAATATAATAATCCTTCACAAACAAAATATGTAGAATACAGTTAATCCTGCTAAAAACATTCACCAAAAGAATTAAATACATGTTTTGAATTTGCATACATGTACAAAGCATCCAAAAATATTATCCAAACATATGACATCTTTAAATTTTTATATATATATATATATATATATATACACAAAAAAAAAAAAAAAAAAAAAAAAATCCTTGTCATCAATCTTGTGTTGCCATGAAGAGTGTCAAAAGATCACCATATAAATATTATGATCCACAACAATTTCAAAAACAAATCCTAGAATGAAAAGAAGAATTCATAATATTGTATTAGAAAGTTATTTATTTTCTTTCACTGCCAAAAGGAATTAAGGTGTGAGCATAGTCCAAGAAATCAATTGGCTATCATAATCATGGCTATGGCAGCCACCTTTGTTGCTACACATTGCAAAAACTTCTTTGTTCAATGAACTAGCTCGAGACATTTGGGCCATGAGATTTTAAAATTAAATCTTGGTTGTTATAGAGTCTATTAGAAACTCAAGGAGAACATAGATGGTGGATAGAGGATCTTGGAAGAAATTGGATGTGCAATCATGGGAGTGAGAAGAAGAGTGCAAAGGGAGCAAGGATGAAAATGTGGTGCGGTGAGCATAGAATCTTGGAAGAAGCATTAGAAACAAGTAGCACGTGAGAATTGTGGAGAATGGAAGTTGTACATGGAATACAAGAAAATAGACTGAGCACACGGACTTATAGAAGAAAGTGGCCATAAGTCCAAGCCACCCTCTCTTCATGCTAGCAACGTTGCGCAATAGAATAGCAAAGATGGATGGTCTTCCAAAAAATAAATTGTATCTCAAAAGTTACTTAGTAGAATAGGACGAGAGGGCCTATTGAATCCTATTACTATGAAGAGAATAGTACCTTCTCATAGAAAATAGTGGAGGCAATCTTAACAAATGATAAAATAAGGATAAAGAAAGGAAAAAATTTTAGCAAGAAAAAATGGATAGTGATTGTTATCACAAAGACATAGTTTTGTATGAAAAGGATGGAAAAAAAATTAAAAAATGGACATGAATAGTAACAATTTTTCATTACCAATGAAAAACTAGTAGTGAAAAATAAGTAGAATCAATTATAAATAATTATAGATGGTGACTATTTTTTATTACTAAGAAAAAATTGGTCATAAAAAAGGATGGAAAATGAGTGGGAAATAATTGTTATTTAGGCAACTTCTTGATGGAATCCATTACCATTTAAATACAATTTAAAATATTGGCAATAACTAATGTGAAAAATTTAGTGATAGAGATTGCTACTTATAAGTTAAATATTATTTTAAAGTAAAAACTTTATGTAATATTAACCATATTGTGTGTGGTTTGTATAGGTGAAGCAGATACTTTATTTTAGAGCTTGTAAGATGGAGGCATAATAAAAATAAATAAATAAATAAAAAAAGTCAAAGTCTTTGATGTCCTTAATCTTGATGACATTTCTTTAAATGATGGAATCAACTACAACTTCTCACAACTTTTAGATAGGAAAAGAAGAGGAGATGAATATGAAATGGATGTAATTCAAGATCCAAAATTGAATCTTCTAACATTTAATTCTAATAGATATTATTACTTTAAATATAAATTGGAAGAATATTTAATTTAATGGTTGAAGAGAAATGTGACAACCACTACATTTATGATTATTATTGGATTAAATGTTAAATTTTTTTATCAAGAAAAAACTTCAATTGAAATATTTCATATAATCATTTTAAAAAAATAGAATTTTTTTAGAAATGATTTTGGGATACTTAAGTTGTCTAATAATGGAGACATGTTATTTAATAAAATATATTTGGAATTTATTATTTTATACATTGACAAATGGACATCAATAGTTTGAAATGGATATTGCAAATGAAGGTCTTATCTTGTAGATGCAAAAACTCTTTCAAGATTATATGATTTGAAATGGGTGGTAGGAAGGAACAAATATAGAATTTCAAAGACTTATTTCACTATAGTCATTGAGATTTATATTGAGTATCAATCTAAAATATCTAAATTTAAAAGAATGATTTGTCTATGAGATCAAAAACTTTGATAATGTACACAAAATCATACAATTCTTTCTACCTAAGAAGAAGTTTTTATGAATAATTTAAAGGCCAAACATATATTGATATTGAAGCTAATCCATCAATATCAAAGAAAGATATCTTATGCCACAAATGTAGCAGTCTTTGTGTGCCATTGAATACAAAAGTTCCATTGCAAGGATATTGATTCAATTAACAATATTGATAAATTTAGATAGAAATTGTTTAAAAGACATGTAGAATGTAATTTTTTTATAAAAATTATATATCCAAAGGATGAAGGGCAAGGTATTGAAGTTTATACCAATTTAAGTCATAATGGCTATGATTCTAGATTAAAGAATAATTCTAATTTTTTACCTATTCATCAAAGTGTAATTAACAATTGTACTCAAATATTAAATAATCTTAATAATATCAAATTTGTTTTAAAATATTTTAAGAGATGTAAAGATACTTTAAGATAAAAAATTCCATTGCAAGAAGAAGGAATAATTTGTTTTTTTTAGATCCAAAAGAAGCATCAAATCTATCATACTGTCTTCAAATAAAAAAAAGATGCAATAAAGACGACTATAAAGTGGTAAGAAAAATGATCCCTAAATAGGTAGAAAATGAAAAAATAATTTTCTACCAAGTTTATGATATTGGGAATTTAATAGCAAAGAAGCGACCATTTATGTTAGTGATGCAAATAAAAGACATGCTTGAAGGAGCAAAATATATTATGCCAAACTCGGCATGGATTGTGGATTTAATGTTTAAAATCAACCAATGGAATATACCATTATATATTAGAATGTGCCCTATTATAATGGGATTGTAGATACCAATTTTTTTTTATCTTTGGTAGCATTGACAAAGATAGTTGTTAAGAGCAAACGGCATTATATCTTATAATGTGTGTTTTTTCTGAAAATATAGATACAATTTGACCAAATGCAATAGTAATTGATAAGAGTAATATAAAGTATAAGGCTTTAATGAAAGCCTTTAAAGAAGACTATTTTTGTTGAAAAAATGAAAAAATTGGTGGAATTCAAGTAAAGATTCATATGCTTTTTGTGTTGATTCTATACAAAAAAAAAAAAAAAAAAAAAAAAAAAAAAAACATAGGTTGAATATTTATTGCCTAAATTGCTTAAAATTTAGCATTCTAATTTATAAAAAATAATGTAAAGTATGTTAGAAACTGATACTAAGAAAAAAATTGAAATTGAATATAAAAGATTTAAGATTACATATATTAAAAATAAAATGATATTTAAATATGTAGATAATAATTGAGTATGATACAATTGCCAATGGAAGTTGATGTGGTTATAATTAGCTAAGTTATATTATCATAGATATGACAATACATCTAATCTTATAGAATACATGTGAGAATATGTGAAATATATCTTTTTAAATAGAAAGATGGATTGATGATTTGTTAAATACATCATTGTATTAATAGGCAAGCCAAATATATGACATTATTTTGGAAGAATCACTTTAGTGCAACACTACAATATTGTCCATATATTGAGTGAATTAAGGAAGTATTCTTTAAGAGGTGCAAACAAACAACAAACATCAAGGTTGGAAAGAGCTAAGTGATTGATTGAATGTTACAAAGAAGACCAATTAACAAATTTGTAAGTTTTTGATGCATGCCATATAGAATTTATCTTTTAAAGCCAAGATGTTTAAAAAAAATAGTATATTATTAGTTTATCTCGTAAATGGTGAAATTCAACACTTATGATTCTATATATAAATATATGTGGACTATGAGATGGATTATTAATAAAAAAATATCCACATCTATTGGTTTATTAGTAACTACATATGAAGACAATGGCTTCTTCAATCAAGAAGATGTTCTTGATGATGGTCTAAGTGATAGAGCATATGATGGTCCAAAAGTTGGAAGAAATAGTAGAGTTTAGATTCTTAGACATGATATTTAAATCTGCAAGTTGTTTGAGATTATTAATGTGATGACACCAAACAAGATAGAGGCCTTAACCATAGAACAATATGATGTGTTTAGCAAAGCAACAAAATCAATCTTAGCACTTTTAGGAGATACAAAGAACTTATTATCAAGACCCCTACAAATCCCTATGCCAAGAAAAGGTGGTAATATCACCCGTATACAAGTTCATATTATAAATATTAGACTTGGATTTTGAAGCAAAAAAAAGAAAAAAATAGGATAATAAAAAATGATATGGCGGAAAGGATCTAATAGCACCAAAATCTAGTAGATTCAAAGTTTTACAATAAAGATAAGAAGTTTTTTAGAAAAAGCATACATAAATGAGACTACCTAAGTTGTGTAAAGAAGTATGTCTATAGTGTAGTGATCTAAATATATTTTTTTACCAAAATCGTCAAAATTTAGTGCAAAAATTGCCAATACATGAATATAAAAGAAGATAATAGTGTTGTATTAGATAAAGAAGGATGCAATGTTGACCAAGATGTAGAATTGTTCTTCAAAGATTTAGATTTTTATTAAGAGTGTAGATACAAAATTTGGTGTTTTGTATAAGGATTTGATTTGATTTAATGGTAATTCATATGTGGTATTTACCATTATATATAATAAAGATTCATTTTAGTAGTGGTTTTTATGACCACACTATTATGACTATTGTATTATTTTTAGTTGTAAAACCACTTAGATACATAATGCTTGTAGAAAATGTTTCATGATTTGCAAAATATTTTGAAGAAAAAATTTAAAATATTTTTAATAAATTATGTTTAATTTAAATATTTAATAAAATAAAATAATAAAATAAATTATAGCCAATCTATATGTAATTTCTTGTAAAAAGAAATAATCAATAATGGATCCTTGTTTATAAAATATTTGTGTTATGAGAAAAAAATTAATGGGTAAATTTTTAAAGTTGAATAAATTCTTCTTAGAAACGAAAATATCATGTACACGTATGAGTGCCGTTGCATATGGCAACAGAAGAAAAATAAATAAATAAATAAATAAATAAATTGAAGCAACAGTGAAGGTTGAAAATTGGAATTGAGAGGCAGCCCCTGAACAAACTTGTGAATGTGGATCAGTGTGGGCCCAATGAGGGGGTAGAATATGGATCCGTGCGGGCCCAGTCAGGAATGGGTTCTGAGTTCCCAACCGGCCGCGTTCCAAACTGCCCGCCCCCTGGTTCCCTTCCGTTCCCTCTCTACGTTCCCAATAAATCTTGTAACGGCCAAGATTCAATCTTGGAATCTGACGGCCCAGATGTCTCGATGTAGTCGTTGAACTGGGGGGTTTCTGCGACATGATACTACTAGGGGCGGCCACACCCAGAGCGGGTCTCAGCGAACAGCATTTCCACTGTTCCATGCTCAACTCGGCAGCCTTGGTGGCACTGTCTGCTCCGTTCCAAAGGAAACCAGCGAATGTCGTCGATTTAGTTGATGTCTGGTGATTGAGCGCAGTGTCTTTGTTGACCTCGCGCTCCACATCTCTCATGAAGAGAACAAGAAGAAAACTAGAGGCTCATTGTGTTTCTTGCGAATTGCTCGACGTGCAATGGCCATGGCGTCTGTCTTCCTGCCGCCGGTCTCAAGTAGCAAGGTTACGCTAGGTGATTGCGTTGTGTCAAGTACACAGCACCGTCCCATGTCTTTATTGTCCAGAGGATTATTTGGCGCTGAGGTTCCGGGAAGCAGTATCTGTAGACAGGAGTTATGGCGAGGTGGTCTGGAGCGGAGAACGTCGAGGCGGGAGAGCGGAGTGGTTGCTTGTGAGGCGAAAAATGAAACGAAAACGCCGCCCACTGCGGATGCCAGCCCTCTCGTGAAGATGGTGTGGTATGGCAGCGAGGCGTTCGGGAAGTTTGTGGCTGCATTTCGACCTAGCGCAACCGTCGAACCAGAAGACGAGGAGATGTTTGTCGGCCCCGTGCCTAGGAGTGAAGTTGTTGACCTCATAAAGAAGGATTACGAACGTTCTTACTTTGTTACAGGTTAGCTTCATATATTGTCCCATCTAATAGCAAACGTAATGCTATGGGGTAATAGCATAGTGGAGAAGTTCATGCAACAGGCAGTCTCTGTTTATCCACGGAACGCCATCTCTCACTTGGCATCAAATTCTTGAATGCCATGGACTTGAAAACGGTAGTCATTCACTATGTTTTCTGGTTGCGGAGCAATACTCCTGCTCTGTTTCTCATGCGACGAGTGAATGGCGCTTCACACAATTCGCAATGTTGTGTTGCCAATTGGATAACATTTGGAAGCTGTAAAGATGACCTATATCCTCGTGAGAGGATGACCTAATGGGAACATTAGTAGAGTGATGTTTCCGCGTCATTTAGAAGATCTAGTTTGATGAAGCCTTCTTTTCGTCATTGTGGCTGTGTAGGGAACATGACTATGGGTATATATGAAGCCGACTGTGAGTTTGCGGATCCCTTTGTAGCATTCAAAGGTCTGAGGAGATTCAAGCAGAATGTGAGCAACTTAGGATCATTTATGGAGGAATCTAGCTTGAAAATCACAGATTGGCAAGAATATGAGGTGCAGATTCATACTGATAACCGACCTTTGATGACCAACAATATATGCAGCTTTCGACATTGAGAGTTTACGTGTTTCCTTTTTTTTCAAGTTGAAACAGGGTCATTAACTACAGTTTTTGCCTATGTCTTTACAGGACAGGGTGTATGCCCGGTGGCGATTCAATTGCATCCTGGGACTCCCCTGGCGTCCTATTTTGGCAGGTATGCTCAGAGCTCTACAGAACTTGCTTTCTTATTACATTCTTGTTCATTACCGATTCAATTGCTGCCGTTGGTTTCTTCCACAGTGAGTACCACTAGGAGTGTTTTATTTTTATTTTTAATTTAACACCGCTAACATTTATGAGCATGTGGTTTTCGCTGCTGCAGCAACTGGAAGCACAGAATACTTCTTTGATAGCAATTCTGGAAAGATTTGCAAGTAAGATCTTCAAATTCTCGTGTGAAATGTTCTCTCAACTTCATTTGTAGATCCTAGTTGTGTAGGTAGTCGTCTCCACAATTGAAGGATAACACAAGTATGTCATGCAGTTTTGGCTCTCATTAGCAACTGTGTGAACACTAACGTGTTCAAGATTTGTGGACAAGTAGGCACAGCTGTTGCACTCGTGTCTTTAATTTTGGTGTTGGCATTCTCACAGGCACGTCGAGAATTGGGATATTTCACCTGCTGACGGGGTCCGCCAGTTATTTAAACCCAACCCAAAGTTAAAGAAGACAATGTCGTAGTGCATTCCATTGAATGTGAAGCAATTTTTGTTATATACAGCAATTAGGCTCCCAGAGAAATTGAAGCTCACGTTGATAACATCTAGCCGGAATATCTCTGGTTGCAGATCTTGTAAAATGTCATGTGTTCTGTATAGACCTGTTCCAGTACTAAGTAGAAGTGTTCTGACAGCCTATGGATTTCAAGTACATGTATTCCATGCGCGTGTTAGCCTCACACAGTGAACCGCAGTCAATGTGCACAATGTTATGAAATCTTATGTCACAACCTTAAGGATGTAACTACAAGGTTTCATTTTGTGTGCAACAGTAAGACCTTCAACTGTATTTGAAGATTGAAGGTTATCGTAGCCTGAGAAAAATCTTTATATGTTTCACTTAGTACAGTAAATCTCTTCAAGGAAGGTGAAGCAAATGTTCGACTCATATCACGCCACAACCCAACAGAATGATACTATAATACTCTGCGACGTTCATATCCCATACCTCATTCAAATTACAAGGGTCCCGGATTGGGCATGTTTGTTCCAAAACAACATTAAATTTCCTAACTACTTCTACACTTCAATGCGATAAAGTGGCAAATGCTGCAACGTAACTGATCAGCAGCTAACACCGTCTCATTAAACTCCCATTGGTAGAGTCACACGTGGAACTGCTTCTCTTCCTGCTTTGTCTAACACGCAGCCAGTGCGCATATCTAGGTCTTTCAGTATGTTGACACTGTGTTCCATTGGAAATGTAATCCATCTTAAGTCGAATCGCTAGAGCGAATAATCAGTGATACTAAGGACACCAGAAAATGTTGATGTACAAGAAACTATGCAGATGACTCGAACTGAAAAGTTGTCATCGTATCATGTCCCAGATAGTTTTCGATTGCTGATATGGAGACATGTCCGAGTAATCCAGAGTGAACTCCCTGACGTCCTCGTTGTCCAGAAGGGCTATTTCTCAGTTAAGGAGGACTGTGTCTTTCAAATAGAAACAGCTACAATGAAAGCATGGAAACGGACAGTGATGTAAATTTTAAATCACTACAACCATTACAGGGAAGCTCAAGACAGAAATTTCCTCAAATATCTTGTTAGTAAACGAACAGTGCAGAATAAAACAAAAACTGACAAAAGAAACAACCAAAATAATACAATCAGCAGATACTGCCAGCAAAAACGTTTGCCTTCGCCAAATCGGGGATGATGCCCGAGATCGTTGAAAATAATGATAGTTCATTCCTACATTCACCCTTAGTTCATTAGATGACACAAAGCTCTCTGTCATATACCAAAGAAAACAGCTTGTTCATGCCAATCAAACTGAACAAGAGGTTGGGTGGAGGGTTGAAAATGTACTCACTTGAGTTGTGTCTCCTCGCTTGCAAGGGCTGCTAACGTCTGCTTCTGTGCTTCGACAGACTGCAGCTGCTCTGCCAATCCATCTAAGTGTTCCTCCATCGATGTGCATGCTCACAGAAGCCAGACCACGTACCGTCAGCTACTAAGACATGCGTAGGTTACGAAAGGGCTTTATTCCACACAAACTCAAAGCATACAGTGCCAAAATTATCAATCTGGATTGCATAAAACCTTACAATTGTGCACTTGACATGATACAGAAACTGATGCTATGCGAGATATACAAGCTGAATTATGGACGTTTGGATTATGCATGGGTCAAAGGTAAACAGAGCAAGCAAACGGAGGTAGAGGCATATCTAGCAGTAGCTCGGGCTTTCTCCTCTTCAATTCGGGCTTCTGCTAAATTGTTTCTCAGCTCCTCCAGCTCTTCGTCCTTCAAGTTCAATTTCTGAGCATTCAGAATACGTTGCTCTTTGGCTTTCACCTTTTCACGCAAACCTGTTAGTAGCTAGTTAGTAAAAAAACAACCTCGTCATGTCATCCGTACTAAAAAGACAGCATTCAATCCCGGCACAATCAATTTTGGCAACGACACCTCTATAATCGACGAAATCATCTACTTTAATGATGGTGCAAGTTATTTATCATACACTCCTCACCTCTGCTAGCATTTAATCTCTGTCTGAGTTTACTGGTTACTAAACCTGACTGGTTGTTCTAATATAATTCTAGCTAATATCAGGCACAAGAGCACTGGTAATTACAGTGCACACTGCCTTGGTATACTAAGGAGAAAGAGCACATGAGTTCACTAAACACGGACACTGCAAGTTACAACAGTGTGTATTGAGATTTTTGAAGTAAGAGGAGACTAGTACAAGATTTCAATGTAGCAAAACTGAGTTGCAGTATTCGTTACAACTGAATACATGGTAAGGAAAAACCGCTGCGGATCGTCGGTTGAGAGTAGACAAGAGGGAAGAAGTTCACCTTGAATGCAGGACTGCACTTGCTTCTGCTGCAATAAGCAGTTATTTACAAGCGATTCTAGATTTTGAACTACTTGCTGAATTGTGTTGAAATCCTCATCTGTGTTAACTATAGAACTCAAACTTTTCATAACTCCAATAACTTCCTCAGCTTCCTTCATTTCCCCTTCATAATCCATGATTACTCTCTCTACCGTCAATCGGGCTCCTCTGACCAGCAGACGCGAATGAACCTCACATACAATCTCGCATAGAGCTGAGAACGCAATGTAAACTCAACGAAAAATGTGCCAAACGCTTTGGATTACACGCTAGTTGGAAAGATGAAAACAAGAACCCTAACATTGATCGCTACAACCCGAAACGCACTAAAGAGAGAGAGAGAGAGAGAGAGAGAGAGAGAGAGATAAAGCAAATCACAGCAACAGCAGAGGAAATGCAGTAGAAGAGCGAGACAATTTGAGCAGGGTAGAAATTCCAAATCCTAATCAAAAAGTTTATTTCCCTGCCGAGCTATAGGAGAAAGATAAGAGAAGAGAAGAAACACGGGATGCAGTGAAGCTCTTCGGCGCCTTGCCCCTTGAAGTCGCACTAAAATGTTAGGTTCGAATCAAGACACAAGCAAGGAGGAAAACTTTGCGGCGGCTACCGTTGGAGAAAGGACGCAAGCAAATGTCAAGGCCAGACCAACAACTCAAAAGCTTCAAGTGCGGCTGCGACCTTCCTGTGAAGCCGAGAACTCGGGGGAGAGCGTTTGAAAGAAGCGGGAAATGCACCTTCGTCTCGCAGGTCGCTTATGAACACGGAATACGCTTCGTTGTAGATTTGGATGATGTGCCCAAAGCCAAAGCAATCTTGCCCACTACTTAAGGGCCCAAACCCTAATTACCATAGAATTCACTTATGGTGATCATGCTTCACATACTCTTTTGTACAATGAAGTTAACTGGGTTTCTAAAATTTCCTGTCTATTACAAAACATGACTTAGTTGAGTATTGGTGTTTAATTGAATTTAATTTGTTTTGTACATATCTTAGTCACTTTTCTAAGAACATAAGTTGCATTGATGATGATACGTTATTTGACAAAGTATTTTATTATTTTGACATAAAATATAAACAAATGAACATTAGAAGAAAAAAAGAAAAAAAAAACGTCATTATTTTTTTTGTTGAGGATATGATGTGGGAGATGAAAGTTAACTTGTGATTGTCTAAATTTGTTGAGTCATTAAATGAAATTGAAGTTATTCAGATTAAAATTTTACTTTTTCCATATTCATCATTATAATTATATTTGGCATAGTTGATCAAAATAAAAGAAAGCAAGACAAATTACAAGGAAAGTGGTAGCACCTTTAGTATCTACACATGTTTTCTTGTAAATACATTTTATTCATTAAGATCTTTATTATCTAAAATATTAAAAAAAAATGTATTATTTATATATACACATATATATCATAATATAATAAAATAGAGTCAACATTTTTATCTTTGATTTCTAACAAATGATAAAACTTAGTTGCTTTACTCTTTTTAATTACAGTTTTAAAATATCTATTACATATATTTTTACAGTTGAAAGTGTTTTTAAGTTAGAAGTTATAAAGATTTTAAAAAACATGTTCTAGTACTTGGTAAGTTTCAAGTTTTTGATTAAAGTGGAAAACAATTGTATGAAATGTATTTATCAATAAAGATGGCAATAGTGTAGAAAGTATCAAAGCAAGCAATGATTCTCTCTTTTATTAATATTATTATAATTGTTGCATAATTATAATAGAATAATATTAAAATCATTTTAGTTTAGAAAAGAAAGTACAAATTTTGTAAAACTATTACCAAACTCAATCTTATGAATGAATATTATCATTTTAATTCAAATCTAAGGAACTAAATTTGGAAAAAAGATTTTATGTTTTGCCCATTATTTACTTGCTATCTTCAAACTTAATAGAAACCAATGTGTATTATAAGTAAATACATAAATTATACACTTTACTAACTAAATATATAACACAAAGTTTCTAATGCACATCAATAGTATTTTATAATACCCTTGATATTTTGTATTTAATTTTTAATTGTAAAAGTTAGTTGACTATTATATATATAAAAATTTATTTGAGATGCCGTGTTTTTTTTCCTTCGACTATTCTTGGGCTACTCAACCTTAGATTGCTTCTATCACCATTTGATTACCCTAATTACCCTTGAATTATTCTCATCGTCCTTGAACAGCAGCCAACTGAAACAAATGAATCAAAAAATTTACATACTTCACTTTGATTTACATATATTGCAATCGTTCATCTGCACGTTGGGATAGTTTATGATTGATTTGGAATACATCTTCCTTAGTATTAGACTAGTTTCTCGTTGACTACACAATGCTCCCGTTTGGTCTCCAGTCAATCCCAAGTCTTTTGGGACTTGTTCACTACTTCGATTGATGTTGTCTCCACAACCATTGCACAGCGGACTGTGGTGGGATAAATCCACACCCAGTAGTATTTGTGAGTAAATATGCCATATTCAGAGTTTGCAATGTTTACTACTCAACGGAAATTAAGCCACAATACGAGATGGAAGGAATTGGAACCATTGAATTTAAGATATTGTATTCCATCTGCTCGGTTTAGTCCAGGTTGAGTTGATTCGTTGAGTGCCTGCGAGCTATTAGTGTGGCTTGAGCCGAACCTCGAGATGCACCACAGACCTCAGAAGATGCCGAAAAATGTAAGCGGCCCAGCCAGCCCTCAAAGAAAGAAAGAATAAAAAGCAGACAAATAAAAAAACACAAAACACAAAACAAAACAAAACAAAACAAAATAAACAAAGTGATCCCTTTCCATCAGGAGTCGAAGGATGAGTCTAAAATGCATACTCTTACACATGGGCGAGTCTATCCAAAATTAAAATAAATAAATACGCAAACAAGGCAAGTTGTGACCCATTTACTGCAGGCCCAGCAACTCGCTGTAAATTATGCCAGATTCCTCCATCTGTTTCTCGATTTGTTCCTACAGGCACAAGACAAATAGCTCTGTTGTTAAGGAAGCTGATAGGCAAATAGATTCCTGGCAAAGCTTCCTTGTCACTGCTTCGTGGTGGTTTACGTGTTGTTCCTCTGCGACAATCCTTTTTAGTTTTAGCAGCCAGACAGCCTTATGGTGCAGCAAGCTCGTTTCACGCATCACTTGATCTCCAGACTTGCATGGAAAGATTTGTGAAAGAAAGCTGCACGATGCCTTGCACACCCATACGTCGAAGTCTAAGATGTGTGCAAAAAAGAAGATCGATTCCAACAATTCTTCTAAGTTCATTTCACAAGAATAGAGACATCCAATGATAAAATTTGATTCAGATTAATAGTGCTGACAGAAGCACATAACTCACTTTCGCTGGAGACTCTTCGACCATATGAAGTGTATGGTACACAGAGTTTGCTCCAGATATCTAAGCAAAAGCGCATCACGAATGGCACCAGAATGCTGATCATGTACTGATGATCGAGGCCGTTGCATTATATTATGTACCTTGAAAATCGCCTACAAAAACGAAACTTTAATCAGTTCGAGGAAATAGGTCATGAACCTTTCTTTAGATGAAGCCCAATGATAGCACTCTGGATGCAGGCAGTGTGACGTAAAAAACGCAATCGTCCTCTGCTGAAGAGATTGTCTGCGTAATTGACGCCATCGCATCTTAGTCAGCAACACTGAATGTAACACAATTGCTCTTATATTGCTAGCAGGACCATCGAAGATATGTGAGTTACGCCTCAATCTATGCAAGCCAAGATCTAACTTAACATGGAGCGAGTGAATATTCGAATAGGGTTGTGAACAACTACCATGTTCGTCAAGCTAAAAAACAACAGATGGTGCGCCACAGCTAATGTCACCATGATTGAAATGGTTGAAAACTGTACAACTATCAGAATCACGTTTGTCCGACTTTTGAATTCGTTTAGACAATCAGAAGTAACAACGGAGACCCAGACCACAACTTAGTTTTTCGGTGAAAAAGTTACGAAAGGTTGTATCTGGAGTTTCAGCGTCGAGAGGAAGTACACGGTTCCATCACACGCTCAACAGTAAGCTACAACAAACAATTCGACACAAAGACAAATCTACCCCAGCACCAAGAGCCGTTCTGTCATCTTAAATCGGTCGCTAAGTACTGTAGCATCCGAAAAGTATAATTTTGAGATTAGAACTAGTGGAGTTGATAAAGCATCAAAGAATGTATGTTAGTGGATCGCACCATAGTGAACAAAAGTAGACGCATCATTTCTTCGTAGCAGCCGAAGAGGACCCAGGCGCTTTCTCCGCCTTCTTTGCCAGTTTCTCTTGCAAGGCTTTGGCGTCCCGCTCACGGCGTTGCTCTGGCGTTAAACCATCATCCTTCCCTTTAGATCCCTTGGCTCTCGCAGCAGCTCTCTCACGGTCCTTCTCTCTCTGATTACCCCTCGTCATCTGACCTCACGTGATTTCAAAAACGCAGTTTTGAACAACCTCCCCAAAAATTATCTTCTATTTATTCCGCTTGTCAAAAAAAGATAAGACAGCAAGCATACAAGTTCCACGGAAACTCTACAGAGTAATGACACACTAGGAGCGAGAAGAGGACGAAGCCCTAGGCAGCAGAGAGAGAAAGATCAGACACAACGGCAGTTGAGTGCGTGACGAGCAAGAGACACAACTTGCGTAAGTTGGATAATCGGTGTCTTAGAAGAAGCATCCGAAATTACAGCTACCACAAGTGGATACAAACCTTGTAGGTAGATGTTAAGACTGCGAGGCTGGGTCAGATCAACCGACAAAATCATGAAATCACCTTTAGACGTTAGCCTACATTACCTTTCTTCCCCGTTGACGATTTCAAATGTGTAGACCGCCATTCCTGACTGTTCTTCCACTACCGCAACGAGTTACACCGAAACTTGCTTCGTACGCGCGGGCATCGTGTGGAAATGTTCTGCACGCTGCGGCGAATTTACGCCCACGCTCATCCACGCCCTTGCTCGGCGCTACTGCGAACGAGAGCTTGTACATCTCCACAGCTTTCTTCGTTCCGTTGCTGATTCCGTCGGCCCTCAAACCCTAATTTTTTTTTCGTGGACCTAAACGTGATTTAAAAGTTTAAGGTTAGGATGGGGAGATGCCATCATGTATATTTATTGGATTTGTTGGTTTAATATGGTCCTTATTGACATGCCAAATGCCAAATAGTATTAGAATCAAATTGCAGTATGAAAATCAAATTGTTAGAGAACCTTTATCTAAAATTAATGAAGAAAGGCCTATTGAAACTAGTTGGTCAATAACAATAGTAAAATTATTTAGATCATTAAAAAATTGTGTTTCTTGATGAGGAATATCATTATTAGTATAAAAAAATCATGATGCATTATAAATAAAATAAGTGGAGTAAGAAAAGATACATTTTAATGTAATTTAATTTAATTTTTCTTTCTTTCTTATGATCTATATAAGTTTAAAAATTATAAAAAATATTAATAAATTGGTGGATTTATTGGTTCAAATAAATCACAATAAACTTGTTCTAAGAACTTGGTTATTCTAAAAGTGGTGCTTTTTGAAAATAAAACTTTGTGCTGCTTACTATTTAAGCATGGATGGTGTAATAGTATGGTACCAATATCAAAATCATCTAATCAATGAACATAGATTTAAGTTAATAGAGTTTTTGCTTATTAGTATGAATTAATGGTTAATACCATAAGTTTATTTTATTTTAGACAATATCTAAAAACACTTAAATTTTGGAACGAGACTTATCATTACTACCAAGTTTATACAAATCATTTTTTGTGGAACCTATGGTAAGAATTTTGTTGGTATTAAATTTTTATGTGTATTTGTCATTCTTAAAATTGAAATATTTTAAAACTTTATCAAATCTTATTACCATAACTAAGTTTTTAACAAGGCCAAGTAAGTGTAAAACACTAGATATATATATTGTTTTACTTTGTTATTGGACAATTATACTGTAACATCTTCTTGACCTATAATTGCATAGGTCATATTGTCTCTATTCATGTTAAGGGCAAGGTTTGTGCAATGCCAGTGCTATTTCAATAATCGTGGGGGCTGGAGGCTTTGGTTTGGTTCTCTCAAGAAGAGGCCAAAGTTTTTTGCTCTTAGAAATAAGATTAGTTTATGCTTCCATATATTGAATCAATGTCACCAAACTTTCCAATGTTTCTTCTGTCCAAGCCCTTTGATTGAGACATTTTTTTACTTTTGTACATGTATGTATGTTTTATGCTTGATTTAAAAGAAACTTAGCATCATATGATGTTTTTATTAATTATAATAATTTTCCTGAGAGTTTTTTTTTTTTTTTTTTTTTTTTTTTTAACATCCAATTATTTTACTCTGATACCATATTAATGTGTGGCAAAGGATAATGTTAATGTAAAGATAAAACCACCCATATATATGTAGAAGGGTCACACCTCTATTTGTCCCAAGGAACACAACTTAATTACTAACTACATATTAACACTTACTAATTTTTATAACTGTTTATATTTTTGTCAACAGAGATCTTTTACACTCATGTGTAAAAACATGGGTTTAATACATGATCTTGTAAGCAAGCACAGATCTATCAAGGATGTAGGAAATATTGTCAAGCCAACAAGAGCCACATTAAGAAATACAACTTTATAAAGACTTTGTGGAGGCTTTACTAATACAACATAAGACCCTTACAACTTCATGTTCAACTGTTTTGCCTTGCAAGAAGAGTACATTGATCTTCTAATACCACATCTTACATTAGTATAGTAAGTCTTGCTTCTGCCTACCAATGGAGTTACAATGTAAATGTCTATTTCCTCTGTAATTGTTTCACACTTAATCAAAGCATCAAATATACCAAATTTTGTGTAAAAAGAATAATAAAGAAGAGAACGTATGTATATATATACACTAGTGAAAACCGGTGTTGTTGGCCAGAAAAAAACATTGTAAACTTCATGTTGTAAATCAATGTTTTGTTTGAAGTTCCACACGATGTGAAACACCATGTGGAATGGTTATCTAGTTGGTTTATCCTTTGAACTGTTTTATATAAAATTTAGTTTATTCCTTGAGCTATTTTATATAAGAAATATATGTTAGATCATGGAATGGTGTGCAATCAAAATCTATCATCAGTTGCCAAGTAATCAATCTACCATATTATACAAAAAGTAAAAATAAAAATAAAAAAGAAAACAGCAAATTAAAAGCTTAGTAGTTGTCGTTCACAAGATTCTTTTTGGTTTTCTGAACTTAGTAGAGAACAATGGCGAACAATCGAGAATAAATGAGTCCACGTGGTCGTTCCGCTGTTTCCTGCTCTTTGCGACCTGCTGCAGCCGGTCGTCTCTCTCAGCGTCAATCAAACTCTGTGGCCCCAATTTCGCTTCCGCTCTGCCTATCGAGGTACTATCTTGCCGCTTGTGCGGCAACTCTGCGTAACTTTTGTCAAGAATGATTGCGCAGTAGTTCGCTTCAAGTTTTTGGAAACTGTGCAGTGGTTTGCGTTGCTTGTTTTTAACAAAAGCTGGATTGAAATGGATGCCAGACTCGGATAAGGCAGCAGTCACTTCATTTTTAGAAATGCTTGTCCACAATCTTATCCCGTCGCAGCAATGCTGTATTCTAGTATGAGTTTGAAGGTACGTTTGAATTTCTCGAGGAGTTGCGTTTCTGACTTTCCTCAAACTGATTGGTATCACTTTTGCTGAGGAATTGAAACTTTTGGTATTGTCAGCTGTCTGATACTGTCCAGTTCTAGCTGTGAAAGCAATCCGGAATGCACCTGGTGTCTAAACTTGTCAAGAGTCCTGTGCAATGGTCTCTTCTGTAGTTCATCCTCAGCATTAAGTTAACCTTTCAATCAGCTGCAAATATTTATACCGAGATTTTCTGTGAATGCAGAAGTTTTCTTGAACGTATCGTTTGAAGAGTTGGTCATGGTCAAATAATTCCGAATTTTATTGGCACGATGTTCCGCGTGATGCAAATCTTGGGACATTTGCAAGACAGTGGCCGAGGAAACAGGGCGGTAGAGTGTGAGTGCGGATGCAATCTGTATCTGATCGAATTGGAGGTAAATTTTGTGGCATTATTTGGTTTCTGTTGAATTGTGGGATTGACATTGTTATTAGTAAATGTAGCAATAGTATGCAATCTGCAATTCATGGTGCTACTAGCGATGAGAACGCTTTGATAGCCCGTAATCGACATCGCTTGATGTAATTGTTTAACTGTTAGAATTCTGGAGAGCAAAGGACTCACTTCGTTTGAATCCAGAGTAATGGTACGATTAGTTACAGATAGGTTGCTATTGTTCCCTGATTTCAGGTTCGGCTGTAGCGTGAGGGATGGGCAATGCGTTAGGCGGGACGGCGCAAGTTCTGGCGTCGGAGTATTATCTGCACGACCTGGTAGCTTCCTACAGCTCTGTGTCGAAGAGATCTCTAGTAGGTGGTAGAGTCCGACATATCTCGCCAGTTCCAGGAACTTTAAGCAGCTGCTGTAAACTTAATGGCACTGTTGGCGGGGGTGATGAGAACCTTGCTGTAGAAAGTACCGGGGTAATAACCATCAAGACAGGAGCTACAGTCGCTGTCGCTAAAATTCTTAATGAGCGACAAGAAGAGGCCATGAGAGAAGCTTTGGCCGTCTTCATGGATAATAATCATAACCCCAAAGTTCCAAACCATCTACGAGTAAAGAAGGTGAGGTTTAGAGAACAATTTCTTGAAGATAAGGGGGAGATGAAGCATAGGGACGACATGGAAGACCGAAGTGTGAAGTCTATAGAGATTCCTGGAAGAAAGAAGGGTGTGGAAAGTGAAGTGGAGCGACGAGGAAAGCATGTACGCTCCGCAGAGGTTCTTCAGGGCGGAACTGGACAGGAGCTAGGAGAGAATGCAGGTAATCTTCAAGGGAAGAAGGGTGCTAGAAATCAGTACGCAGTTAGCAAAACAGGTGGCTACGACAGAGAAAACGTAGATGCGACCGGGGTCGCAAGCCAAATTTCTTTTGGGAGATCAAAGTTTAAAAGGGATGTGGGTGAATATTCTGCACAGGAGATTATTGAGCGTGCTGAATCACTGATTTTAGACACGTCTGTCGATGTAAGTCTGAAGAAACCCCTTTTCCGAGGGAGTGTAGAATTTTATTGAATTTTATTGAATTTTATTGATCATTCATTCATTTTGGAAGTGAAATATCAATGCATTTTTATCAATTGGTGAATTTCTTCTAAATCTAAGATAGAGATTTCATGATTTATGCGCTTGTTACTCAAATAAGCGATGATGTGTACGGTATTTGGAATGTGGCTTGAACGCTCACGAACTCGTTGTGTTCTTCTTACATCGGCAATGACGGGACAGGATCAGAGGGATGCATCAATCGCGATGAACTTACTTGAGAAGAAATGGCTGAAGCTCTTCTCAAGTGCACAGCAAGTGAAGTCCACAGGGTCTGACAGAGTTAAGCTAGTTTTGCAGCTTCTGGACATGATGTACGAAAGCGAGATAAGAATGAATGCGATTCACGTCTGCGTTGCGGTCACTGTAAGTTTTTTTTTTTTGTTTGTTTGTAAGACTGCTTAAGTTTGAATACTTGAGTCTTTCTCGTCGGTTGAAACGCTTGACTATATCAGAAATGTACGTCGTTTTGAACGTAGTGGTTGTTTGAACTTATAAGTATTAGCTATCCGTTGTTGAAACTCTAGTACGTATCGAAAATTTTGAGTTCATTAATTTCTTCTTCATCTACTCATGTTTTTTTGTTGATGGTGATGACACGGTCTGATTTTCAATGTTCTATCGATCAATCCTTGACTGATTAATTTTCAGATTGATCTATTTCAATTAAATATATGATTTTTTTGCAGGTTTGTGTGAACGAAAAGGCGCTGGATATAGCAAAGAAAGTAATAGATAGAGCTCGCTCCTATAACAGGGCATTAGTCAACGTGTTTGTATATGCAAAGCTTTTGCAGGGTTATTGCTCTTCGAATCAACGGAAGGAAGCATTTGCGCTACTTACTGTATGAACCTATTCCGAGGAACCTGCATCTCAAATCTCATTTAGGAATGCATTGTCGTATTTCACTCTTTCATTATGTTTTAGTCGCTAGTAATTTCAGCCCATCCATTGACATTGATTACGTTAGCTTTTAAGCTCTCTTTCTCTCCTCTGACCCTGAGCCTATTGCATGGTTATTACTGCACTATGGATGCACACTGTGGTGGTTACAACACTCCACATCTGGGTTTCTTGATTGTTCTGTTTTTGAATTTAGGTTTGTTAGTCTTGCTAATCTTATTCGATGGTAATCGTACTCTCCACTTGTCACTCTTTCTGCAACAGGCATGGGGTAGGTTTAAAGAGTAAAATGTTCATTACGTAAAATAAAGTTCCTTTCTTTTATTGTTCACAGAAGTTAGATGCGGAAGGATTGAAGCACGATGTTGTCATGTACAACACCCTCATCGAAGTATGAAACGATCTAAACTTTCCCGACCATGTTAGTGCATATGATTGAAATGTTATCTGTTATAGGGGCCTCCCGAAAGGGTTCTTGGCTTCAGTGAAAATATTTCAATACTAGCGCATCGTAATTTGCTTGAATCACTGCTTTTGGATTTAGTGAAATGGTCGAGAACCAGTTGGGGCTTTGCAGTCAGGAGCAAAGAGTTTCAGTGATGTGCAATCTTTCACTAATTATGGTTGCACTCCACAACTCTAGATCAAGCACTATATTTATTGAAAGTTGGACTTGCAATCTGTTTAACAGACTGAGCAAAGTCCTGAAGGTGTTGAAATCCTTTGGAGAGAACTGGAGATCCGTGGTATTCAGCCCAATGAACGAACCTACTGGTATTGAGTTTATCTCTAGCCTGCTAGGTCATCTCGTAATATTCGTGCACGAATGTTTGGGCTTATACTTGTTAACTACATAATAAAGTATGGTGTGTATACATTGATTATTAGTCTAACTATCTGAGATTGCGAGTTTTAATCGGAATAGTAGAAGTTAACATCGGATTTGCATAAAAAATTAATAATTGTCGCATATGTTGGTAGTGGCGCAATTAGATGTTATGGGCGGGCTGGCCAGCTTGGTGCCGTTCGTAGACTCTGGCACGAAATGACTACAAAGAATGTGTCCTTTACGATGTTCACTTTCAACTCTCTTCTTGATGGTTAGTGTGAACGCTTTTCCTTTATTTTATGCTTATATTGATTATTTCTTAATTTTAAAGTAAACTCGTAGTCTAGATTTGATTTAAATTGGAACACGTTATGATTGATGTTTCAAACTTTGTTTGCATCATCATTGATTAGCTCGATAATCAAACAGTAGTTCACAGCAAAAACATGCAAGTCTCATCAATATATTAACTTTGTTATGATGCTCTGTACAGCATATGCTAATGTAGGGGACGTGGATGCCTGCAAGATCATCATAAATGAGATGGAATCTCAAAAACTAAAACCGTCTCGAGATAGTTACAACACACTTTTGAAAGCACATGCACGATGCCGTGATTCTGATGGTGCTGTAGGAGTCTTGAGAAACATGCAGCGCAGAGGTCAGGATTTGTATATTAGAGTCATATGATTCCCTTTTTCTAATGACTGGTCATAGGTAACTCAATCGATCTAGTTTTTTTTTTTTTTTTTATGTCGTCTTTCAGACTGATGTCATGTATATTGGTGTGTATGTTACATAGATGATGTTGTTTTTGGCAGGTATTAAGCCTTGTATAATAACATATAATACAGCAATGGATGCCTGCATACGAGGGCGTGATATGCTTAGAGCGATTGGTCTTGCTAAGGAGTTGCCTCTCCACCAACTAAAGCCAGATGAAACAACATCAGCCACTTTACTAGTACTGATCTTTTACAATCCCTTTTTCTTTGGGGAAGGAATAGCTTATCTCCTAACTTGGATTTTCCCTACCTTGCCCAATCTCCACTGAAAAGATTTTCGAGTACTGTAGGATTTTGTGTTGTAATATGTATGGTAATGGTCCTGTTGATTTATAGATATTTAAATTACCGTAATTCAAAAAGCGATTTAATTATTAGAACTCTAACTTATGAGATTACTACTGCTCAGTTCTACTCCCGTTACTTTATCAGGACATGTTTAGTTCATTGAATTTGGTCCTCCCTTGTTTGTGCCTTTATAACCTAATTACGCTCCTGTTGTACATTCAACAAGCGATCGGCAGGATTACTTCGGGATACAGCTTTGGTGCGTAAAGTGCTGCAAGATATGGTGTATTCTGGTTGTTCACACGATGAAACTGTATGTCTCCTCTCCTTTAAGCCACTCTGTTCTAAGCTTCTCTTCACATTGTTTTAGCAATAATAGTCACATTAGCATCATCCCTCATTAAAGTGTAAATAATTCGTCATCTTAGTCTTAGAGGCATGCGAATAAAGCTCATAGCTGTTTGCCCGATAATTTAATCAGACGTTTGTTTTGACAATCCGTTCGCTCATTAGGTGCCACTCTTTCTTTTAAGAGCCCATTATAGACCTTTTGCACGGAAATGAACTGATTGTGAATTAGAAGTATGGTATGATAGATGTATTACTCATAGCTCTACTATTGTTATTGCAGCTTGCCATAGCTTTAGTCAGTTTTCTTCGTGATGCTGTGAGTTCTATATGAGATGATTAGCGCTGGTAGGTCGTATGTGAGGAGATTTGAATGGCGCTGTTTTCTTATTTGAACTGATTAGTTTGTTTCTTCGGGTTTGATGCATGAATATTTTACTAATAATATTATCTTAGAAAGACTTATGGTAAGCAATTTTGTGCTATAAGTTGTTCTCTTTGTCAGTCAGTTTTTCATTTGTAGTGAAGATCTTAACACAAGCATTCTAAATATCCTCATCCATGACAGTCCTTTGTCTTGAAATTCAGTGAAGATCAATGACTCAATCCACAAAAATCCTAGTTGAGCTATTCAGTCTGATATGTGTTTGATTCTCTTGTTTGTTCTTGGAAGCTGAAATTGTTGGGGTCTTTTTGTTCTCTTGTAGACCTATCGCTGCGCTGTGTATGCATATGTTCATTGTGGAGAAGGAGGTTTGGCGCTTGAAATGCTCGAAAAGATGACAACTGCAGGATTTCCTCCTGCTATGACAGTCTCCGAGGTTCTTGTGAAGGTGGGGGGCTGGTCTTTGATCTCTAAATAAGTAACTCTGCACAATATTGAATCTTCCCTCTCTGATGCATTCAGTACCTGGAGAGGATTGGTGCATTTGATGGAAGTTGTTTGGCAAGTTCATTCTGATTTGCAGAGAAAAAACTTAGCCTCATAAATGGTTGTTACTTGGATCTGTAAATTTTTAGCAATAGCGAGGGTAGCCTCTTTGGTAGCAGGGTTATTATTAGTTCAAAAGTCTATACTGCATGCTCTAACCCGAGTGCATGCTAGTAGGCTTTTTAGCCGGAATTTAATACACTGGTGCAGAGGCTATGCGATTTGCATCTAGATTCTGGTAATGCTATGGCTCATGTTACTCTTGTTATGTTTTATGAACATGAAGAGCGTAGACGCCGCCCTTTTAAGAGAGTGTACAGCTGCTGCACCTGCTGGAAAACTGAATCAATTCTTGGCTGCCATGGCGGCAGCTGGTAACATGTTTCTACGAACTCAATTGATTGCATTTTATTATTATTAATCATTTATTCCTTCTTTCTATTGTCACATGCTTGTTGATAACTGATATCGTTTGTTTGTAAACTCAAGGATTGTCCCCAACTAGGGCAACCGCTGGGGCTATGGTCAGGAAGTTGGCTCATACCCCAGGCGTTGATGTGGCTCTTGGTAAATACCATTTCCAATCCTTTTCTGTCTTAACACGGTTGGCTTGCCTTGGTTTTAAATTGGATAAATTCAGAATCCTCGCTGAAACTCACCTTCCTGATCAATTAGTATTCTGAGATTGGCTCTTAATTGTTTTTCGAATTTGTTTCTGGCTTATTCGATTCTACAACTGCAACCACAAGGAACCTTTATTTCTTGTGGTCCCAATTGATGTGCCCTCTGCTTAGATATTAGTGCTCGATCCATATCTCTGATATTTTGCATGTGCATTTTCTTTCCTGTGAGATCAAATGAATTAACCACTTCAACTTGGACAATTGTGGTTTTGGTTTCTAGATGTGGCTGACGAGCTCCGCCGAGGAGGAATTAATGGTCTTGGCTTGCATACTTGGCAATCAGTTATCGCTGTATCTGTTAGACGAGTGGAACAAAACCCTGCCCAGGTATACCTTTGGAATCAAGTTTGTTGCTACAAATATCTGACAACCCTTTCTAGAATTCGAGTATTCGGACCCATTTTGAAGGCTCATGTACACGTGTCATTCATGTAAAATATTTTTCTTGATTCCTTCCAAAAAGAAAGCTCCTTCTCGACCTAACTTTTGAGAACCTTGGAATTAATAATGCTATGCTCATCCAGGCATCTGCTGAAGTCATCCGTATACTAGATGCTATGGAATCTGATGGAACTGTTCCAGACAGGTATTGTATTAAACTCTTATATGTCTTTTTTTTTGAGTCCTTACATGTATGCTGATGAAAGGAACTGCAAAACGCTCTTAGTGCCATGAATATATACCTTGAGCGTGAAAAAAACAAACAAAAGGTTGTAATCCTTGTCATCTATTTGAGATTTTTAGTGACCTCCTTGTCCCTCAATCACTTATGAGTCTGAATTGGAACCAATGAGTAGGCTTCTGCAGTGTCTGCGAATGATAACCATGACTGGCTCTATCTCCGTGTGCTTTGTGACAGGGTGATCTACGAATCTGCCCTTTCAGTCTTTGTAAAGTAAGTTGGCCGCATTTAGAAATCACAAGAAGCTATGGGCCATGATGGGAGGGTATACATTGCTTTTACTTGCAAGTTTCCTGCGTCAATTTTAGCCCATTTTAGTCCAAGCTAACACTTGATTTCGCGCTCGAAATGTCTGAAGGTGCGGTGATGGTGGGCGAGCTATCAATTTGTATGAAAAGATGAGACTTGCAAACCTTTCACCTTCAGCGAAAGAGGATGGCAAGGATCCTTTAAAAAGAATGCTTTTGGACACCATGGATGCTGCTCTTCTTGGAGCTCTTATCGCGGTACAGCTATGATCACGTTTAATGTATCTGTTGATTGATTGATCGTTCGTGTGAAGATAATCCAAACGAACAAGCTTGACGTTATACCTCACGTTTATCAATTGTGCCTCTGCTGCACTTTACAAGCTAATTGCCTTCTTCTTGAAGAAATTATACGGACACACACAATGACTACAACTTTCTGAGCGTTAATTTGTATACCTTCATAGGGACTTGAAGCCACAAGAGTGGATGGTGTGCAAGGTGACAAATCCGCTGTTCATTCTTCTCTAACAAGCACAGCTTCAATTGTTCAAGACTTGGCCGACGCTGGTATTCGAGTGAAACCTGGGTATGTCATTGGGTGCTCTGCATTTGCCTTTTTACATTCAGTACTTAGAAGGGATTGCATTATTGATTGTATTGTTGACACGATTTCAGGGCCATGACGAAAGCAATACGCCAGCTTTGCGCTGATGTTCATACTCCAGTGCAAACACTTGAGGATACTAAAGCTTTGGCTGTGCGTAAGCCAACAGGTGGTAGACCCCCACGTCAAATAAACGTAGAGGGTTTGGCTCAAGCAGAAAGGTTTCAACGTCTTGAAAGGGCAATACAATCGGTTGAAGCGTCCAATTGCCTAGTAAATGGCTAACTTGAGTGAATTACCAGTCTAATTTTATTTCGAAGTATGAACTTCATGGATAGGCTGTCATTGTGGAATTAGAGAGCACCTATCAGCGTGTACACATATTTTGCTACATGATCAACTGTGACGGTTGCATTGTGTAGTTTGGTATGCAGGCAACAAGTTTTGTGTATGGAGCACTTATGGAGGCTTGCATCCGGCTTCAGAAGGTGTTTATCGCCACAACAAGAGAGTGAATGGATGATTGTTATGTTACATTCAATATGTGTTGTCATTCATGCGTATTACTGTCTCAACTGCCTCTTATTGTGCCCTTGATTGAAAGGAATCGTGTATCTAAGGATTTACGTGAAAATCGTGTACTAACGCGAAAATTTACTCTTTCGGTTATCCTGGTTGTGTTTATCCTCCACTTTGCTTTATCTGTGTAGATGCAAATACAAATGCACTTGTAACATACGTATGTTAGAGTAATTTGCTTTTCAATATCTACTCTAGCTTTCTGTAGAGGTTTACTTATGACTCTTAATTCGATTGAGCGTTGAGTGACCGAATCTTATATTCTGATGAAGGGAGAGCGAGTGGAGACTCTTTGGCACCGCATGAGATTAGCAGGCGTTACCCCAGATTTGAGAACATGGGTGTTGCGTGTGCAAGCCTTGGCTAGTGCTGGTAACTTTCAAGGGCGCACTTCGGAGCTGTTGAACGAAGCAGCGAAAGATCAATTTGAGCATCATTCTGTTTTGCTCAGGTAGACGTTCAATCTCCACAATCTTGCACTGTTTTCCATTGGGTTCTATGTGCTTTCAAAACAAAGCACATTAAAGAAAATAAAAATAAATCAACTGCATCTGCTACATGTTTTGGTTGCTGGATTATTTAAATTGCATTGCTGCCAGGCTTTCTTCAGATAGTTGCAGTTTGAAATCAAAAAGTTATACAGAAGGGTACGTTAAATAATGCGATGCATGTGTGTATTCAACTTTTGTGATTTGATTGATATTATTCGTACTTTCCTCATAAGTTCATTTAAGGGATGATTTTTTAGAAGAGATCACGTCCTAGACCCGAGGTCTTGAAGTGGAGGTTATTAATCAGTGGGGATTTTGTATCTGTGAACCAATGAGCAGGGCAATGCTCAAAGCATGTCATCAAGTGAAAGACATGGCAGGCGTAGCTCACGTTAAGCGGATATTGAATTCAAAACGTCTGAGTCAATCCATTTCAAGCACCGATTTTACAACGATTGATGATCCAGCTCAAGATTAACCATGATCTTCATTTTCATTCCAACATGTGGGCTTAGAGGGTTCAATTTGGCAGAAGTGCGCTTGTAATATATTCTTAATTGGCAACCTAAAAGATATATAATCGAAGCATTTGAGATCCTTCACCGCACGCTGTGATCTTCAGCAAGGTAAATCACAGAGATTTAAGGATTTGATGCTTTCCTCAAATCTGACAAGCAATGACCTGCCCGCTTCATATCATGGAAACTCATATTCGTTGAATTGTAACTATATCCATCAATAGTTCGAAATGAAGTGCGGAGTTCATTTCAAACTATTGATGAATATATTTTGATTTCGTGAAATCAAAATTTTATATTGAATACGTCGTTCCAATCACCTACTACGTGCAAATTCTATCTTTCCTCTGAAGGTGGTTTGTTCTTGCATACTGTTCATTAAACCTCAACTCTCTACGATTTTTGTGTGTTTTTGATACCTGAGGTGGTAACCTGGAGTGGTAAATCATCAAGGTCAGGAACCTGGGGACTGGATAACATCGTATAGATTTTAGAAATTGCCGCAATAGTCTAATGTTTTAATGGGATCGACATTCATCTGTGCTTGCGTAGTGAAATTATACATCATAGGGCGAAGATAAACAGGTGCGCCAGAGACAGGAAATGTGGTGTCTGAGTCGAATAGTGTGCTTTTGGGAACCATTGTACACAAGTCAGATGTCAAATTAGCTTGATAAACTATGTAAAGTTGGAACAAAGAAACTTACGTATTATTAACTATCTTAGTACATGAAGTATTAAATTATCATCATTACAAAAATAAAATAAAAAAATAAAAACCTGGTAAAATCAGAAGAAGTTATATTATATTGGAGTAGTCCTACTTCTAAATCTTTCCATATAAGTAAATTCATATACAAATCTATATATTTTAATTTGTGTTTATTTTTGTGCAGATTGAAGCTAACATACAAGCTTTGACGACATGTGTTGTGAAGTTGTCAATCAAGGTGCTTCCAATGCCATTACTACTACATAACAATAAGATATCACAACTAATAATAATAATAAATCAATTAAATAATTACAAAATTTTCTTGACATAAAATGAAAGGCTCAAAAAATGAGGTGAAGTAATAAAAATAAAAAAGTATTACATTTTGTCATTTGTATAAAAATTGTTTTATCATTGTATATATAAATATATATATATATATATATATATATAAATTTCTTACCCTTACTATGTTACAATCAATAATATTTTTATTTTTTAAAAAACATATGGCAATTTTTAATTTATTTGAGGATTTTTTTAGCCTATTTTTTAGTGGGTATTTTCAAATCCTACTTTCTAGCCATGAGCTTTAGATTCTATCATTCATACATAATTCTCTATAAAGAAAAGAAAATTAGATGCTAAGAACTTCCAAATGGCATCAAGAAGATTAAGAAGCAAAAGTTCTATTACCATAGAGCAGACATATCTCTCCTAAAAGAAGACGACAACCAAGCTCTCCAAAATAAGGCTTTTACATAAAGTAGTTATAAAGTGATACTATGAGTCTTGGAGTAGAACAATATTAATGCCATATTTGATGTGTTGTTAATGGTGCAATATGGACATAATGAGAATGAACATAGAAAGCTTGGTCATAACAAGAAGACATGTTTTTCCATGGCCATTCTTCAAACAAAGTTATAAAGGTAGTTTATTGGAGTCCCAATAGAATCACATGTGGAAGGTTAGATTAGAAAATATCCCTTGGGGATTGGTTGTAAAATCCCTTTATTTTATCTATAAATATATTAATTTTTTATTTCTATAAAGTACTAGTGATAAATTACACCGTGGTGTTTGTTGTGTTTGCATTAATACCATAATTTTCTTTTGAAAGGTTTTTATTAATTGCAATGCCTTCAATATTAGAATTATAAAAGAACATGAGGTCAAAATATTATATTTTTCTACATTGTTACTATATTTTGCTAAAAATAAATTATCAAGTAGTTATATTGTGAAGATTCTAAATTGCCATGTTAGATCTTTCATGGATCAAAAATCTTTTGCTTGGAGATAGCAATCTCTAAGTAATCCAAAACTCAATAAATAATATTAAAAAATCCTTTAAATAAAATTTTAAGTAACAAAGATTGTTTTGTTCTAATTGTGACCTTGTTTACAGAAAGATATTGTTTGTAATAAAAATGTTTTATTTCTAAGCACATTATGGTTGCTTGAATATGTAGAGAAAAGCCAAAGATTATTAGTCATGTAATCAAGAATTACAAAGGAAGAGATAATGATAAACCGTGGATACTTTTAATATGATATTATATAGATTCTACTTACTATTAACATATCTTTATTTTTTAATATTATTTAAAAAATATAATTAGTTTAATCTAATAAACAAAATCTTGCTAAGATTGTTAGAAATCTCTCCTAAAATAAAACCACTAATTCAAAACCACTTATGATAATACTAAGTTGTACGTTTTATGATATGATTAAAATAAACACTTACAACAAACAAACATTATATACTTTAAAGATTCTAAAGCATGATTATTTAATTCATAAGATTATAAATTCACCAAAGAAACAAAAAAATAAAAATTTCAAATATAGATTTTATATTTAGAATTAATGTTTTAAGTATGATAATAATAATACATATTTATAAATAAATTAAAACAAAAGATTATTTAAAAATAAATAAGATGGTACATTTATGCATTTAATATATAAAAAATTATTAATTATAACTTATTTTTATAATAGATGTGTGTGTATATATTTATATTTATATATTGCAACTATGAAATCCACAATATATATTTGTGATATTAAAAAAATTATAAATTTATTATTATAACAGTAACAAAAGAAAATTTAAAAATATTATTATAATGTTTTATCTAAAAATAATAACTTCTTGTATGAGAAGTTATTATTATGTTAATAATTTTTTTACAAGGGGTTATTAAGTATTGATTTTTTTTTCAATAATTTAAAAAAAAAAATACCACTAAATGAAACCATTAAATTCATGTGGTTGAATTTTAATTTTGTTACAAGTTGCATTTTTACTATTATGCATACCAAAAAAATTGATTATACTTGAAATGTTAAATAACCGTTGCTATTATATATATATATATGTAACGGACAACTTCTGAATGGGCACAATGATAGTCAAACACTTTTTAGTCTCTCCAGAGATCATCAAACGCAAAGAGCAAAAGGCATCACACTTTTGGTGTACCATTGTTTCCACCTTCAATTAGGGCTTCGATCCAGGCAGATGAGAGGCCCCGTAGCAAGTAGAAAAGGAATGCCGTTCCAGTGCAGGGGACGAGAGTGCGGCACGCGTTCGCAACACACGCCGTGGCTACCTTCATCGACGTAGCCCAATCGGGCGGCACGTATTCCGAAATTAATCGGCAGAGAGAGTAATTCCTACCGGTCTCTGGGACCGACGAGCCCTTCGTCGCAGTGTTTTCGTTGTTGGATTTTGTTGGGTGTAGGGAATTATTAAGTTGTGGCGATGGCGGGGGCGCGCGGAATGCTTCGCAAGGCCGTTGTGAGTGTGCGGGGATCGAACAACGCGATTCCGGCATGGAGCCAAGCTATGAGCGAGAAGGCGACCTCGGGGTCTCAAGCGACAGCTCCACCACCGCCTCCTCCACCACCGCCTGCCGAGAAAACACACTTCGGGGGGTTGAAGGATGAGGACCGGATCTTCACGAATTTGTATGGGTTGCACGATCCGTTCCTGGCAGGTGCGAAGAAGCGCGGGGATTGGTACAGGACCAAGGATTTGGTGCACAAGGGGACGGACTGGATCGTGAACGAGGTTAAAAAGTCGGGTCTGCGAGGGCGGGGCGGTGCGGGTTTTCCTTCGGGGTTGAAGTGGTCCTTCATGCCCAAGGTTTCCGATGGTCGTCCTTCATATTTGGTGGTCAATGCGGACGAGAGTGAGCCTGGTACTTGTAAGGACAGGGAAATCATGAGGCACGATCCGCACAAACTTCTTGAGGGTTGCTTGATTGCGGGAGTGGGGATGCGTGCTCGTGCTGCTTATATTTATATCCGAGGAGAGTATGTCAACGAGAGGCTGAATTTGCAGAAGGCCTTGCATGAATGTTACAAGGAAGGTGAGTATGCTGTCTCTCTTCCGAATTTTTGACCGGCAGTTGGGCCCAATTCTTCGTTTGGTGCGGGGTGCACTACGTAGAAGAGATATTCAGATCACTTAGGGAGGGTATTGGGCTCAGTCCTTCAGGTGTTGCAGGTACAAGGGTTGCAGGAGTAGATTGAGAATTAGTCTGATCTGCTTGGTTAGAGGAGTAAATACTATCGTGTAGGAAATGAGGTTTTCGACTTTTGGATTTGCGTAATTAGGGTTTCTCGATGATGGAAGTCGATTAGTGGACTCAGGATGGTCTACTTGAAGGATTGTATGGTGATTATGGTCCTGATTAGGATCAATCATCTCTGGGTTTTACTTTTCGTGAGTGATTGGCTAGCTTAACATAACTTCAGTCAGGGAGTTGCAAATGGCCGTCGATCAAACAGCGTAAAATTGGATTTTAGGAAGATTTGTAGATGAATGGTTTTAAAACTTTGAGACTCCGGTTTTTTTGTGGTTTAGGTGCCGCCGAGATGTGTTGAGGTTACATCATAAATGTTTCTAAACGTTTTATGTTGTGTGTTGCTTGATTTCAGGTCTTCTCGGGAAGAACGCTTGTAGTACAGGGTACGACTTTGATGTCTACATTCATTATGGAGCCGGTGCATATATTTGTGGAGAAGAGACTGCGCTTCTAGAGAGTCTTGAGGGAAAGCAAGGGAAACCGCGACTGAAACCTCCCTTTCCTGCAAATGCTGGTCTATATGGCTGTCCCACCACTGTTACCAACGTGGAAACTGTAGCTGTGTCTCCAACCATTCTACGGAGGGGACCCGAATGGTTTTCGAGTTTTGGACGGAAGAACAACTCAGGGACAAAGTTGTTTTGTGTCTCGGGGCACGTGAATAAGCCATGCACTGTGGAAGAGGAAATGAGCATTCCATTGAAGGAGCTAATTGAGCGACATTGTGGAGGAGTGCGAGGAGGATGGGATAACCTTTTGGCCATCATTCCAGGAGGATCTTCTGTGCCTCTTCTTCCCAAGCATATCTGTGATGACGTGCTTATGGATTTTGATGCTTTGAAGGCTGTTACATCAGGTCAGTGTTTTCACATCAGAAAATTTTGCACTGACAGAATTTGATGTTTCTCTATATGAGAATATATCATCTGGTGATGTGAGGGGCGAACGTAAGGTATCCTTAATTCAATGCAAGATGAGGTCACAAGATCTAGATTCTGGGCAGAGTGTTGTTGGATAGACTAGGAAATCCCACATGCATCTTTACACAGTTCACTCAGATTCATTCTGTTTGTTGGCAGCCTTATTTGATTAGGGTGCACTAGCCTGAATGCACTTCGTTCAAATGACTTTATTTTACTTCATGAAATATTTATGGTCTCATTCTTGATTGGTTTAAGTAAATTTAGCTTGAGGTGCATCTTGGAACTGGCATGCATCCTTGATTAACTCTCCTGTTTGTTATTTTTATTAGGTCTTGGCACTGCTGCTGTGATTGTGATGGACAAGTCTACTGATGTTGTGGATGCAATTGCTCGCTTATCGTACTTCTACAAGCACGAAAGTTGCGGGCAGTGCACACCTTGCCGAGAGGGTTCTCCTTGGCTGTGGACAATGATGGAGAGACTGAAGGTCGGGAACGCCAAGTTGGAAGAGATCGACATGTTGCAGGTATCCTTTCTGTTCGTAGATAAATACCTCTTTTATTTTATGCCTAAGCTCTATAATGTTTTTTTTATTTACATGTTGGACCATTTTTACTCATAAAGAACATTTGGTCATGAATTCTAAAACGCGGGCTTTGCTGTATAGTTGTTCTAGCCTCTAATGTTCCAGGAGGCATGCAGACTCCAGGTCTTAGCTTTAAGAGTAAATTAGATCACAGCATTTTGTGTGAGAAGTCAAGTTTTGTAGCGTATCATGTAGCCTGAAGTTCGTCAGAATCTTCATCGGACCAGGAAATTAAATCACTTTAACGAGTTGTTTCTGACAGACTTAACGGGGCACTTGTGATCTTCTTTGGTATAAAACAGGAAGTTACCAAGCAGATTGAGGGCCACACTATCTGCGCTTTAGGGGATGCCGCAGCATGGCCCGTCCAGGGTTTGATCAGACACTTTAGACCAGAGCTTGAACGCCGGATATTGGAACGAGCAGCAAGGGAGAACGACGAGTTGAGGGCAGCTAACTGTTGAAGGATGGGAATCACAGATCTAATGATTTCATGGAACTGGGTAGATCAAAAGAGGCAGACATGGTCTTTGAGAAGTTGATTTACGTCGAATGAAGTTTGTCTGGAGGAACCCTCATCACACTGATGAATAAATCTGCTTCCTCCCGGAGCCTTCAGTAGTGACCAACCATTCCAAGTTAATAACACTGGCAGTTCACCCCCGATTTCTCGGGATTTTTTCTTTCTAATAACTTAAGTCGATAATTTCTCCCAAATTCTTATGCGTGTTCTCTCTCAACTTATCATTCATGTCATTCGACCAAGTCTTTCGCGGGCTTGGATTGGTTATATTTTGCAACAAATTTTCAACGAATTGGCTTGATTTTCTGCAACATTTAATGCTTGAGGCGATTATCCTTCCAAAAGTTCGTTGCTTCTGCTGCGAATGATCCAGGATTTTATTTGCGACAATGTGGGATTATCCCTATTCCAGTCTCTTCTGCAAGTAGATATGCAGGTTTTCTTCCGCAGCTGGATCACCTTTTATGCTGCTCTAGCCCGAGTCTAGGGTTGAGTTATCAGACACATTGGATTGGTAAGAATTAGGAAGTTTCACAGCATAAATTAGAAATATCAGCCAATCGTCTCGCTGTGTTCTTGGCTGATGGCTTGGTACGTGCCTAGTCTCTTGAAAACCTCAATGCTAACATTTTGCATGCCTCGGAAAGCATTATAATCTACTTCTTCGAATCCAGTCAAGCTTATTGGTTGAGTACTTCTCGAGGACCCTTATCTAGTGGACATAGACACGTCCTTAGAACTCCTCTCACCGAAGCAGGCATACTTAAATACTTAAACTAGTGACATATGCGTCCCCGGATGGAAGCGAATTGTGTGATACATAATCTATGTAGCAGTTAAGAATTCAAACTTTGATTCTCAACTGAAAGCACACCAGACTGCATCAAGTGGCTTGCATGTGGCACCAATCTTGACAACTAACAATGTAGCACTACAATTTTTTTGGGACCAAACTGTAGAGAATCTGCAAGAAACTACCGCGTTCAAGTCAAAACCTTCGGATAGTGTCCCGATGGAGAGAAGCCCTTTCCGGATACATTCCACACAGTTCTTACTGAGTTCAATTCCGCAGTCCTGACAATGTGCTGAGGAAAAGAAAATGAGAGTAATGCACGTGGGCTGTTATGTTGAATATTACAGTTAAAAAAATGGGTGGCTATCGTGCGGTGCGGGGCCGTGGATTGTGCTGTTTGGTGCGAGCAGATTTAGGCCGTGCTCCTGCGGCAGCAGGTGTGACCTGTTGCGGCTCTCTATCCCATGTAAAGGAGGGTTTATTGTCGACACGAAACTCGCGAAGAGCGTGCTCAATGTCCACTTTGCTGGACGACAACTGCGAATTGTCACCAAACTCAAAATGGTTGCGACCTTCGGACACATCCTGGTCCTTCTTCAAGATGTTGTCCACTCTGCACCCAATCTTGCCCTCATCAATCGCTTTGCTCCGCCCAGCACCTTTCCGCGGTGAGTGCACATGTACACTAGATGTGTTTGACCTGCTCTTCAAGCAGCTTGTGGCGGATTCAAGCGGCTGACCACTGTTCTCGAATTTTTGCTACGGATTTTTTTAGATATGGACAAGCAGGATTATATGTAGGGCAGGGAAAAATTGGCAAAATGTGTAGGAAAATCCAGATCGTCATCGCCACCACCATCCTTAAGGAATGGTTTTTCACAGAAGGGACTCGGTGTGAAATATTCACGAGATCGTCCCGGACTTGTTAACAGTAATAGAGAGGAAGGGATTAACTTACAAGTATCGGTCGCGTTCACTTTGGGATAAGGTTTGCTCCGGTTGTCGCAGTGGGGGTCTACTACGACCAATTGCAGAATTCGGCCGAAGTAAGGGCTGCTTCGTGAAGCCGTCGATGGAAACTCTTGTTGGACCATTATACGGAAGTGACCTTACAGGCGCGTTCTGGACTAAGTTCCAAATCTCGTTCTCCTCGTCCCAATGAACTCGACGCATGACCTTAGTCAAATCTTCAGGTGATATGAATTTCTGTTATCATTCAAGCGAGTGAAAGAAGGTCGGGTTAGTGACTTCAAATTAGGCAGATGACTAGATTTAGTGGTGTTGATCCATAAGATGCGTGAGGTTACCTTTTCAATTCGAGAAAGAGACCTGTAGGAGACGCAACATAGCAAGGCTATGACTGCAATGGAAACTGACTTTGGCACACTGCAGTAGCTGAATTGATCCGTCACAAAGTCGATGGCATCATATCAGCACAGAAAACCAACTCACATCAATTAGGAAGTTCTTGAGCTGCAGCTGCTGATCGAGGGAACGCAATGACAAGAACATGTCGGCTCTCTCTCTTTGAAACTCGTGGATCGTATCTTGGAGTTCAGTACGTAACGCATTAATATCATTTTTACTCTGTTGATATCGTGCCATCAACTTCCTCAGCTTGCGAGTCTTCATTTCCACCTGACGAGGGTCACCAATCCCGTTTACCACAAATTTCAGCGCAATCAAAAGCCTCTTTTCCTAAATGATTCACAGGAATCGTATCATAGTAGGGACTTTTTTGACTGCTATCCCATTGGGTTCACATCCACTAAGGATACCCCTCAACATCCTCCTCATACCATTTTGCAACTTCGCAGATAATCAATACTGAATTTTGTAACTGAATCCTCTCCAAGCTCCAACAACAACATGAATCTGATTAGAAAGTTCTTAATCTTTCTTCTTGGAAACATGATCCTAACCAGCAGGTCTAATGCAAGACAAATTGGCGAATGGAGATTATGCATCTGACACTGGAAAATCAAGATCCTTTCACGAATGTACTAAGAGCTGTGGATTTGAATTTAGGAAGAGGCTTCACCTCTTCCTCCATCGTATTGCATTTCTCTTCTGCCATTAGCTGAGCTTCCTGCATCAAGTTATGCGACAACCAAGTTGACAACATGAGAAAATGTGCAGGAATTAAGGTTTTTGTGACGACGTTCAGTTGCGTGTGTCTGTGTGTGTGCAAATCCACTGATTACAAATTATTAGAGAGCTCGTGATTTAGTGAATTGTACAGGTCCATTCAGGAACTTGAACAGATGACATTGATGACACATGAACAGGCTTCTTTAGATACTGAACTTGACACACTAGATGCAGAAAAGATTTTGCAACTCTCGGGTGCACGACGAGCAGAGATTCGTTCTCCTGTTCATAACATACACTGTCGAATGCCACTTCGAAAACAAGCTTTCTTTATTTCCAGAGGTAAAAGATGTCATAAACCAAATGTGTTGCACAGATTTAAACGAATAATTTAGAAACACCAGCCTCAAGCTCTGCTATCTTCCGCTGACGCTCTTCGTCCATGTTCTCCTTCTCTTGAAGCTGCTGCTCACGCAATGCGAGCTCCACTTCCTTTTGCTTTGCTTTTTCCAGGAGCTTCTCATTATCATTGTTCGTGCCATGAACAAGCTTTTCCTCCAAGGCTCGGAGCTTGGCAGCCAGTACATCCCGATCTTCCTTCTCGCGTGCCAAAGCCTGAAAGATTCAAGCCAGATTGCTCCTTACATCACCGTTTAGGTTCACACTCAAAGGACGAATGCCCTTAGAATGGAAGAGGGCGATCGTGTACCTGGTAATGTGACTGCAGCTCCACATGCTGCTGCTGTAGTTGCTGAGCAATGCGTTGCTTTTCTTCATCTGATCTCTCTTTTTCTGCCTTCAAAGCTTGCATCTCGGACTGTGTCTGCAAGCACATCAATGCAGATACTCACATATCACACAAACTTTCGTCAAGTTACAAGAAGGATACATGTTACTAAGTTCCAGTGTGTTCCGTAGTCCATTTTACAGGTTTATATTCAAACAAAGGATCGATCTGCCTATTTGGTCATGACTTTACACAGATTTCATTGAATAGTAAAGGGCCTTGTGAATTGAAACAAAAGCCCGTCGACGACTTTCAGGCTTAGATTGTGAGTCAAGAATGAAGGATATTGGTGAAACTTCAGCAGTAAATTATGATCGGGATAATGTTGAAGTTTCTTGGACAAAAAGCAAAACAACAATTCTCTCTCAAGAGGCATGTGCACCTTTTGTTCGAAATCAGCTTTGATGCAGGCCATGGCTTGGTCACTCATAGATTTGTGCAAAAAGACTTGGTGCTCCATATCCTCCTGCATCTTCGCCCTGAGTTGCTGCATGTGTAGCTCCAGATCCACAGCACTCGGGCTCGAAGGATCTATCTTATTCGGTGTCCTTTCATCCAATACTGGACTGCTGGCTTGCAATTGCGCTCTCAACCTGCCGAGCATAAAAAGCTTAACTTTGGCATTCAATTACGTATGCAACATAGGGATGGTACATTACGCATCTCAGAGAATCTTCGTTCAACCGATACGTATCAGGGCGCCGTGTCCAAGCGTTAAGCTTGTAATGGCTAACTGCTTCGGAACTCATCGATACTATATTCCACAATGAAAATTATCGGACAATTATGGAGCGTGCAAGTAGACTGCGAGCAATGAAAAAATATTTTTGGTAATTTATTCTGCAGTAACACTCTGTTACACGTGGTTTTTCTGAGGCTTTCACGTCGGTACCTCGCAATCTCCTCCTGGAATTCGCGCAAGATGGCATCTTTTGGATCTTCGTTGATACGAGGCTTGTTTTTGATACTCTTAGCCCGGTTCGCATATCTCAAAGTGCTCACGCTCTCATCATAATTGTAGTCAGCTGGACCTGTTACACAATTGGTGTGATCATTGATCGTATATCGACGTAATATTTTATATTGAACGTAAACGATTTCAGGGCGTTCTACATTAGAATTGGGCTCCTTCATGATGATATTGTAATAAATGAGGCATTTCGAGATAAAACTCGAAAACAAATTCAGGGAGTGTATGCAAAGAGGTTGCCATTCATGCGTTGGAGAGAAGGAGACTTGAAGATTACCTATGTTGGCGATCATAACAGTGCGGGTATTGCCTCCAAGTGAGTCTTGCAGGAGGCGAGTGAGTTTCGAATCACGGTAAGGAACATGCGAGCTTTTGTCATCCACAAGGGCAGAGATGACATTGCCCAAAGCAGATAAAGACCAGTTGATATTTGTGAGCTCGCGGAATCTGTCTCCGGTAGCTCCTGTTTTGTTCAGTCTCTCACTCCCAGCCAAATCCACCTATTTCAATCATCCTCAGGCAATTAGAATAGGGGTGATAAACAAAGACATTTTCAAACTGTTCCTGCATTTTCAAGACACGTGAATAATCAACCTGCGATTTAAACGTCAGCTAAGTACCAGATTCAGCTTGCCCACTCGGATGTGCATGCTGCCATCAGTTTCTGCTGATGAACTGCGGGCACTTGCCTCTACAGTAATGGTAAAGATAGAGTGCGAGCGAGACGAGTCTTGATTCATCAGCGTCGCTCCAACTGACCTGCTCTTCTTGCCGACCTTAATTTGTCACATCAATCGACAAACTCTAATCAGCACATAGTTTTGGAAATGGTTCAGGGTAGATACTGCATTTGAAGAAATGAGGTGACTGGTCTACTCGGAACATTCGACCTTACTAACGTTGATAAGATCTCTCTAAGTCCCCTGATTTTGTGTAGATGAGAGGGACCTTGTGCTCGTTCTCATCAAGTGCCTAGACGAGCGGCACACCATACAACACCAAGCTCACCTTACAGCTGATTATGTAGACCTATTTCACTTGGTAACTAGTCCTGCCCAACCCTTGCCCTTGCCAGGGTAAATCAGAAGAAAACTATGTGACGTTGTCCCAGTTGTTCTAAAGAGGGGATTTTATTTGGAAAGTATCGAGGAGGAGGAAGATAACTCACCGTAAGAAGATGACTGATATCAGCAACGCTTTGAACAGTGATTGAGGTCAAGTTCTTCACATACACGTTGCCTTCCACATTCTCTTTCAGCTCCAGACGTGACGAAGATTGTGAGCCAGTAGCCAACAGATCCCGAATTTCCTCATTGTGGATCTCCAAATACGAGGCCCGCACCAGAAAGTTGTCAGAACTCTGGCTATCTTGGATGTGGGTGAAAATGCCTTCAAATGCTTGCGGTATAATACCCCGCATTTCTGCAACCGCATCAACCATTAGACAAAATGGTTTGTGCCGATATCAATCAATGCAGGTAATAACTCTGAAGTTGGACAGCATTTCAGACTACGGGATGCTACAATGATCACACTTGTGACAAGTCTTTCCAAGATTGTCATAAAATGGTCATCCTGCGTTACAGTTTTAAACCACCCAAATATTATCTGATACCCCGACAGTGGGCTTTGTTTATCTGAAGAAAAGACTGCATGTTAATGTTGAAGGTTGAAGGTCCTCAACACATACCAGGAGGGTCGTCAAGCCCGTCCATTGTAAAGGTCTTTCCGGAAGCTGTCTGTCCGTAGGCCAACACGGTGCCATTGTAACCACACATAACACTGTGCACAATGGGATGGGCGACGTCGTCATATAGCTGTTTCTGTGTGGAGGTCGCGTCGTAAGTTTTGTCGAAGGTGAACAGCTTCGGCTCCTGTTCGGGTTGCTTCAGATTCTTTACTTGTATTGTACTGCCAACTGTGTCCACCAGCACACAGTTGTTTCGACCCTCTGCATTCTCTTTCACTAGCATTGGTCGGCATCGCACCACAACTTGCACTCTCTCTGCACGACGAGCTGATCCTCCACCAGATGATAGAGAGGATCCAGTGGAGCTTGTCCTTGTCAACCCTGATCCATGCCCTCGACCACGTTCTTTCATCCTTTTGAACCAAGTCCGCTTTTTTCCTTACAATTCGTGTTTTGATGAAATTAATTGTGCTTTTTACTGCAGGCTTTGCATGCTAGAGGCCATGAACGACTGATAAAGCAGAACTATATACCCCACGTCGGAGACGTCAGAAAATTCAACGGCACTCACAACACAGAAACTCCAAATTTCTGATGTTATCGCCTCATTTCGAATCGCCATTAAATGGTAAATCTCTCTGCCCTATCGCTACCTTCACCTACATTAAAAGTTGGAAAATCGTTCACAACTTCAAGGAATCCACTTGAATGCCTTCCAATCCGACTTTATCTGCACCAATTTCAATCGCAACTTCAGAGTACGCATACACAGCCAGTGATAAATCTTCTCCCTGAGATTAATGCAGCACCTTTTGGCAAGTTCACATCGCATAATAAAACCCTCTGAAACGCTGTGATTACTCGGCACATCACCCAAAGTCAACAATGTGTCCACGAGTGAAATCATGCAGCATTGATCAAATTCATATTATCGTGAGCGGATGACCGAAATTCTTGAGATGAAGAGGGTGAAAAGCAGAGTCTTTGCCGCCGGCAGTTATAGGCAATGCAGAATTTGGCTTCTCGGTTGCCATCATCGACCAAAGGATGGAACGGAATCTCATGATTCTAGACTCTACCGTCCGCACGATGGAGAGGAAGTGGCTAGGCCATGCCGGCCGATAGGCATCTCCAGTCTGCTGAAAGTCATAATATACTTTACGAAACTCAATAGACAGATCGGTTGGTTTTCCTCTCCTAACTTCGACACTGCTCACGCTCAAGAGCACTGTCTGTATCCATGCTAATCACTCTACGCTTGTCGCCTTCTGGCAGCAATCGAATCCAACTTCTGATCAACAATTCAGATGAAACTGTATCTTTGAGCATGACTACCCAAAGCTCTTATATTGAAACCTCTCAGGCTCCCACCATCGATGTGAAGTCCTCTCTGACCGGTCCATTCATAGATTGCAGAGGAGATGGCATTTAGTGCACCGTAGCTATATTCATCGTGCAGCTTTTTTCCGAACACAGATTACGTATCGAGATCCTCTCATACATCGAAAACTTGCAGGGGAAGGCAGACCGGCTCTTTTCCAATCTCGTGATTGACACACATTAAGATGGGTGATCTTCACATGTGCACCTGGTTCTGTAAAACGGTTAAGCCTTCAATCCAAATCCAATCCAAAGTCGTGTAATTTATGTCCTGGGTTCCTTCATTAAGATGGACCTAGTAACCTTAACGAAGACAGCACACAACTTCTTCGCACTCCAACTAAGAAGGAATCGAGTGAATGAAACCTAATTTGTCTATCCAAAGGCAACACCAATCAATATTTTTTGATGCACTGGAAGAATATCACTTAGTGCCTGTCGAAGTAGTTAACGATTTCGAAATCAAGCACATTTCAAGGTTTCCAGAGAAAAACTGAAAACTTTGAACCATTGCTAATGTTGAAGGCCCTCCAACGAGTATCAAATCTGGTTGTTACCACTTACTTGGTTGATAATGGAAGAGAGGGTGATGATGGAAGAGAGGGTATTACTATCAATGCCCTTCACTCTTTTATATATTATCTTGTAGTACTCAAAACAAATAGATTAAAATATACTTAATTCTTATACACAAATAATAAGAATTTAATTGATCTTAGTTAAGGAGAAATCACTTTTAAATTTAAGTTTTTTAACATACATACTTGTAATAAATATTCATCTAAATCAAAAATAAATTGGCAAATTTATTTAGTTTGGTAGTTCAAGGATGTTAAAAATGATTAGACTAAATCAAAATTCTTTAATTCAAAAAGATATTAAAAAATAACAACCAATAATAAAGTTAGTGTAATTGATTCTCTATTGACATCTTAGTTTGGATCCAAGACCTCATCTTGTTAAAGGCTCATTTTTATAATATATTTTATAATCTCTATTAGTTTTATTTTTAGAAATATTTTAAATACTTATGAAGATAAGGTTAGGTATTTTCCCATTAACTTATAAGCTTAAAGAATAGACTATAAGAACAAAGCAGTATGCCTAAATGCCACCAATTGCATAATAATTTAAGAAAAAAATATACCTAAAGCATACAATTCTAAGAATCATTTTATCAAAAAAAATGACATTAAGATGTAAAGGCTCTATCTTTTAAAGATCAAGAATAGAACAAAAAAAATTCTTATATTAGTATAGTTATAGTATTGTATACAAGTATGATATCAAGGACATGAACTAAAAGATGATGCATAAACCAATGAAATCCATATCAAAGAAAGAGTGACAAAATAAAAATAAGGAAGTACATATATTAAAAGAAATTGGAATGGCTTATTGCCAAAAGACCAAAAAACTTGAGACTCTTGAAACTAGACTATAAGCAAGAAAGGAGTTGACAAGAGCGAAGAAGGCTTCACTCTTGTCTCTATATATACTATCTAACTAGGTGCTACGTGGCAATGTTCTATAGGACCTCCAATATGTATTGATTTTGTAGGACACATGCCTTGATTTACAAGATAAGTTTTTCTATGTGTGGGCTACATAGTTAGCTAGGTCTTCAAGCTAACAACATGTGTGGTACATGGCCAACTTATTGATCACGTTTCTAAACCAAAAAGTCAATTAAAGACACCTATAAAGTCAAAGCAGCATCTATAAAGCTTTTAAGAAGCTTCTATAGAAGATATTGTAGAATTAACTTACTTTTACCTACTTCTACTTACTTCTACCTATTTATACATGTAATTACTGGCTTATATGCATATGTTCATAACACATGATTGTAGAGGAGTAGAACTTAGAAAAAAACTAAGTGTAATAAAAATATCTTAATAGCATATTAAATAAATAAAAAATATTAGGATTTGGTGATGGTGAAATATATAAAGAGAGTCTAAGAAAATACTTTTTATTGGATTAAAGAGTCTATAGAATAAAAAACAAATAATAAAATAATAATTGATATATTTTTATTTATTTGAGAATAAATTTAAAAGATAAAATTTGATAATTTTTATTTTATATTTTTAATATAAATTTAATAAAATATATTAATATAATATTAAATTTTAAGCCATATTAATGCATATAAAGTCTTAAAATAAGCATTCTCTAATTTTAAGATGATAAATGCTTAAATAATCTAATATATATATATATTGTATTTCTATTTTTAAGTAAGTATTTAATTTTATTAAATTATTTTAAAAAATCATCTATAGGTAAGTCTTTTAAAATAATTACTATTTTTTTAGTAAACTTTAAAAATCAACATAGATATATAATATTATTTTAATATGATTATAAACACTTAATTAGTCATTTATTTTATACTACCATCACTTTTGTTTGATAAATGTTGATGTTATCATTTATGTTATTACTATTTTCTAAAATAAATGCATTCTATAATAAATGAGTTATTAAAACTTTCATAATATTGTAATACAAGGGCTTGTTCTTGCATACAATGCATAATAATGAGTAGTATGTATAAAGCATTACATATAAAATACTAGCATTATTTTTAAAAATCAAAAAATATTGATAATAAAACAAATTGATTAGTTATTATTGTATTATCAATATGTAATGTTTAGCACTTATACATATATATATATATATATATATATATATAAGAATTTAAAACAAAATATAATCTATTTAATTATTTTTAATTTAGGGCATTATAAATAAAATATTAATATATCTAAAAATAATATGTTTTTTTTAAAAAACCAAAATAAGTCACAAAAGTACTTGTAACAAATTTATATATTAAGAATAATTAATATTTTAAAATAAATACATAAAAAATAAAACTAAGATCTAATGTGATTGTTAGTACTACATTACATGTACTTATGAATAAGTAAATAAAAATTCTTACAACAGAGTAAAAAAAAATTTAAAATAATAATAAAATTTTAAAATTTAAGATTTAAATATATAAATATAAATATATATATATATATATATATATATATCAAAAAACTAAAAATAAAAGATTTTTATACGTGTATAGTAAAATTTTGTATTAGTACTTCATATATAAACTAAAAACTACATTTGATTGTTTGTAAAATACATATAAGTTTATATTTTATTATCTTATATAAAACTTCTATAATAACTTGTAAAGATTTTAAAATACATATTATATCTATATTCGTATTTAGACAAAAAAATACCTCAAAAATAATATTGTAGATAAATATCTCAAGAAATTATAATTTATATTAGAATCAGCCAAATTAACTATTCATGGCAATGTCCAAGCAAAAAACTAGATTAAAACATGTCATTTATATAAGGGGATGATAAAACAACCCAAATTTTAAGTTTATCTAAACCTAAACCCTAAACCCTAAACCCTAAAAATTATAAGTTTTAGGCTTTTATTGTTCAAAGTCCAAAGTCTTATTGCTAAATGTTACTAATTTAAAATAAATCAAGAGTACCCAAAATTTATCTTTGAAGGAAAGTCTATCTAAAGACAACATTAATTCTTGTTGTCAAATACAACTACTTTAAAAACAATTGAAGAGTACATGAAATTTATACTAGCTCCAAAGACATAAAATAAATGTTTTTGTATTGATATTGTGCAAATTAATTAAAAACTATCCAAATTGCTTCTTGGTCAAAATTAAGGCAATTAAATTTTATATTTACAAAGAAGAATTATTTGCCAAAACCACCTTATTATACCTTCATCATAAGCCAAATTATTTATTTTGCAAATATTAGTACTTTGCAAATTATTAACCTTATAGTACAAACAATGCCAAAATTATCACAAGCAAATACAAATAATATAACTTCTATTATGCAAACTTACAAGCATAACTTAAGTCAACAAATCAATACTCAAACTTACAAGACAATACACAAACTACTAAAAAAATATACCATATTATAATATACAATCAAGGTAGATAATTGATAATGTCATATCTACAATGTCCATCATCCTTAAGGATAGTTTTGCTTTAATCAAAAGATCACAATGTTAAGACATCAAAACTATAATAATTTAATATATGATAATTGATATTTAGTTATTTTTAGAAATCATTCTTTTATGCATCTTCTTAGTTTGATGCTTTCAATTAAAGATAAGCATGTCTAATTCAATTGAAGGACTCATTAGCAATGTTAATAATTCTTTAATTTTATATTTTATCTTTTGTCTATTTAGTCTTTTTTGGAACATTTTTTTTTTAAACATTCTTCTTTGACCCTTACAATTCCTCAAGTAGGATTGTACTCTTTATGCTGTAGATTTTACTATCTAATCTCTAAAAACCATTAAGTTTTATAAAAATACAATTCAAAAGACCAAAAAGATATTTAATACTAATAAACAATCATTTCTTAAAGTAACAAAAGTAGAGTTGGAATGTAGGTATTATTTTTAGAATCATCAACTTTGGCAATATATTACTATCTACTACTCTACATATTAGATCTGCACACTTTGTGACAACATCCTGCTACAATTGGATAGAGTTTTATGAAACAAAAAATAATCTTCTTCATTTGGTTGTATTTTAACCACTATAGATTTTTTGAAAATGAATGATTCTATCCAATAAAGTAGCACAATTAGTGCATTGCAAAGTTATAAAGTTGAGATGAGTACAAAATGCAAACAAATAGACACCGACTGCATGTGAGATGAACAACTGTGCTGAAGCAAACAGAGACCAAGCACACACCATTCAGACTTTGTCGCAAAACTCCAAATTCACAATCTCCGCAGAAACTAAATTTCCTCCATTGAAGTGGATTAAGGGGCTTTACAGTGGCCTCGTAAAAGTTGGAATGGACGATCCCACATGAAATGTCGGGCAATACATGGATTACGATATCCAAAACCTCATCTTCTTCATGTGGGTCGCCTTGTTTATTCATACAATTAAACTAATTCCACAAGTTCGGCGTATCCAGTTCCCATGGAGTTCCAGCGACAGAGCGGAGAGCACTTCGATCAGGTTCCGGGTCTCCAGTCAGAGAGCTTCAAACCCTTCAGAAAACGTCGTCGGATTCTCGTTTTCCGAGTGCTGTAGAGCGAGTGTTGGAAGGGCTTGCACCGCGTGCCACTACATGCGGAACTTCCAGGTACACACAGCTCGCAAACAAGGAGCCTCTCACCAAGTGTCCAAATCAGAGCATCGCACAGAGGGGGTGGGTCCCTCCCTTGAAGTTAAATGGGGGACAACACTAGTCATGTATGCTTCCCCACTTGGCGCTGCTGCAGTCCCCCAGGTGGACTCAAACCTCATGCTTTGCTATCGAGGCTCTCAGCAGCAGGACTTGGCAATCTTAGCCGCTTGGGAATTCTGAACTTCTGCTAATATCAAAAACCACAACGTAGAGTTCACTGAATTCTCTGATTGTTGCGACAAGAGTTTCAATGGGAGACGCGTGGCGACCTTTTATCGTGTCACCTGCTCTCTGCGGCACTTGCTTCGCCATGGGCGATGGCAAAGCCATGTCTTTAGTGTGTTATAAATGACCCAATGGAGGATTCTGAAAGTATCGCAGTGTCGTCTTACGTATGAAGGATCGGTTCTCTGATTGTGGGGTCTTCGGCATGTGAGGGGGCTGATCGAGAAGGAGCGCTGAAAGAAAATTGTAATAGTGAGCAATGATGATGAACATCGAGAGCTTGTGAAGGGTAACATCTGTGGTGAATTTTCGAGGTCCAAGGATAAGCAGGAAAGAAATTGGAGAACCTGATACGTTTAGAGAGTTGGCGAAGACGAGAAAAGATGACGCGAGTTTTGGGATTTACAGTTTTGGTGATACTGTTGTTTGCTGGTTCGGAAGCTCTACTACACGACAGGAAGCCCGCGACGTCTGGAGAAGCAGCGAAAGAGTATGCTAAGGAAGTCGTTCGGGACACAGCAGACGCAACTAAAAATGCTGGTGGGTTCCTTAGTTTTATTTGCAATTACACACTAACTTATGCTTCAAATTGAAAAGAGAAAAGTGACTCTAGTACTTCAGAGGTTATTCTAAGCAAAGTATGTGTGGGTATTTCTTCATTCTCGCAACATATTCTACGTTCATGGGTGTGGGAAGAAGTGAAGTTGAACAGGAGACTTATTCGATAAGTGTCATTGTTGTTATTCGAAGAGCTTAACTTAGCATAACTACTTCAAAACTGCCCAAACAATCACTTTGATGTCACTTCAGTTCTGAATATGTTGCAAGAGTTGAGGTCGTGACATGGTTAACTCCCAATAAGGCTATGGTTCCAGGAAGAATTGGATTCTGCTAACCTTCTCTACACATTTTCTGGTTAGGTAACGCCATCAAGCAGACAGCCAATGCAGCATACGAGACTACAGCTGATGCAGCCAAGACGGTAACAGGAGGCAGGAAAGACGCAACTTCTACTGGCGCAACTGGTGCAGCATACAGAGACTCAGCAGGCCAGAAATCTATCCTTCTCTTCTATACTCCTCATTCCAATCCACCCTCGCAATCACCAGATTGTTTACTGAAAGACCAGGATTTCTTACTGCAGGGAGGTATGTGGAAGATTCAGCCACGACAACTCAAAGCAAAGCAGCTGATGCAGCAGGAGCAGTGAAAAAATTTGCCGAGAGTACTACAGAGACGGCAGCAGACACGGCACGTGCCGCAGCAGAAAAGGCTTCCCAAGGTGCAACGGCGACAAAGGATGCTGCCGTCGATGTATGCAACTCATACACCTCATCCCCTCCTCAGATATAATGTTGCATGATGAGGGACAAGATTGCATATTTCGTTGATAATAGAAGACATTTCTTCACTAGAACATTTAGAACTAAAGCGACTACTGACGTTGATAATTCATGGACATACTTACATTTTTATGATTCACTAATTACTGACCACTGGTTTTTGCATGCAGACTGCTCAAGCTGCATGGGACAAAGCTGCTGTGGCCTACGACGCAACCGCTGATAAGCTTGGGGAAACTTCCAACAAAGATTCAGACACTCCTCGAAACATCAGAGACAAAGTGTGGGGGCAACCAGATTCGGAAAAAACCTACACGCAGCGTGCTTCCGAGACTGCTGAAGCCGCGGGTGATGCTGCACGAAGGGTGAGTTGATTGAGGACACGACATTGATTTGTTCCAAGAATCAAATTATTAGCTTTGTGCTTAAATATTCCAATTTCAAGCAAGGTTCGGCGATGGAGGAAAAAAAAAAAAAAAAAAAAAAAAAAATCTCAAACTGATGATGATGCAGGCTGGTCAGAATGTGAGGGACTCGACATCAAGAGCATTTGACTCGACCACAAATACTCTTGGAACTCCTGTGAGGGATCAGGGTCGGGACCAAGGGGTTCTGGATAAAGCTGGAGAATACTTCCAAGATGCCAAACACAACGTCAACAATGGGGCTGAGGCAACCAAGGACGCTGCAATGAGGGTAACAATTTTCATTGACTTAATACTTCTAGCAAGCACCTATGTAGGAGCAACTAGTACCGTGATATGTGTCTGTAAGCGCTTCGGTGTTTCGTATCCGTATTGAGAAAACGTTTTGTTGTTTGCAGGCTGGCCAGGCAACTAGAGACACCACTTACAGAACCATGGGATATGAAGCCCCCTCTGATCAGGGATACGGGTCTCGAGCATATGAATCTGCTCGCGATGCTTCAGCAAGTGCATATGAGACCGGAAAGGAGAAATTGGGAAACATCATCGAGATCCTTGGCTGGCGTAAAGCGGCTGAACACGAACACAACTCACGGTCGCCTTACGACGTCTTGGTTGGAAACACCAGATACGTGTGGCATCAAACCCCTAGTTCAGAGGATTCTTATTACCAGAAAGTAAAGGACACGCTAAGCGGAGCAACAGATACAACGTCAAGCAAGGCTGGCCAAGCTGCGAACACAGCATCTGATATGGCTGCTCGAGCCAAAGACACGACAATGGATGCGGCGAACCAGGCTGCAGAGAGCATAGGGGATGTGACGGGACGTGCAAATGACGCTTTGAAAGACACAGCACAACGGGCCAAGGGAGCTGTGACGGACATGACTGGAGAAACTGGAGAGACCACATCCGATTACCAACGGAGAGCCAAGCAAGTGTTCGGTGCAGGAGCTGCAGCTGTTGGTGCGCACAAACTAAGTGGTCAGTGGCCTTCCTTCATGTTGTCAGTTGTAATATTTTTGGTGTTTCGTTAAAAGCAAATTGTTGCATTAACAATATGTAAACTCATATATCTTATGTTTGTAACTGTTGCTGAACTGGTTGATTACTTTTACAGCTAGGAGTGGAAGATTCCGCAAGGCATTGCGATTCTTGCAACTGCTCACCTACGCCGTCACCTTCGGATCAGCTATCTGGATGACCTTCATTTCAGGCCGCATCCTTTCTCGAACTATTCCCCGGGAGCAATTCCGCAATGTGCAGACGAAGATGTTTCCTTACTATTTGAAATCACTTGTTGCTGGACAATCGGCTCTCGCACTTTTCTCCGTTCTTACCCGCGGCTCCTCAAAATGGTCACTTCTGGGTTTTGTCCTTTTGATTGGCTCGGCTGCTTACAATGCTTTCGTCCTTGAACCAAAAACAACCAAGGTATATATTCTTCGTCTAGTTTCAACTTCTTGCTTAGTGCAAACGATCTTCAGACACGCTCTTCATATCCACGTCCTGAATCAAAACTATTGTCATTAACTGCTGTGCTTCGGTCTGCCTGACAGGTTTATCATGAAAGGCTGCGGGTAGAGAAGGAAGAAGGCAGAGGATTGCACACAAGCTCAGACCTTCCCGAGAAGCAGAAGAAGTTTAACGAAGTCCACGGCTTCTCTGCTATTTTGAATTTGTTGAGTGTGGCAGGGTTGACATACCACGGCTGGAACATTGTTTCCGAGCTTGTTGCTCACTAGATATCGTTGTCCAAATCCAAGAATCAAAAGTATGTATTGTTATTGTAAAAATGTCCAGCGTAAAGGGGGTAAGATGTGCAGGTACTAAGCTAGATCAGCCAACATGTATTCCGGAGACTCGTAAGTTTGAGTGACTAGGTAACCTTGAGAGTATAAAATTCTGTGACATTTTTGAAATATCAGTGGCAAATACAAAAAAATAAAACAAAGTTTTTGAACTGTGTATCATGCAATTGCGTAATGCTGGCATCTTTAGGGAAAAAATCGTTTGGCACCTTGTCCGAATATTGACTTGATTTGACTTCTAGCATGGTTGTAAATACCACTGGAGTCTGACTTGCTCGGTTCTTCCTTTTTCCAATGCACACCCAGCTGCATGCTTGTGTTTTTATATTAAACTATGTTATAAAACCCATCTGGTTCGACAATTGAAGCGCAAGCCAGGCTAGTGTACTTCCAAATCACAACATGCGTAGCAAATTACGACTCATTGCAGAGCATAAAAAGTGCAGTTGGAAATCGAGCTTTTGGTTACGCTTACAATATTGCAGCACTTCTTGATGCTGCTGCAATGGAACGCGCCTTCACCTGTTTCTGTATCACAGTGGGACTTTTCATTTGAAATGTTAGAATCATATCCATGTAGTTTAGAGATTTCTGTCTCTAGCCTGGCCAAACCGAACGAGTTGCAAACAATGCTTGATCCTGCTCTCTTGTTTAGTCGTGATCGGGGCGTGCGAACTATACCAATGACCAGCATTGTTCATTTGTCTAAACGATTAGGTGCGATAATCATGCGACTCTAAATATGGCATCATGGGATACTGTAGTGAAGCAATGTCTGCAAATGAGATTATTGATAGGAAGTCAACTTTCAGTTGCTGTAGGTGATATCAGCCAGTATGTTTATTATACTCCAATGAAACAATATACGATGTGCCGGCAATTGTTGCACCGACCAAGCCCTCTCAACATTAAAAATTCTAGCATCTTTGTCACTACACACAACGTGCAAGTTTCGCTGTGTGCAGAACAAAATTCACTATTTGACAGGCGCAATAATTGTCCCTGATGCGCAACCTTAAAAGAAGATTTCCAGGCGGTTCCCAATCAGTAAAACGATGCTGACAACAAATGTTTGCCATAATTTTGTAACATAGTTCCATCGCAATGAAGAAATGAAGTGTCAAAACGCTTTCTGGGGAGTATTTCTACAGTTCTTCAGCTTACTCAGTGGAAAACTACTGAGGTTTCCTCCATATTGTCAGAATCAGGTGTAGGCTCCACGACGATGAAGTAAACCTCGTTTGTAGACGGATTCATCATTGTTTAACAATAACGTCGTCATTAATTTCAGAGTCCGGCAAGGAGTGTAACACGATATCGCATAATAAAAAATAAAAATAAAAATAACCCAATCAAAGGATTTCAAGAGATGAGTGAGCTATTTCAAAACAATGGGGATCGGTTACATCCTTTACAACCTGAGAATTGCCTGTACAAAACCTTAAACTGCGTGCTTTCTATTATAATGTTACCAGCGACATGACGATGGTCGCAAAAACTCTAGACTGACAATTACTACAGAGGAAATCATAGGACTGTCGTAACCTGGAAATTTTCGTCCTATTATGATGAACAAAAATCAAGTGGTTGACTCAAAACCTCAGCAAGATTCTACCATTGAAATAAATCCTCCTAGCGTCCTGCGGCATTAAGGAAAAGACTCGTCAACAAAGCTGAACTCTTTCACCTGACATACTCCCAGGGATATTTAAACTTAGAGACTTGTTACACACATACACATACGAGCATTGCAGCAACAAAACGATACTTAGACAGCAGATAATTAAATGCAACATTAATCAAAGAACGACGAACCACCATAAACAAAGCCATAAATACGTCAAAGTATGAATGAGTATATCTTACACGAATATCATACACCTTCACCCTATTTGGATGCATAAATCGAAGTTTCTTAGCCTCCTTGCTCTTTGTAAGGGGTCCAGATTAATTTGGAGGCATCCACGTCCAGACCGCCTCTTCCTGCAGCTTTCAAATGTCGCTCCAATAACTTGGGGTCGGCACAGATAACATGCTGGCCCTTCCGATACTGGATAAGCTCAAGGGTCTGGAGAGTGGTAATGACGTCCTCGGTTTTGATCGCCGTCATATCACTAAGCTCCTGATTTCACACCCAAGAATTTGTGAATCTTTCCACAAACCCAGCCCAAAAATAAATAATAAATAAAAAGAAAAGAAAAGACAGCCATAAACCTACTCAATTAACTTCATAACATCACAGGCAGGTGCCGCGCTGCGTGTACACACAATGAGTGCTGGATCAACTGAGGATATATCCTAACATGTGTAAGTTGAAGACGTGTGAAAGGTTAATCTAAGGATGAACATTCAAGGGTTGAGTCCAGGGAATGTACATGCAGTCTCACGTATAAAGGATGCGCCAAGTTTGGTTGCAGCCATGCAGCGTTTAGAATTTTACCTTAATGGACACATTGCCTCGATGTTTCTTTAGAATATCCAGAAGAATCCGTGTCCAATATCCCCGATAGCTGAGCAATCCAAGATCTGAAAGAGGCCGTTCGGGAGTTCCCACTTTGCCTTCTTTCTTCGACAATTCGTACGAGAAGGCAATCAGAAACTTACCATAGCCCTTCCGCTGATAGGGAGGCAGAGTTAGAATACATGCCAGATTATAGCCTTCTTCGGAATGCTTCTCTTTAGAAAAGTATCCCACCATGTGGCAGCCCCGGTCATCGCACTCGCATAGAATGTAAAACAGAAACAAATCGACATCATAATACAAAGTCTTATGATCGAGGAATAACTTTGCCAAATAACATAGGTTCTGTCCGTAAATCTTGTTTTTTTTCCCATCAACTTCAAACATGGATAGAGAACCCTGTCGATAAATTTCATCTCCGGGGGGGTGCTTTAAGTCGCATTTCCTCATGTGCCTAGCCAGCTGCTCCTTTCGCTTCACGAATGAAAGGCAAAACTCGCAGAAAAAGAGTTTACTGCAATCACTGTATTCGGGAGGAAAGGGGGAAAAATACCACGTATCAATCTCATATCTCCCAAGCTCAATCTTACTAATATTCTTGACCTTTGTAAACTCTTCGTGCTCTCTCAGACTCGCGGCGTCAAAATCTTCATGCCCCTCCTCAGCATGCGTCTCCTCGATTTTACGCTTCTGATGGCGGGTCATCTTAAGCCCCCCAGCCTTATCCTCAACTTTTTCATCTGCGTCCGCTTCCACAGACTCGAGCTCAAGCTGATCTAATTTCACCCACTCGTCCAGACGCCTATTGAACTCGTTATAGTGCACATAATACTGATAATCATCAGGCCCCGAGTTGAGCTTGCGACGTTCGATAACCTTAACAGGATGCAATTTCCCATCCCGCCATCTACACAGAACCCTCGTGCCAACTTCCAGTGGCAGCGGTATCGTCACACGCTTCTTCAACCCGTTCCCGGCTGCCGCCATCACCGAAACCTCGTGATGATGATTCACTCCACTATTTTGCTGCTGCGAACCGTCCATGACCGCCGCACCTGGGGTCAAATTGTTTGCAATTGGAATCTCCTCACGCAAAATCCCCGCCACCGTCTCAACTCCCATGCCCCGCCCAGCGGGCGCGTTTTGCTCCAAAGAACCCATCGCTCCTCTAGAAAAAAATTCACGCAACCCGCCACCTTGACTCACCTCCTCTTAATATCCATTCTCTCACGTCAACCGCTCCTTCTTCCTTCTTCCTCTTCCTCCTCCTCGCGCTACTTGAAACCCTAAGGCGCCATAGCCATAGCCAGATGATCCATGGCCTGGGCAGTTCGTTCGTTGCTGGTTCCTCAAACCCTAGACGACCTTTCTGGAAATGTCCGCACACTGTGACTCGTCAACTCGTCACCACAGTGCTACTACTTGTAGTACATCTCCCCATTCCTTCTCAACGACTCCGTTGAGCTTTTATTTTCCCCCCACCCCCTTTTAAGTCCAAACCATGTTTTACAGTCACTTTTGCAGATCTCCCTCTCAAAAAGATGTTTTGTAGGAATAATAATCATGTGGTCTTAATGCTTAACATGGAATTACTGACATTTACGCAGGGGATCATGTTCTCATCCTAATATACGCCTCGTGTAAATTTAGTATTTTAATAAAAAGTTTGTAATTTGACAATTTTCATTTATGTTGTTGTCGTTGTAATTGTGTGCTGTTTTCTTTTCCTTTTCTTTTCCTTTTCTTCTCCTTTTCTTGTGATTTTTTAAGCATGTGAGGTTTCGTATTTGGTTTTATTTTATTTTATTTTGGTTTATTTATTTATTTTCTGGAGTGTATGTATGGATGTGTAGGCTGGTGATTAGCTTTTATGAAGTCATTCTCCATGATGTTCAGGAAAATACCCGTGTCTTTAAATAACCTTGCAGTAATAAGTTAATCCAACAGATGTGATTAATAATCGTTTTGAGATAAGTTTGTTCAACTTAACTTGTAGAAATAGTGGATGTTTTTATCAAATTATTTTGTATACAATCCAAGTTATATATGAAAACGTTCGAAATCTGTCTTTCAAACACTTCTTGCAAAAACAAAATATATAGTATCTAAATGCACAAAAATGTCTCAAATATAAAATTACTGTCTTTGAATGTGTGTATATACTTATCACATACAAACCTCATCTTTTCTTTAAATCTTGACAATCATTCATTTATTCATTTTCGAAAAATAAAATAATCAAAAAAATAAACATAATCCTGCTATGTAAATTATTTTTACAAAGAAAAAGTTATGATAAATTTGCACATATTTATAAAGCTATTGTATGTGTACATGTTGAATTTAAATGTGGCAAAGGGTTATTTAATTATAAAGAATTATTATGTGGGAATGTATTTTAAATATATATATATATATATATATATATATATATTTGTGTGTGTATTTGATGTACAAAAATCGAGATGTTTGCTTAGGATCGTTTGGACAGTATAAATAAACTTGACAATCATTTGCAAGATTTATTGAGTTTACAATTGAATTTTATAGTAATAATCGTGGTATATTGAATTTGTACATAAAAATAATGAAATTGTAAAAAAAAAAAAAAAAAAAAAAAAAAAAAACACTATACTTTACACATTGTTCAAAAGCGTCCTTTTTGGTTTTTTTCCTGTAAACTACCATAGAATTTATAAATGAAAGCTACACGTGATGGTTAAAAATATTCTTCAAAGTGTAGTAATTACAATCATGCACAATTTTTATACTCATTCTGCAATTATCAGCAAGTAAAGATTCTTCAGTTGTACACAAAAATGTGTATAATTCACAACATACATGATGCTCTGTTATTACATTTATGCATTGTGAAAAAATAATAATGTTGATATTAAAAATAAGAATACAATACAAATTAAATTTCAACTCATATTTAATGTGCTACAGGTTAAATTTTAATTTTAATTTTATAAATCCCTCACATAGTTCCAAATCCTTAAGAAACACATCACATTCATTATCTTCCTGCTTGCGAAATCACAGTTAAATTTTATTTTCAATGCCAAGTTTTTGAACCTTTCACCTGGTCAAATACATTGCAGTAACATAATCTCTATCAGTAACAACACAATATATCTGACTCATATAATAGAGGATTTAGGAAACATGTTCCATCACCACTCCGCACTCCTCCATGTAGTTATGTATATTGCTATTGTCCCAAACTCCTGTAACAACAAACATTATGTTTAGTCAAGAGGGATAAGACAGATTTAATTGAAGCACGCATATTTAGGGGGGGGGAGGGGGGAATGATTCCTCTGGCCATCCATCGCTTTATTATTAGGTGCCCACCCAGTTCATGAGTTTCTTCCATCGAGGAGGAAGAGGAGGGAGAGGAAGAGGACGAAGGGGAGAGAGAGTGCGAGAGAGGGCCCCCGCCAGCAGCAGCAGCACCACCGGCACGAGCTGCGTAGAAGGAGGAGTCGACGAGTAAGCAGCAACAGCAGCAGCTCTGTCATGACGGAAAAGGCCACCAGTGGTGGTGAGGCCATAGCAGCAGCAGCAGCCAGCACCCACGTCGGTGGGGGGGACGAGAAGGAGGGTATCCATCGGGGTATCAATAGAGGGGAGGGGATGTATAAGTTGCGGAGGGCTCGGTGGAGGTTGGGCCGGGGCTGCACAACGACCAAGCCAAAGCACAGCACAGCGTTGCACAGACAGTCAGACACACAGAGAGAGAGAGAGAGTCGTATCGAATCAGAGAGGGGAGGGGAAGGGAAGGAAGAAAGAAAGGGCGAGCGAGCAGGCGAGAGAGAGAGAGAGCCAGGCACTGAGAGTCAGACGCTCATCTCCAAGTATCACAATCGGAACGTTAGCATTTGTAATCCTCTCGCATTAGTGGGAAACCACTAGAGCAAGCTGCAGACAGTGTCGGCGTTAAAATCCGTAGAATACTGCGCTTGAACTTGTGCTTTTGCACTTGAGAGTGTGGTCTGTGTGAGTTGTATCAGAAGTTTCGTTGCGGAATTGAGAGGTTTGGCAGGCGAGGACTGACGAAAGGGCGTTCAAATAGTGAGAGAAAGAGACGAGAGAAAGGTTGGTGGTTGAGGTGCTGGAGGAGGAGAGGGGAGGAGGGGGCGTGCGGGTCTTCAGAGGGCGTCGAGGTATGGTGTTTTTGAGTAGTTGTCAAACTCCTAGCTCGTGTAGGTGTGTGCTGTTTGGTTTTGGGATCAGGTAGTTAGAAATCACGGCATTTGTTGTCGGGCTTTGGACTTTTTTTTTTTTTTTTTTTTTTTTTTTTTTCTTCTGTCTGCGGCAAGTTATTGCGAGGTTGAATGATTGATGGCAAAGGCTCTTTAGGGTCTTGTACCTTGTGAAGACGGGATTTCTTTCATTGATTGTCTATATTTTTCTTTTGTTTTGTTGCCGAGTGCGCTTCATTGACTCCTTGTATATTTGTTTTTCTGTTTTTGTTTTTGTTTTATTTTGTTTGAGATGTGTGTGTGCGTGTGTATGTGTGTGTGTGTATAGAGTGTGTAGAGTGTTTTTAAAACGTATGTTACTATTATGAAGCTTTCTAAGATGTTGCTGTTGGAGTCGGTGTGTGTTTTATTTCCGCTGGTCGCTTCTGTGTGCATTTTTTCCCCGTCTCTTGTGATGATTTTGGTCTGAGTATATGATGCCTGTGGATTGGTATTCTCTGACTAGCATACCTGCATGGAGGTTTTCGTTCAAGGGTAGCCCGAGTTTATTGATCAAGATTTCTTAATTTTTTTCCCACGTCTCGTGCTTTCTCAAGTTCTTTTCAGTCTCGTGCCTTAAGTTGCGTCGGTTATTTGGGTTATTTGTTTTTACAGTTCGAACCAAGCAGGCTATCGTAGTCGTTTTCTCATAGTTTCTTCGCTTCGAATGCCATACTAGCTCTTGCCATTTTAGGACAGGGTGCTACCTACTGTCCTGTTTTTCGTTTTCATGATTATGCACGGGTACACTACTAACTACGAATGGTCAATGCAGCGTAGATACCGTATAGTGATAGATGTTGAGGGTCCTCTTTCGGGGAAATAGGTACTGTAGCTGTACCGTGAAGTCTGAAGTTGGGAAAACAAACCGTCCTCGGTGATTGAACGTTGCTTTGTTGAGTACATTTATAATCTCTCTACGCAGTACGAAAAATTTGTTTGCATGGTTATTGGTGACTGAGCTTATCATCGTTAGATGCTACATCGTTTCACACTGATTTGTCTGGAACCTGTTTATTCTTAGAATGCCTTCACAGCTATTAGAGTAAATTTAGATCATCTTTGTCTAGCGTCCAATGAAACTTTCGTCTCCGTGTTTAAGAGTAGGTGTAGTTGTTTCTGGAGTACTGGGTATGCTTCGCACAATGTTGAGAGGATGATAATATGATTTAGAAGATGTCAAGAAGAGACGGGGATATAAGTATGTTCGCGAATCTTATTTGTTCCAGATTGCAGACGATATGAGCTTCATGAGGAGCTTTGTACGTTTAACTGCAATAGAACGCCTAATACTAACATTTTTATTTTTTTACTTTTTACGGAGTAATATGTGTGGAAGCCGCTGACGTGATGCTGTTAATGTTATTGGATCCGGATGTAGCATTTAAAAATCACTGATATGCTATTCTGGTTGGTTTACAGATGCATCAGTTGGGCGCATGTTAGCAGCCCTTCATTCTGGGTGCCTAGTTCTATCTTCAGTTTTCCACGCTGGGAACATTCTCAGGGTTCTAGCTTGTATTTTGGGGAAGTAGCTTTGGGGTTATTATCTCGTGCGACGGGAAAGTGAGGAAGCATTTGGAAAATCTAACGAGATTTAAATATTAGCGAGATGGCAAATTCCAAGCAGCAGGGAAAAGAGAAAGAGATGACTGCAAGTGTAACAAATGTATATTTGCAAGTGGTGGAGGACGTAATCAACAATGTGCGTGCCGATTTTCAGAGTGAGGGAGTAGATGACAACGTCCTGAATGAGCTACAGGCGGTATGTTCGCTCTTTTTCTGCATTTTTCTCAGTGTGATGTATATGTCATGCAAACAGGAGCAAGTTACCCTGTTTAGGTGATTCTCGTTTGGGATATGATGGATGATTTTCCTTCCTGATCTCACTTGTGGAAGTAGCTTTCTGAACAATGGATTCTGTATATTTTTAAATTTGTGATGATCCTCTTTCCTTTTTGTCGCATGGTTTACTAATAATTTATTCTATATGTAGTTTATGTTCTAGAATGCGGCTTTTGTACAAATCCTGATACATCAGGTTGTAATTTGATGACTGAAGCTCAGACTTGCTTGCACTTGAGTGATCTTTGAATCCTTTAGTTTCACGAGAATAAGTGGTGAAAGCTCCATTGCGGATTTTAGTAGTAGAAAGTGAGATTTGCGGTAGTTTGGAGCAGGGTTTTCTTTTGCAAACATCTAAGTTACTGGGGGTGATAGTCTGTTCACTTTGGGATTTCAGAATCACTAATTCAACTCAATCAAATTTAACGTACTTTTCCTTGTAAATGAATCAGCTTTGGGAACTGAAGATGTTGCAGTCAGGGGCGATTCAGCAGGCCTCAGTGCCTGAAGCGCCTGCAAGCATACCTCCGAAGCAAGTTTCCCAAACACCGCCCACACCTATACACGATTTGAATGTAGCACCGCTTGAGGGTGGCGATGAATATGAGAATTCGTCCACCGCCTTCAATTTTCCTCTGGTACTACCTTGCAGTTGACTCATTTCAACAGCCTAGATGTTAGTAAAATCTCTTTGTTCAATGTGACGTGTAGAAATATGCACCAAGCTATGGTGCTGACCTGCAGTATGAGTTAGTTATTTTCCTTGATCTTCTTCACTTCTTGTTGTGGTTTAGAAAGTGGATAATGAATAACTTGCTGGGTTTGTCCCTTGTACAGACGCCAGCAGTGACCAGCACTGGCGAGCCAGTTATGTACCAGTATATGCCTCCAGGTCCTAGTGAACCTGTAAATCCCGTGCGAGACACTGGGTTTCAACTTGACGCTACCTTGGGGAGTGGAAAACCAAGCCCCTTCATGGTACTGTTATCAGTTTGTGTATTTGCAACGATGAATGTGTCTGTTCTGTTACCTGACCTCAATGGAAGTGCACTAGGGATGTAAGTCTACTTTTAGCTGATTTGATATTTTGAAGTGACTGATTAAGCAAGTGGAACAACCAGGATTCGATGGAACTGGCTGTTAAGATTGGAATTTTCAGTTCCTTGATTGTCTTCTATTGGTGGTAAACTTTTGCTTCTGTTTCTGTTCAGCAACCTCCAGCCCCCTGGATGAATCAAAAGCACCGTGGAGTTGAACTGAATATGAATGAAAGTAAGTTGTGCTGTTAGTTATGGATCCTGTTTCTATCCTACATAGTAGTGTCAACTTTCACAACTTCTGCTGATTGATGATGTTTGCATTCGCTTTGAGCATGTATAGAACAAGCTTCTTGAGGTGATTTTGTGTACGGGATTTTATTTTAGCTCGGAGTCGGCCAATAATTATGTAGTACATATTGTTTGAAGTGTGGCTTCGGGTGAAGTCTGCTGTTTTTTTATTTTTTAAGATGATCTCTAAGTGACTCATCAGACTCTTGTGCAAGGTGAACTTCGGTATTCTCAGCTTACTGTTGATTCCCTGGTCGTTTCTAGGGTAGTACTAATCAAGTGCGCCAATTAGTCCTGATTATTCTTGGAATTGGCTGTTGTAGCTTACGATGTAAGGGAGGACGACGGCAATGTCTTCACTCATCTTTCTAACACAACGCAGAATCCATCTCCTGTGACAAAGGTAAGGTCTCCAGGTCCTTCGTGTATGCTTTACAAGTGATTTATGTGCTTTATTATGATAATGTAACGTCCACATTTCAGTTATGTTGAAGTCGTTAAGTTCGTGGTGAGATTCTATTCCCACGTGATACAAAATATTTGGTAGTTATGAGACGCATGTCGAAGTTCATATTCGCAATTTATAGCCAGAGGCTCATTCATTTTATTCTTGGCTCCAGGATTTCCTTACGATGTCCACAGGTAAGAGAAAATACGACGAGATACAATCTTCTGGGTTGTATTTGCCTCAACGTGATGGGGCTGGAGATGTTGAATTGTCTACTTCAGCAGATGAGGTTAATGATAATCAGGTGAGTGATTCTTTGTAGTGGACCACATTTTAACCAGAACTTTTGGAGTTGTTTTGGGTATACACCAAGAGGGAGGTTCGATTTTAACCTTTTAGCTTTTATTTAGGCAAACAGGTTAAGTCACTTGGAAAGAACTATTCTTTCGACTGGCGTGAAGAAATCAAGAAGTAACTAACAATTGCTTCTGCACGTGAAATTCTGCAGCATTACTAAAATCATGAGCGGTTGTGGTGCATTGCCAGGTTAAAAAGAAAAGTTGGTTAGACTCTTGTCTAATTTCGTATCTTATCCTTTGAGCTGTCACAAATTTAATATTTACTGTGTTGTATCGCCGAACAGGGTGTTGAAGCATTCGGAGACAGGACCGCAAGCAGTGTTAGTTTTGGGAGTAATAACCCACAGCTGCAGCGAAGACTAATTGCTATTCATGCAGATTCTGTGTTGGAGCGCCTTGTCAATGCTAGAACTTCTAGTGAGTTGTTGGACATTGCACAAATGGATGGTATCGATGATAACTATGATGATGTGAGTGTGACTTCCTTTGATTTTCATTTCACGAACTTGTGTGAGTATGTGAATGACTCGAGAAACTGCATTCATAGATCTTTTTGCTTTTTAGGACAACTACTTAACTTTTATGACCTTGCTTCTAAACTATAATATCTTGTTAATTTGCTACGTTTTTTTTTTTCGGTTTGCTCAACTGATTGGATTTTTCCCGCTTTTCTTTATTGAAGATGCTTTATAAATGATCAGCTTCTCCTTTGTGACGCAGGATGTTGCGGAGGAAGACTATAATGAGCCTGGAGAGGACGGTAAGAACTGGTTTCTTTCTACATGGGCACTTTATGTAGCGTGAAGAAGATTCCAGGGATTATCGTTTTAAACCAAAATTCTGGCTATGCATGAAGGGTACAGCATCTAAGTGCTGTATTCATGTACAGCTATGATGCTCGTCTTGACATATTGACACGCAAATCGTGGCATTATATCCTCTTGATACTTCATTTGGAAATGTGGTCAACAGACCCTCAAACAGCAAATGACGCGGCTGCTAAGTCTGCCACAAAAGCAGATAATTCAGATTCAGTAGGTTCCGAGCCTCCATTGAATGAAGATGACGATGACGAAGATGACGACGATGAAGACAATTCTCAGGGTGATGAGGAGCCAAAAACGAACAATTTGGTCCTTGCTCAATTTGATAAGGTATGTGACTAACTCTACTGACTTGTCTCTACAGTATCACTAAACAAAGCAATGTGTTGTGTTTCAGACTTTCTTCTGATACGTGTTAGAGATTCTTCTCTTCAAATGCTTTGTTCAAACATTCTGTATTTGAAGCTTTTTGCGGATCCTTGATTGCAGTGGAAGTTTTTCAGCTGTAGACGGTAGTGAACGATTTTCTGAGATGGTTCTGTGTGTAGCTTGAAGATTTTGGTTGTTTATGTTTGAGCAGGTTACAAGGTCCAAAAACAAGTGGAAGTGCACACTTAAAGATGGCATCATGCACTTGAATAACCGTGACATTCTTTTTGTGAAGGTAAGGGTATGCTTTAAGATAATCTGTGAGCTCCTAAATTATTTAGTTCCGAGTCAAATAACATTTTAGTGGCACACTTTAGTTCAAGGAATCTATTTCCTCACCCATGTTCTTTATCTACTATTTTTCTGAGGTGGGCAATGTGGATTGATCGGAAGCATGACTGGCCCAAATAAGAAAACTGTGAAAGTTGCTAAATTTATAGCATGCAACGTCTATTTTGATGGCCATTTGAAAAGGGCTTTAATCATTCGTCACCGTAATAACGGATTGAGCTGAAAATTTGATGAACTTTCAAATCTGACTCTTGCAACTTATGTTCTTGTTTGGGTAATGGTATGTTGCTGAAAACATCGTGCAGTTCTTGTCAAGTCACAGTTAAATTTCAATCAACAACTAATCTGGATTCTTGGAGTGATATACTAATCAGTCTGATTCTAACCGTGGCTTGGTGTTGGTGGCAGGCAACGGGAGAATTTGAATTCTAAGAAATGTAATTGTTAGTGGTTCCCTTCTTGGTCACATGATGTCCATGGCTAGCCGGTGCTACTATTGGTGGAAATTTCCTTATTGCAGCATCTCATCTCACTGAGACACCAGCATGGACACCTGCTTCTACGGCTGCTTTCCAACGATTGAAGGCAGTGCAGAGCAGGTAACTTCACTTTCACTGCATAGGTACTCTAGGCATTAGGTTCTTGGGATCCTTAACTGTATAAGCTGGAGACCAATTCCTCACTGCATAAGCTATCTCTTCAGGTTGAAACTTCAATCATCACTTTACAATGTGGTGTGTTCTTTACCCTTCGAAGTGACAACGTTAACGACAATCTCATTGGGTACATAATAGTAGAGGTGCTGGGAGCATGCATACATCTTTTCAACTTGCAAGAGCTCACCGGTTAGACTAGCGCACAATTCTACGAACATGGAAGTGTTGGAGACAAAATTTTGATATGATGTTCTAGTTTGATTGATTCTGAAAATCCTACTGAATCTTCGTGCCTTCTCCTCTTCCGTCCATGACATCCCTGGATGCAACCAGGCCGATTCAGATTGAGATCAAATCGAAGCCACCTGCGTATGGCCCTAAATGGCTTCTAATTGGTTACTGGCCCAGATGAATCAATCAGTTCTTACAAATTCTCCATGGACTCAGCGATGAATGTATTACTAATCAAAACGCAAGCCTCACAACGAATAAATACTTAAAATGTGGTTTGTTTTTTTTTTAATGTTATTACCAAGTTCTCTCCTCATATCGTTTTTTATTTTGTATTATAATCAAGTTTTAAATGATGTGATGGCTCAGGCCAATGTATGAGAATTTATTTCCCGTAACCAGAAACATCACATTGAGAACCAACATATCCCTCAACATGAGTTCAATAGATACAAATACAAACACTAACATGCGAGAAATAAAATAAAAATAGAAACGAAAACACAACTCTTAGAACCTCACAACACAATCCAGCAAGCCAATTAGCCAATGCGAGAAGTTTATATTTATCTGATATGCAATAAGTACCAAATCCAAGAAGATGCTAAAGAAGAACATCCAAACAGTATAACTTATCAAAAATAAACTGATTAAAGTCCACATTTAACGAAAATCATAATCTTACAAGTCAGTCAACTTTTATTATGCTGAACTGTGTGCCTATTTTTAATCTCATAAATAAGGTAACTGTCATATTTATCCTTATTATTAATTAACCCACCACCCATTTATACACAGTTTCCCCTCTTTCCGAAGTACAGTGATGCCCCCTAAAGGAGGGGTTTAACACGAAACTAGGAACGTGGGAGAGCAAGGGCGCGGTGTGAAAGGGATTCCTGGAAACTCTGGCTCCGATCCCGTGGTGCGGCGACGACGGCCTTGAGCTGCGATGGCAATGTCGCCGTTTCCTGAGCTCCGATCCTCTCTCTCTCGTCGCACGCTTGTAGGCTATCTGTTGGGCTGCCTAGTTGGCTATTGCGCGGCGTGACAGAGAGCGAGAGCGAGGTGATCGGGGAGGGCTCATTGTCTCGCCAATTGAAGTTGTGAAGGATATTGGAGCTTTTGTGGGTGCAGTTTGGTTGAGAGACGGGGCGTTTGGAGAACTTTCGTTTGTAATCTGCAGTATGGCGATGGCGATGGCGATTCGGAGGGCGGGGCGAGCGAGGGCTGTGCTGCGTGGGACAGAATGGGGTGTTAGCGGAGGTGCGAGATGCCTGGCTAGTGCTGCGACAGCTGCGCGCGTCGAAGACGATAGGAGGGAGTCTTCCACCTCGGGTCGTGCATTGGCAGCGTTTGGTGCGTTTCTAGGAGCTGGCGCGTTTTACTCTTGCCAGAAAATGGTACAATTTCCTTTGGCGCAGTTATCTTTGATTGGTGTATGCTCTTTTGCTTCCACGAAGGGTTTGTATATTTGTCTGTTTCTGATTTGGGAGCGATTTGACGGAAACTTATGGGTTTTTCGAATGAGGGTACTGTCTTGTGCTGCTATTCTGCAGCTTATCTTTTATGTTGGTTCCTCTTGTTCGCGAATTTCGAAATGGGTCTCAAAAAGTTCGATTATTTGGGAGCTACGGAAATGACAAAAGTTTAATAGTTGTATTTCAAGAGGAACAAGCTATACGTTGATTACCCGACTACGTTTACTGCCACTTTGCTTCTTTGCTTCTTTGCTGTTCAAACCATTGAACCTTGGCCAAACCACCCCACGTTTGATAAAAATTAGTCATCAGATTGATATGCTGATTCTAGGTGAAAGTTGACGTTTCGAACGCGGAATCTGACGTTTCTTGATACACAGATCAATTCTGAACCAGCTTTAGCAGAAGCATCTGAACCGAAGACAGGTGAAACCTTCTTCCTGAAAATCCCCTCGTCTTTGAGTTGGTACTATTCAGCGCGTCATGAACGTGAATATCTCCTTAACTAGACGACTTGAATGCAGTATTATTCGGTAGAACACGTTTGTAAACAAGTCCATGCACTCTTGAAATACAAAATCTGTTCTAGAATTTTGCTGAGTGCAATCATTTAGTGCCAGTGATCAGGGATGTGCATGATATGGAGAACTTGACAAATAGTTAGAAGCACGACTATTTTGATTTTGATGGACATCTGCTTCATACATGCGTTCGTGGAGTCATCTGATCTTATGTTGAATTAATGTTGTTCTTTGTTACAGCATTGAACCCAAAGGAGTTCGTGAAGTTTAAGGTGTCTGAAGTCCGCGATGTTAATCACAACACCAAACTCTATAGGTGAGCATCCCATAGTACTCTTATGGATGGAGTGGTGGATGATTGATGCTGCGTGTTTGAGCTAGAACTAAGTTGTTAGTGGCTCGAACATGTGGCCTTATTTTAGTCAAGCTTGGTTCTTTCGTTGGAGTTCTTGTTGACATCTTCCTTAAAATCCACTTCTCTAGGTAGGCATAATATTATAGTGTTTTAGAGATGTCTATTTGAATGTCTTGGTTTGTAGATCATCCCTTAAAATCTCATCTCCTTTTTCTATTGGTGCAACAGATTTACGTTCGATTCTCAAGAAGCACTTGGTCTCCACGTTGCGTCCTGTTTAATCACGAAGTAAGGCTTCCATTCTCCTGCGTAACTGAAGTTGTGAATTTAAGGAGATGGATATCTCAAGTTGTATTAATATTGCGGAGCCTGGCTTCTTTATGCTCTTTAAATAGAGTTTAAGGTTTATTACACTTGAGATACATACTGAAGGATCTCTCAATTGATGTGCTGCTCTTGTTAGGGCTGAAATCGGCAAGAAGAAAGATGGAAGTCCAAATTATGTCATCCGTCCGTAAGTTCTCATTCTTCTCTATCCTTTGCGGACATCGTCACTGGTGACATTGTGATGTTATGACTCCTAAAGGTTGAAGTTAATTGGTGTCGCATAGTTTTGGTGTAGTGATCTCATGCTTGTTAAATCTCTTCAGATGTCATCTTTTTAATGAATGCTACATGGTTACAAGTAGAGAATTAGTAAATCTCACTTGAGTGCAATTTTGGGCTGCATTGCATTTAAATTGTAGTAGCATGACCTCTTATTTCTTTCTTCATCTTACACTGATAATCACGCTTACATTCTTATGATATATTTGCGCAGGTACACGCCTATATCGCCTCCGGATTCGAAGGGTTACTTCGATTTGTTGGTTAAGGTAAGAAGTGACAGACGTATGTAGAATTGGCATCTGTTTAGCCTCATGATATTTCTTTATTCTCCTTTTCTTATTGATTTCTGTGTATATTTATGCAGATTTACCCAAACGGTAAAATGACGCAGCATTTGGCACAGCTTAAGCCAGGAGATACTTTGGACGTTAAGGGGTAAATATCTAGATCCATGTTTGAATTTTTTCTGGAAGAGTTGTTGATACGTAGTTAACCGATATGGGAGCTAATCTATAGCATGTGACAAATGCTCTTGTTCCTCTTTCCAAAATGACATTTTTGTTGTTATTTTTAGGCCTATCCCAAAACTCCCCTACGCGCCTAACATGAAGAAGCAAATTGGAATGGTGAGTTAATTTCTCATAGGCCTATTTATTTCTTGGCAAACATGTGAAAGTCATACATCATTTTCATTTTTGAGTTGAAGCGATATTTCTTGATATTTGATCGTTTTATTAAAATCTCTCGTTTGGCACTAAATTTTGCAGTACCAACTAGACTCTTTTATGCATACTAGTTCTCAATTTGATAAATGAGTGCCCCGGCCTTTACAGATTGCTGGAGGCACAGGAATCACTCCAATGTTGCAGGTCATTGATGCCATCGTTTCCAATCCCGAGGACAACACACAGGTCTTTTAACTGAACTTTTATTTTCCGAGTAGGTTGTTTCTTTTCGTTCGTCATGGAATCGCAGAGATTCGGGAGTTTTTATTTTCGCATCAGACATAGCGGCTAGGAGGGAACCCTTTTCGATAATGAGGTAAACGACAAGAGAGTTTCTAGTTCTTCCAGTTTTTGGATTATAACTTTGAAATGTTAAAATCAGGTCTCTCTCGTTTTCGCGAACACAACACCTGCCGACATTCTGTTGAAATCGAAGTTGGATGCTCTCTCGTTTGCCCATCCTAATTTCAAGGTACGTGTCTAGAAGTAAACTCGAAATTGCAATGCTTAGGATTTTATCATCCAATTGAGTTTTTATTCCTTCTTTCTTAGTGTCGTTATGTAAATTTTGGAGTTGCTTATCTAACGGCCTGAAACTTTTGTCTGGAGATATTTAACAAAATGCGGTAGTGCTTATCCGAGAAATTCTTCACTCGCCTCAGAATCCAATCTAACAGCCTTTCACGCACCTCTTGTGGCAGGTATATTATGTTGTAGATTCTCCCACGAATGACTGGAAAGGCGGTAAAGGGTACATTAACAAGGATGTTCTTCTAAAAGGACTGCCATCACCCTCCGATGATACTCTCATCTTGGTAATTTGTGTCTCCGACCTATCTCCATCGTTTATTTCTAGGATTTCTACTTAAATTTCCTGTTCTGAATACTTTTTTAAGGACCTATCAATATGCATGCCTTTATCCAACACCACATCAGTGACAATGGTTGGCCGTAGTGCACAAATAACAAGCGTCTAAACCTGAGGACTTCGGGAAACTTCACTGCACATTAATTTTTGTGCTTGTTAATGTTACAGGTGTGTGGACCTCCAGGACTGATGAACCTTATTTCGGGAGATAAAGCCCCAGACAGGTCTCAGGGAGAGGTAATCTTTACTTTGTGTTGAAGTTCCGAAAACGATTTACTAATCATGTCCTTTAACCTTCAATAATCCTTGCAATGCATACCTACATCGGTTGGTTTCATGGAAACGAATTTTATTAGAGCTTCCTTAAAAAATCAGTTTTCACCCTCCTTGAGTCCATCACCTGCGTTCCTCTGTACATGGCTTGCATACACAGGTTCATTTGTGGACATGTTCCACTTTATAATGGAACAATACACTATCATTAAATCTATGTATAGATGCTGTATGCAGGGGGGTGCAAGAGATGCTCTTAAGTATGATAACACTATTAGATATACTAGGTGTCTTTTACTATTTGCATATCAAATTTTTACTTTTTACATGTATGGTTACTAGACAGACTTCTAGGAACTATTTACGCACTTCTATTGTTGGGATTTGTGCAGTTGGTTGGTTTGCTTAAGGAACTTGGCTACACTTCGGAGCAAGTCTACAAGTTCTAAATATGGTTAATTGGGGCCGCCTTGTCTTCTTTCGCTCTTTCCACTCTTTAGAGCTGTAGGTCCTAGTGAAGCATTCGAGAATTAGATAGGATTGCCGGCAGTCATCTGGAAGCAAGAAATAACCTTGAAATTATCACCTGTATAGATGTTTCAGCTTCAATTCTCAGGGATATGTTATCTATTCAACTCTCACAGCCTTCAGAAAATTGTCTGTTGAGATTTGTGAGGTGTTCTGCTGCAAGTTCGTAACTCAGATGTACCGGAGTTTTGTTTTGTTTCTTTTAAAGATAAAGTCTTGATGCCATGGCAAACTTGAGTTGATTGAATTTATGCTAAAAACTGATCGTTGATGACGTCATTGATTGCTACGTCAACTTGTGTTAATTTTTTTGATTCTCTTCAGCATGCCGATGTTTGTTGTTGATGTATCAGAGTGACAAATGCTGCGTAGAAAGACGACCACATATCGCAACTGTGAGTCTCAGTTTATGAACAGATTCATCTTCTTGGTCCGTTTTTCAGATCCCACAGATGCTTGTGAACAAAGATATTTTACCTGAAAACGTCCTCACGATTCATGAATTCCCTACGTCCTTCAAATCTTCATCATTGTGCTATGATATCACTCTCTGCTGCTTATTAACATCTAAGAATTAAATTCTCTATCCTTTGCATGAGAAGCCGGTGCTGGATGGTCCGGTGTAGTTCCCAGGTTCATACAAGAGGTTGTGTTCGGCGTCGCTCCTGGATGGTCCAATGCAATTTTCAGGTTGTATGCAGTGTTGTGACCGGGGCGATGCTTGGGGTTCCGCTTTTGTTCAGCGATGGTCCAATGAATTTTCCGAAGATTGGTTGTCCTGTGAAATGTTGTATGCTTGATGCTTCGATGTTCAATGCTGGTGGTTTGCCACCAATGCGTGGAGTTTGCGGTTGCTAGCAACATATAAATCTGGAAGTCGATGATAAGTGGGACTTACGGTGAAGTTTTTGATTCGTGGGGTTTGCAATGGAGTTATGAATGCGTAGTTCTCTGGCGAGGGACATGATGCTCGTGTTTTCCCACTAATGGTCGCTGGTGAGATCTACAGCGTGTGGGGCTTGCGGTGTGGGGTTCGCAGTCGCTAGTGAGATCTGAAACGCCTGGAGTTGGCAGTTGCCGGTGAGCTGTGAATTCGGTGTACGGCTCACTAGGTTTACTGGTGGACTATTCAAGGGAATGAGTAAGAACAATGTCAATAAGTATGATATGGTTGCAAATGATAGCTTGAGCAGCGACGAGATTTTTCTGAATATTTGGGTCGGCATAAAGATCCAGGTATTTCTCTCTAGCCTTTCTTAGAAGTTTTATTTGAGAGCAAATGAAGCCGAATTGAGACTTGTGGAACTAAACACTCGTTTGCTCTCTACGTGCACATGGTGTATTAGCCAATTTTAAAGCATTGCTGGGTGAAAGGTGTTGGAATCATTCCACACTAGAGCCCTTTTCACATTACAATACTTGAACACACCAAATTGAACAACGATGCAGTCATCATTCAGCCACGTAGCGGTGCTGCCATATCTTTAGGAACAGTTTATGCTTTTATTACTACATTTTTAGGATCAAGCCAACAAGTGGCTAACTTGGATATAATTCACTCGATCTCGAGTCCACAATAATGTCAGTTTCCAAACTGCGTTCCGCATTCAGACACTTGATTGAATGCGTTAACTTTTCCTATATGGTAGTAGAGCGCCTTGTAGGAACGTTGTCTCTTTATGCCACACAGGTAGCACAATTATGTCACCTTCTATTGCCAGGAGCAGATGCTGTCTACAACAAGTAGACTTTGCGATCCCAAATGGGGAGTACAAGGTCTGGGGAGTCAATTCAACCCCAAAACTAAATATGCAGCATGGCAACAATCCATCTGCACCGAAGAGCGGAGAAACATAAGGATTCACCACCTGCAGCACGGCAACAATCCCACCCTACAAAGGGTTGAGGGAGCAGATCTCAAGCTAAGCAAGAATATCAACCATCAACTAAAACCTTCGACGGAAGCTAAGCATGTATGCAGTCTCAACAATAATGAGTCATGAGGGCATTTTTTCCATTGTAAAGTCTAATGAGCTCGAAGGAGATTCGAACTTCATAACTTGAAAGATTTGAATGCGCATAGCCTTCATTAGTAAAGGAATATGATATGTCGTTGACAAGCGAATCCAGACTAGTGCGCCTCACCAAGATAGCTCAAAAGTTGTTGATGCTACTCCTTCGATGCCATCAGACGTAGTCAAACAAGATAAGTTGAAAGTCCTTTCCATGCTATTCAATTCGGTTAAAGACAATGTAATCTATCATATCGCTTTAAAAATGGACCCTGCCGACTGCTGCCATACCTTCTATGAGCTCTATGAGAGCAAAAATATGGCACAGACTATGTACTTGTTTGACCAATTACAGTCTTTACGGCTCGAGGAGTTACAATCGATGACAGACTATATCCGCTGCACAAGGGAGCTGACCTCACAACTCCAAGACATTGGCGAGACCCTCTCAAAGGACCGCATAGTGCACACTATGCTTAATGGCTTACCATCTAATTACAAAGCCTTCATCTAAGGTCTTATGGGCCAAAATAACCTACCGTCGTTTGAAAAACTCTCCAGCAGTCTGTTGATTGAAGAAAAATGTCGCACCATAAGGCCCTGCTAGCATGGAGAGGCCATGATGTTCTACGGCAAAGGAGGGCACTTGCAACGGCGATACAGCACTAGATCAGAATCATCGCGAGTGCACTACAACTCGAACTCACTAGATTCAAGCAACTCTAGTAACAAATCCCGACCCAAAAGAAATGGTTGATGTAATAATTGTGGAGAATGAAGACACTAGGCACGAGAGTGTCCCCGCCCCCAGCATTAGAGAAAACCGCCACATCAAAAACCAATGGCGTTTTTTGCATTGACAACAGACAATAAGAATAAGCACAAAGAAACACTTGAAGAAGAAGAAGAAGAAATCCAATTTTTTAACGTATCTATGCTTGCACTCAATTTTGACAAGGATAACTAGGCTTGATACCTCAATAGCGGCGCTTCAGTTCACGTGACAGGTAACTTGTCTCATTTCCCAAACTTCACAACACTCTATACAGCAACTAGTGTGCATTTAATCACACGAAACACACATGAGGTATACGAAGAAGGTAGCATAATGCTACATCACGCATGCGAAGTACAACAAGTCCAAAACACACTACACGTTCTAGGGACTAAAAAGAACTTATTGAGCGTAGGGATGTTAGCCGACAAAGGCTGCATCGTTCTCTTCACCAACAATGGCTTTTGGATTCTAACAAACACATTCCCAGCAAGGATTATAGCGGAGGGAGTGCGAGACAAAATCAATGGTCTCTACAGACTCACTCCAATTGGCCGCACCTCACAACATATCCTGACGCTTCCACAGCATCCATTGATTATACAAGCACTATCACTTTTCTTATCAGCAGAAGCCGAATTGTGGCACAAATGAATGGGCCATAAAAACTACCGCACCTTTCACAACCTCTCCAATTCAATGAGCATACGGGGCTTTTCTTACCTGGCAACAATACACACATTTTGCAAAGAATGTGTCATGGCCAAACAAACCAAGACTGTAGCCCCAAAACAAAGCTCGACATCCGCTAGCCATTTTCTTGAGTTACTGCACGCGGACCTTTGCGGATCGTTTGTGACAACCTCTCCAGGCGGGTCAAAGAATCCATCAAAATAGAGCAATCACGCACCTCGCGCCTCATCATAGATAAATCTAGTCTGCCTTCACAGCGACGCTCCACAAGACTTTGAAGGCTATTCAAGAACTTGCATCGCTTACCTCCAACCACAAGTGGAAGTTAGTAGAACTTCTACCCGACAAGACTCTCATAATCATTCAGAACAAAAATTGCACCAGATGGAAAATTAGAAAAATTGAAGGCGCGATTAGTAGCTAGGAGGTTCCAACAACGTTCAGGCGTAGATTTCAAAAAGACTTTCTCTCCTATCGTCAAACGGGTAATTATCAGAATAATATTAGCCATGGCTGCTGCTAAAACATGGCCTATTGGGCACTTAGACGTGAAATTAGCTTATCTAAATGGTATTTTATAAGAAGAAGTCTACATGCTACTTTTGCAAGCTACATAAATCCATTTACAGATTAAGGCAATCTGACAGAGCTTGGTATACAAATATCAATTCATTTCTTCAAAAACAAGGACCAGTCCGCAACACATCCAATCACAACCTTTACTTCTTTATCTCCCCGTCCAGCAACTATACAATTTTAGTATTATATGTTGACAACATTTTATTGACGGACAACAATGCAATGAAGCTTCTTTTTCTCATGTTCTCCATAGAACAACACTGCAAAATGTCTAACCAAAAAAATATTCAACTGTATGTTGCAATGCAGTTTGTGTACCTCAAACACAACATTGCCTTGCTCCAATCTCACTACATCAAAGCCCTCTTTGCCAAGTTTGGCATGGTCAAATGTAATCCCAACAACACTCCTATAGAAGAAGGACTTAGGCCACAAAATTCTACAGAATCAAATTGTGCCAATCAAGAAGCATACCAATGCCTTGTTGGAAGTCTTATCTTCTACACAAACATCCAATCTAACCTAGCTTATTTTGTTGGCGTGTTTAGCAGATTTATAACAAAATCTTTATAAGCATACATAGATGTGGCAAAGGAAGTACTACATTACATTCACGGCACAATCAGATAAGGGATCTTCTTTCTATTGAAAACAACCATGATACTCATAGAATATGCAGACTTTGATTGAGGCTGCAATCTCAACGATTGTTGCTCGACTATTAGTTTTTTTATTTATATTTGAAGAAGCACCAATATCTTGGAAGAGTAAATTGCAACCTATAGTTGTCCTATCTACTCCAAAGGCTGAACATAGAGTCTTCATCAATGTTGCAAAAGAAGCAGTTTGGATAAGAGTACTTCTTTGCAAACTCAAGCATATCAAAGACAAGTCCACATCCATCTATTGCGATAACATAGGAGCAATTCAACTAGTTAAGAATTCAGTCTTCCATGCTCTAACAAAATATATAGAGCTACAACATTACTTCATTTGAGAGAAGGCTGTGGCAAAAGAAATCACAGTAACTCAAATACCAATAATTGACAAAAGAGCAGATTTATCGACAAAGCTCATAGGCTATGTAAAATTCAATTGCATTTTGGAATAAATGGGGCTCTTGGATATCACTTAAGACAACAAGGGAGCTTAATCAAAGTAACCTCCTTTTATAAGTGAGCTTCTTGAACTAAAGCACTCACAATCTCAAAGCTACACAACAATGTCAATCGGCTGTTGTGATGTAATACAATTAATAGATGAAAGAGTGTAGAAATTATTATAATGTAGGAGATTTTAGTTCAAAGTATTAGAGCAAATTATCTTAGAAATATAGTTAATAGTAAAAAGGGTAGTAAAACTAAAAAGTACCAATGGTGCCTTTTTAGAAAGGTGACTTCTACTTACTTTGTAGGACCATAAATAAGGCAAAAAAAGTAGATTGGAAAAATAAATGATATAGGTATTTTAAGAAGGAAGTTAAGAGTAAATTCTAATAAAATTTACTTAGAAAAACTAGATATTGATATCCAAAGAGGGTCAGTTATGAACTAGGGTTGAAATCAGACCTTGAGGCACAAAACTGAGTCTCGACCATGACTTGAGGATTCTTTTATAGATCGGAGAGTGCAATTTAATAGAAAATTGAATGAGGTTTTTATAAGCATTAGATTTGGGTGATTTGGAGTTGCAATAACTTTGTAAGAGCTTTACAAAGTCAAGATTATTTTTGGATGACTTGGGTTTTGTGAAATAAAATAGGGTTGACGTTTCTAGTGATTTCAAGAGTTTTGTAACATATCTACACGTAAAATTTTGTGAATTAATGGTCATAATTGTGCTTAATATGTGTTATAAATCTTAGCTTGATCTAATAGTTGAATTGAGGATTATTGAGGTTTAAAAGGGTCAAGGTCTCAGAAAGTAGAATTTTAGGTCTAGTGAGGGTTTTTAAGATTTCTTGCAATCTACCAATTGGATTGGAGTGACATTTATATGAGAGGATATTAGACTTGTTTTTCTATGTGTATGAGAATTTTGAGATCAATCGAATGGTGAAAAGGAGAGATATTGGCTTTGAGAGATTGGCATCAAGGTTGGAGAAAGAGGTTAGCCAATACTTGAGCATGTTTTTGAAGTTATAATCTATTTGGTAATTCCGATTCTTTTCAAATTTTTTGTGTTTTTTTTCAATTTAGTTTTTAAGAAGTATGCAAATTTTGAGTTAAGATCAATGGTTCATTCATTAGTTATTGAGGTTTTAATTTGTTATAAAAATTACTAGGATTTGGTTAGGATTTGGTTTAAGATTTAAGGTTTGGTTAGGATTTGGTTTAGAATTTAGGGTTTGGTTAGGATTTGATTTAGGGTTTTGATTTGGTTAGGGCTTGATTTAGATTTAGGCTTTGGTTAGGGTTTGGTTTAGGATTTAGGATTTGATTTAGGATTTAGGATTTGGTTTAGGATTTAAGGTTTGGTTTAGGATTTAAGGTTTGGTTAGGGTTTGATTTAGGATTTGATTAGGATTTGGTTTAGGATTTAGAATTTTATTAGGATTTGTTTAGGTTTTAAGATTTAGTTAGTTTTTGGCCTAAAGTTTGAATGAAGTGCAATAGGATTTTAACTAGGATTAAATTAAGATTGAATTGAGATGTATTTGAGATATATTTGTGATCATTCTAATATTTCTTTAAGATTTCTTATTGTTTCTTTGTAATTCCTTGGAGATTTCTTTGAATTTGATTAAAGCTTGCTTAATATTATTATGGTCTAATTAGAATTTAATTAGTATTCTATTAGAGTTAAGATTTTATTGTTGCAATTTCCATTCTACCTTCCACATCCAGGTGCCCAGAGCATTCTCAAGCAAGACTTCATATATTATGACATATTTGGTGGCTTCGTAACCTAGACTCTCCGGGTATCAATATCTAGTTTTTTTAAGTAAATTTTATTAGAATTTACTCTTAACTTCCTTCTTAAAATGCCTATATCATTTATTTTTCCAATCTACTTTTTTTGCCTTATTTATGGTCCTACAAAGTAAGTAGAAGTCACCTTTCTAAAAAGGCACCATTGGTACCTTTTAGTTTTACTACCCTTTTGATTATTAACTATATTTTTAAGATAATTTGCTCTAATACTTTGAACTAAAATCTCCTACATTATAATAATTTCCACACTCTTTCACCTATTAATTGTATTATACTACAACACCGCTATACACATCAAAATTGTAATATCCATGCCAAAGTTCCTTCTCTGCCAAAGCGCTCATATCCTCAGCAATCACTACCTTGAAAGAAGCAAGGTCCTTGCAATAACAAAGGTGAATTGGCTTTGGCTTCAGACTCTTATTCTTCATATTCTACAGATATCTCGTTGTGTCAAGCCTTATAAATTCAACTGCAATCTAGTTGATAGTTTGGCCAACCTTCTTGTACTACTTCTTATTTATACTCTTGAGTTCAAAGAGAATGAATAGGTCTCTTGAATTCCTAATCCTTGGCCACACACACTTGTAAACAATCTTGTTAGGCAACCTAAGAATCTATATTGAATAGCAGCCATCATCAATACTTAGCAGCAACTCGAGGCAAGCCACTAATGTAAGAAATAAGTGACAAAAAATTATGATTCATTATCCTTAGATTCAAGCAAAAGATCTATCATGAAAGCAACCTCTTAACTTCATTGAACAATGATATGAATGTATAGACAAAAAGTAATCAGGGTCTCTTGTGTGAGAGAGTGTGTTGGAATCATTCCACACTAGAGCCCTTTTTACATTACAATATTTAAAAACACCAAATTGAACAAGGTTGCAGCCATCATTTAATTAAGTAGTGGTACTGCCATATCTTTAGGAACACTTTATGCTTTTTCTACTAGATCTTTAGGATCAAGCCAATAAGTGGCTAACTTGTATATAATTCACTCAATTTCAAGTGCACAATAATGTAAGTTTCTAAACTGTAGTTTGCATTCAATCATTTGATTGAATGTGTTTACTTTTCCTATAAAAGATGCTAGACAAGTGCTCTGTTGCCAATTTTAAAGCTAATGGAGAATACTTTCTTCAACAAAAGTAGATGATCACTTAGGTCTATGAATTAGATTTGAAATGCAACAAATTACATTTCCATGGTTTGTTCTATATCTTTTCAAAAACCTTGATGGTATTGCTTCTCCTTTGATTTTTGTGACTATTTTTGTTTAAATACTAGTGATTAATCATGTGAAAACTCTCATGCAGAGAATAGACAAAATATTCCGAGGTCTAAAGAGATTTTCTTGCTTTCAGTCACCATGCAATAGTTTGGCAAAATAGTGGTGTACCATACTTATACTTAGAACAAGAACTGAAATTATATTTAAAAATTATAATTAAAAATATTATTTTAATTTGTAAAAAAATTGATAGGATTCATGGAGTAAGAATCTTCAAAGCTATAAAACAGCAAGAAATGGATTTGATGATGTGTATGTGGAAATTGAGATGAGAATGTGTAAAATTGAAAAACAAAGAAAAAGAATAACAAAGGGATTATAAAACCCCTTGAAAATTATACATAGCACCAATAAAAAAGTGACGATTAGAAAAATAGTCAAATTCTACTAGGACAAGTTTTTATGGGCATATATACAAATAACTTTTTAATTGAATTTTATGTTCTTGAAGATGGATGTTTGTGAATTACAATATTTGTTGTCATGCTAATATTTGTGAATATTTGAAAACAAAGTTTTGGCTTTTATACATTGTTACATTATAAAATTAATATATTAATACCATCCCCACATTTACATATCTTCAACCTTTAATCTAATTCTTATAGAACATTCTTACATAGTAGCCAATTCATTTGAAGTTTTTATTGTGCTTTGTATAATTGTTCATGAATAAAATGAACAAAATAGAGGTGACTACAAAGCCAATGTGTATAAAATTAATCAATACAAGTGGGGTAGACAATCATACAATAAACTTATTTGGTTGGGGCCAAAGTTGTTAAATTTTCTATTACAATTATATTATGAGTTGATTGGTGAAGTCTCTTTTTTTATGCAACAAATAGTAACACATCACTATATTTTGGCATTTCAAGATTCATTGTAGAACTCATCTCACAACAATTGATAACATCCACAATGGAAATTGAATTCATGTATACCCATTCTAAGTACAATGAATTTTATTTATTACTCACAACATAACATCATTTTAACCACCCCCAACCAAAGAATATCAAACCTGGTCAACAATATGTCACCATACTCACTAAAATACCCCAACATAGGTCGGAAATGGGGGGTGGTAGAGAATGGGTTGGCTACCTTTCCAGGTTTTTCACCTTTCTCCCATCCCAGCGAAGCTTCTGCAATTCAACAGTGCGAATGAGCGCCAAGTTACACCCCAGCCCAGATACGAAGACAGGAAGCGTACATTGTGAGCTGGTTGTCAGAGTTGGACCGTTTGGTAGTTAGTCTTTTTCTGACTAGGTTGCCAGCTGAAACGAAATATTAGGGCACCGTGGTTTGGATTAACATGGGTGACCTTGCTCCAGTTGTTATTCTGCAAATCTCGTTTGGGCCTTTGATGCTGTAGACGTGCATTTTATCTTAGTGCACATCGTGGGCGATACCTGAAGTAGGATTGGTGCTGACCCAAGTAGTATTCGTTGCCTTCTGAGAGGGAATTTGCAGACATGCCTCCGAAGTTGACCCCAAAGGAAAGGGCTGCTGCTAAGAAAGCTGAAAGGGGTATGTGCCACTCAAACCATTGTTGTCCGATTTCTATAAGTGGAGGCTTGTGATGGATGATTTGGTTTTCAAGCATTACTCGCGGGTGTTTGGAGCCATCATACAACATGAGAATTACGATTTGGAGATTTACTTGCTCCAGAAACTTATAGCTGCCATTTTCATGTCATTATATAGGAACCATTCCTCAGGTTGGCGATTAATTTTGATCTATCATGAGTGGCCTTGTTGTGCAGCTCAATTTGAGGAAATTGCAAGGAGGATGGAGCAAGGTCAGTATCTCATTTCTCACGAAGCATTGTGTGTAGGCGAGGTGGACCCCTGATTAGGTCATCTAGGAACATACATGCCTTATTTCCTCAGATAGATTTGGAACTCCTCTGTAGCCTTACTTGCCCAATTCGAGAATAATTTGGATTATCAATTAGACCCTGCGATTAACCCCAGTGACGAAAACTGCTTTCTGAATAAGACCTGAGGTTCTTTTAACTCAAAAGTGCACTTAAAGTTCGGTAACACCTTAGAATAGGTGACAATATGCAGATCTACAAGACTCTGAGTGCAGAACTTCATTAATTTAAGACATTCTGATCTATGAAGTAGAATCGTGTTACCGTTATCTTATGCAAGAGTTTCTGACGAAAGTGTGAATGCAGAGCGGCTGATCAAAGAAGCACTGCAAATTGTAAGGAAAGAACTGGAAGAAAAGCTTGCATATGAGGCTGACCAAAGATGGCTTGAGGCAGAGAGGGAGCGACTTGCAGCTGAAGCTGATAGCATTATACCGTATTATAAACGGCAAGAAGAAACTCGTGAGAAGATTGAAGCAGCTGCTACAGCAAAGAAAGAGGTATGTTTGTGGAGCATTGCTCGACAATTGCCTGAGGAGATGACTTAGCAGGAGGTTGTCGACATCACAGGAGTTTCGCCTACCTATCAGTTGGATATTATGTCATGCCTTCATATATGGTAGTCACTCATTAAACTATTAAATTTATTGCTCATAATACTGATCATGTGTTGAGGAGGATCTGAAAAGCAGTGGGAGCTCTTCATGGATACGTCTGGGTTACCGCAAGCTGCTAAGGAAGCTACTCTTAATACGTATTTGGAAAATGGATATCAGAGTCTAGATCTTGACTACAATGAAGTATTGAAGTCATTAGTCAACATTTATAAGGTATGCAGCACCTAACCTGGTCTTGCAAAAGCCACCGCTGCAAGATACAGTAGGGTCAAAGCCCAAATTTTCTGGAGTATGACGACTTGTCGTTGATTCGCTATTGCTAGAGGACCTTGTTTTAAGTCTTTAATATATCTTTTCATTTTAACGCTTTGAGGGGTTCTACTTTTGTGAGTACGTATCTTCTGTACAGAAAGTTCAGAATATTCTCTTCAATGAAGAGATTAATTGAAAATGATGAAAGTGTCAATGTAGACACAGTTTTGATTGTGTGTCGTAGATCTCTAATGAAGCTGTGGAGCTGGCCTTACAAGAGGATCAGAAAGGAAATGTCAATGAGGCTACCAAGTAATCGTCTCGTCTTGGCAACTCATGTATCCTTGATATCATTAGAGGCTGAAATGGTTTATAAAACGATTGTACCCTATTTTTTTCAAATGGGAGAACACGTTCAACACTATGCAGGTGGCTCAATCAGCGACGATTTTTTTTAAAAAAAACTTGGTCTAAATTACATAGTGCAAGTGTCTCATAGGTTTTAGAAAAATAGAGAGCGAATCATGCTTGAACTTCAAGCCATGAAGCTTTTCAAGGCGACAATGATAATAAATTGTATGCTGTTGAAGAATACTGGCTGTGTTTACGCAGGTACAGAGGCTTTATGCTGAAACTGGAAAAAATGGGGAAATTTCGAATGGATCAGACCACCAATTATCTTCTCCAAGTAAATGGTGCTCTATCAACCCTTGAAATCTGGTGTTGAAACATAAATAAATAAATTTAGGATGGCTGTTATCTGATTCTAAAATCATGTACAATTTTGGATAAAAAGTAAAATCCCCCGACTCTATTTGGAAATTCCAATCTTGGTGATAGAATTCATGCTAAAAAAACTGCCAATTATGAGTTGCAGAAATCATATGCTGTATACAGAGATACGGAGAAGAGTATTGTGACTGAAAGAATTGGAGACTGGAAGCTAGCCCTATGGATTAATCATGTTAAGAATCCACGACACCGACTGCTTGAGCTCCCAGAACTTGATATCTATATCAAGCTTCCCAAGTCTTTTGCCCTGGCTAATGCAGCCATTCGGATATACCATCAGACAGTGAACCCTCTTTACAAGTCCAAAAATGCTTACATGCCACTGGTAAGATTGTCCTTTGTACAGGTATTTTTGCTTCATTCTCAACAACTGACTTTACTAACAGAATGTGAGAACTTCAACTTTAAGGATGTAATGATGTAACCATATTTATGATTAAAACTACCATTCTTTGCAGGGCGGTGTGTTTGTCATTGATGTGCTGGGTATTCCAGTGGAATCCAAACTCGTCAAGCAGTGGACCTTGGAAAACTGTACTTTTTCTTTATCCCCATATTAGATTTGATAATTCCTTAGTCTGATTGAGGCATCATTTCTGCATTTGTTTTGTAATATTTTCTCTCAACCTAAAATCTTCTTGTGCAATAGTGCATGGTGTAATAACACTGTATTACAAGTTGTTAATGGCTTACAGAACTGTTCCTATCAGTGTGAGCATTTTAGCAAAGAATTTAAATGAAGAAGAGGTTAGAGGTAGATGTTAAAACTCTTAATGTGTGTCCGTAGAAGATTTTCTTCTTGTAAAGAAAGAGCTTTATCAGGATTTAAGTCTTTATAACTTTACAGGGAAAATGTTTTCCAGTCCGGATAACTTCAGTTATGTGCATCTTGACTGTTAGGAAGAGTATACATGCTTTATATGCAACTTTGAGTTCAGCATGTTGGAGTGTATCTACTTGTACATGTCAAACTTAACACATGTCTACTGGTGTTTGTGAGAAAGTGGCAACATCAACACAGCTTCAGTATCTGGGATACCCAATTCCAGCAGTTGGACAATCAGCTCCTAGTCCACAACAGCTACTAAATGTGCTTCCATTTGAGATTGACATCATTATTCCAAAGTTCATCATACATTGGGAGCCCAACCCAGAGATTGGATGGTGGGATTCGGTACTATCATTCATCATAAAATTGAGTATCAATGATGTGTCTGTAGCATATTGTGTGATTATTCCAGCAGTAAGTAAGCTATATGTTGTCAGATTCTTTCTGAAATGTTCTTCTGAATGCATGAGTTTTTCATGATGTATTACTGAAGGGCAGGTAACCGAGACGTGGCAAACAGAGGGTGTGTCAGAAATTGAATATACTCCAGAAAATTTCAAACTTCTGTTTCATACTACCAAGGCCAAACCACATGCTATTGTTCAGGTTGGTTCTTGCTTTAGTTCAGATCAACGTTTACAAGTTGTAGCTGGATGTTATAACAAAATTAGAGGAAAAAGTTATTACAAAAATGATATGTGAGACTCAAAGAATGTTTGCTGAAGAACAAACCTTGCACTGTCAATGCTCATGATTCATAACTCCTCTAGGCTCCTGAAAAGCTGACTTTTATTTGAATAATAATCTTCAGCTGTTCTGTGCTTATAGAGTCGGGTGAGAGAGTATCCTTACAAGTCATGGAATATCCGGCCCACCTCAGAAAAGACAGGAGTACTCACACTGAAGACAGCAAAATCAAATGTTATCTTCAATGTTGGTGATGGATGGTGTCAACTTCTGGAGCCTAAAATGCCAATGCTTAAACACATTTTGAGTCTGCAGCTTCCTCCTAAAGTTTTACTTCAGGTAACGTTGTACTTGATCAGATTATCAACAATTAATAATTTTAAGTAAGTTGAATCAATCTAGTTAGTGATGATTATAAATGAATCAATAAATAAATAAACATCTTCAATTTCTTGAAGACTTGAACTGGTTTCATTAACACTTCAATTGATCGAATTAACAGCAACTGTCAAACTGTGGATTGCAATTGATGCCAGAAGATGATGATGCTCAATATTCTGCTGTCAAAATAAAGGTTGTTATGTTTTACACATTTAAATTGGACTCAGTGCCAATTACTTATGTTGACCTATATTCTCTCCCGCTCTCAGGAAAAATTACTTCTTGGCTCATGTTGAATCATGCTGTTAATGCAGATGAAGCTGATTGTGTGATTGATTGATAACACAAATTATGTGACTTAAACGTGTACCTGGTGATTGCTAGGATGCTGAGTTGGAGCTTCAAGTTTGCCGAGATGCTGCACTAGCTATCCCTGCATTCACTCTTGCAAGCAGCCCCTTGAACAAAACAAAAGATTCTAAAGCAATTCTCTTGCGCATTCAAGAGATTCCTGAGCCTCTCTATCCTCCAACACTTGAAAAGGCATTTCATGAAAGTCGCAGCAGTCCTTTGCAGAGAACATTTCCTTTCCATAGTAGATGTGTACAGTATACTAACATCAATACTTTAGTTGATTAATAAAACAACTTAAATATACTTGGATAAGCGAACCCTCCAAACAATACATGCTAGATGTTTGGATTTAAAATGCATGATGGTTCATGTGCATTAAGGTACTGAACCTTTAGCATACTGCCATATTTGGATACTGATATTTGTATGTGTTGGACTCAGAGCAAGGTGGTTAAAACAATATACTACACACCGAAAGGATCTACGCTGATAGATCACTCTGATAAACTTCCTGGTTACAAGGAGGTATTGGAGGCAGCGCTTGCGGATAAATATGCAAAAGTATGTACCCAAAACCCTACGCTTTCCGGCTAGGACTTCAAAATCTGTAGTAAAAGCTTGCTTGACTTCGAAATTTTTCTTAAGAATCTTATTGTATTGCGTTTCTAATAAGTTAATATTTCTCATTTTATGTATGTTTTCACGGTTAAAGAATGTGGTCGTACTCCTGATTCATTCAGCATTTGTCTCACAACTCCATAACTAAAACCCACTTTATTATTTTTTTATTATTATTATTATTATTATTTTGTTTAGTAACTGTTAGCATGTGCAAGGACCTCTTGATTCACATGAAATATTTTAACTGGAGATGCAATTTTCATGTTGTGAACAATGCAGTACCACTCTGCTTTGCTGGTTACTTTAAGAGGCAACTGTTTCGAATCATCACAAAACAAGATGGACAATGGAAACGTAGCATTTACAGAGTGTGTGAGTGCTTTGATGTATGCACTCCGGTTGTTCACGTTTGGGCCATGACATGATGTGAGCAAAACAACCCAGTTGCTAATATAATATAAAGATTTCCATTTAAATTTATTTATTTCTATTATTAGAGTATACACTGTAATAACACTTCACTAGATTAGACCTATAAAGTTCCTACAAAACCATAATAACCCAAATATTTTACAAACTTATAACAATTAAGTTCAAATAAATAAACATTTATAGAAACCAATCATTTATTTAAATATAAATAAATGATTGGTTTTTATAATACTCTACAAACGTATAAATAAATGATTGGTAATAAATACAAATTTTTTATTATCTACTGCATAACAAAACTTTGAAATACTTTAATTGATTCTTAGAAAGGTTAAATTTGATTTCTAGGTATGTCTTTAGAGTAAATATTTTTAAGTTCTTGAATGCATACTTAAAAATAAGTATAATTTGATTTTTAAAAAATTGAAATTACAACCTTTGAATTCCTTCAATTCTGTAAAATGAAAGTTTACCGTTACTAACTTATTACTTAGATTATAAATTATTTTGGATACTAAAAATAGTGTATACTTTTTTTAGAGGATTTTTTTCAAAAGGTAAAAATGATAAATTACGATTTTATACTTTGAAAAGTATAAGCTTCTGATGGAATAATTTTTTCTAGTTACTACTAAACAAAAGTGAGTTTTCTCATACCTTAGCACCAATAGATGAATGACTTGTTTGTGATACATTTATTTATGTTTTAAATACTTCATTTATAAATAAATATTTATAGAAACCAATCATTTATTTATTTAAGTAAAAAGTTCGAATAACCCTGAATGAAAAATCTACTACAATTTTTATGTATGCATATATGTGTGTCTATATATCTATATATAGATACATATTATAAATATTAGTACTATTTCCTTAAAGCTAGAAAATTTGCAAAGCGACTTTTCTAATTTTAAAAATGAATTAGGAGTCTGTAAACAATTTGTTTGACTACATGTGATAAAGTATTCTGATTTGGGTTATAAGGCCATGTAAAGTCTAGCAAGTGTGTGGCAATATACATTTACATGACAAGCTTTCACAATTCTTGTGTATTCATTCACAGAATTATTTTTCAAGAAGAATGAAACAAAAATATTACTTAATTTCAACTAGTTAACATCTTCAAACAGCCTTTCTCTCATTTTTTCAAAATCTCAAAATCTCAAAAAATAAGAATACTAATGAACGAAACATTTTTTTGACATAAATTTACATTTTGAAGTGTTAAATCAAATTTGATTTAACATGGTTTTTGTATTCTTTTATATGTATCCTTTCATGTGTGTGTGTGTGTATGTATCGAAAGACGTTTCCTTTTATCAGAATTTTTATCAAGTTGAAGGACTTTTATACAAACAGATTGTGCAGAAATTGCATTGTCAATCGGAATTTACAGTAAATTTAAATTATTTGATAGATTTTACAATCAACAAAGATACACCACAAAATGTCCATATAGTCTATACTTTACGGTGCACAAACATTGCAGGTAGATCACCACAGAGACGTATTTTTCCAATATGTTTCACATAACTCGCTTTTGCAATGCTGGTTTCGGAAGGACCCGCAAAATGTCTGGTTTCTGACAAGGGCAAATCCATTAGAAATCTGGTGGCATCATTGTTGTGACCTCTTGACGGACGTCTGCCAAGCACATGCTCATAATTGTAGGTTATGTGGTAATTTATGTGAATATACCTTGAATACTCGACGCTGCTCTTAATGTCGTCGACTTTGAGGAATGACAGGAATCCGCTTTCAGGCCTTTTTCCAAGTTCGAGGCCGCTCTCATGATCAGAGAGATGGTGAGCCACGGCTCTTCGAGTTTTAGAGTACTGAACATTGGCAACACCGTTGAATCACTAGACGGTTAAGATTGGTTATCACGATGAAGGACCAGGAACAAATTTGAGCTGAACCGGCTGTGGTGCTCTTCATTAGATAATTAAGCCGGTAGCTGCTGCTTTGTCTGTAGTTTTCCTGCATGTACTCCAAATTTAAATCGAGCGTTCGGTTTTCCTTCTACAGGATCAGTTTTGATTTGGTAGTTTGTGCTAGATCATACACCACCTGCCAGCTCTCTCTGTTCATCGATTACAGTTGATGTGCTCACTCTGCACCTGGAATTTTGTCCACATCCCCAGTCTACCACAGACGATGAGGTGCAGCTGACATGAACAGAAAAGAAAACAGTAGAGAATACGTAATGCACTGCATAATTTCCAAGACACTGAGCACCAGGCACTCGCAGTTTGTACAAACGGTTGTCAAGGAAGGCTTCACCAGGTGCAGCTCTTCCAAGCTAATTCCTGCGTCAGATTGCAGAATGTAGAGACATTCATCTCCGAAACTTGAAACAAGAATTGCATTTTGAAGAATTCACAAAACTTAAATAATCAGTGTCCCTCCAAATAGCTCTCCAACGCTCTTACTAGTGTATATAATGAAGCAACTACGCACAATGATACAGTGGAATTCCTAGACAGCACTAAACGAGATGGAGTTCGAAACTCCGTGACCATGGCGACCATGCTCATTTCTAAGCCTTGAAGAGTAGCCAAGTTCAAAAGAAAGTTAGTGAGAATATCATAAGGAAGATAGCCCACATGGTAAAATTTGAAGCTAGCACCATTTTTTAGGTTTAAATCTAAGATTGTATATTTATGTTTTAATATCTTGATTATATTAATAAGTTTTTATAATTTTTAGTTTGCAGAAGAAATAAAAAGATGTTCACTTAAAATAGGACTTTGCATCAGACTTAACGTCCATATATGATAATTTTGTAGACTATGTTTTTTTGTTGATTGATTTTAGGATTTTTTTAAAATTTTTTTTAAATAAATGAAAAATTTTAAGTTTAATTTTATTTAAAAAAATATATTAAATTCTAGAGCCTCTTATTAAGAGATTGTGAACTATAGCAGAATACCTATTTTATTTAAGATTTATTGTATGCATGTTGTAACTCTTTGACTAATTTATAATTCAACTAATATATTCTTAATTCCACTATATATTTATGCATATGCAAGCTCAGCACAAGACAAGTCAAACTATATGTATATAAGCTAATTTTTTGGGTATAAGATATTAAAAAAAAGAATTTAAATCACAACTTGTATAATGGATTGGCCTTCATATTCATTAATGTAGAATAAAAAAGAAGAAATTACAATAATTAATACAAAACAATAAAGATCAATGTGTAAGAAGGAAAAATATGACTTTTTTCAATAGTACCAACTTTAAAAAAAAAACAAAGTTTATTAAGACACTTCTTTTAAGAAACTCTTACAACTTTAAAGGTTTATTATTTATAACTAAAAGCCTTTCATTCAAATAGATGTAAACATTATTAAACAAAAAATAAAATATATCTATAGCAATAGAAAGATATGTAGAAGCTAAGTTTTTAATGATTATGTTTTTAAATAATTTATTTAATTTAAAAAATAAATTTATAAAGGTCCTCATTCTAGGCATGTTATTAGACCATAGCTATGTACTTATAAAACCCAATAGTCATATTCTAGCCAAAAAATCACAATTTTTAGATTAAATAAAAAATATTAGTAGTATTAAGACTTTTTAATAATAAAAAAATATATATCTTAATATAGTAATTTTATTTATGATATCAAAAATTATAAAATATTAAATATTAAAAGAAACAATTATTAGTCCAAGGAATTGATGGTACATTGCCACAAAAAATTTAACAATAAAATAAAAATAATAATGTAAAGTTCTTAATATATATTCTATATTTTATTCAAAAAAATAAACCTATCTATTTATATATATATATATATATATATATAAATTCAGCATAGACCTTATTTGACATTGATCTTAGATGATTTCTTCCAATATCCCTCTAACAATCAAGGCATAGAAACAAACTTAATTATAATTGCATCCAAATTTTCAAATATCTTTTAAGACACCTCTTATAATCTAATAACAAAACAAATGTGCCATCTAATTTCTATTATTTCTACAACATAACAAAAAAGGCAATGTAAAGTAGACCAACTTATCTTTGTAAGTCATTCAACTTCTACATTATTCTATGTAATATAACAATGCCTTAACATTACAATATATATATATATATATATATATATATATATATATTACAAACCTACATATATAAATCTCAACTATAAATCTTTATATTTATAGATATAAGTTACTTGCCAAAAATAAAAAGTCCAACAGCATGATATCAACTAAAGATTCAAGAGTAATGATCAGAAGTAGATAAGAAAGACACTCTCATTGTTGCTACTAAATCAAGAGGCATAACTTGAGTTCAAGCCATGAAGGTAGACTACTTAAAGATTGGATAGTCTCTACATTAGGCAGTTGTGAACTAGTATAGAAAGTATGATGGTAGTGAATATAATCAAACTCGAGATGAAATAGTGTTAAGGCAGATGCCATGTATTTTTGAAGTATATGCAATAAACAAAGTTCATTAGTGAAATGGTGTATGTGCTACTAGTTCTAGACATATTATAGAGTTTTATCTCATATTTTTTTGTTATCCCAAGAACTCAAGTAATAATATATATATCTATAGATTTATAATGTAGAGAACAAAATAATTGTTTGAAGCCTTTGAACATCTATTTTCACTTTGCTAGCTCTCATTACTACTAGAGAGACTTGTAAATACACTTTTTATTATAAATAACATCATGTATTTGTGTAGTATTACAACAAAAATGTAATATACTTGCATTACAAAAGTCTTTTTACTCATCCTCTCTTTGCTTAGAAATTTACTTTACTATTGTATTTTTCTTGCACTTGTATGTTGTCTTGGATACTTTATAACTGCTTGAATCATCTTTTTCTACAAACAACAAAAAGAAGAAGTTTCAAACTATTCTTTCTTTCTTTTTTCTCTCTCTCATTCTTTTTTAACCAATTGTTTTTTTCCTTGTAAAATGCAGCATCTTCTGCTGATTTCATCCTTGCACCAAAATTTACCAAAACATTTCACAAGAATAGCCCACATTTTAAAATCCCCTTCTTAAAACCTTAAATTCAAACATTTTGCTAAAACAATTCAAGTTGCAAACAACTTCTAAACATCAGCACCTCAAACATCATCTATTACACAACATAATAAAACTGGTGTTTTTTTAATACCTAATTGTCAAAAAACATACACATTTATGAATTTTTAAATTTAAAATGGAATAGTTACATATTTTGTTTGTAAGACCTGACTTCTAAATTCAATAGATTCTAACTGATAATATACAGTTAAGAATCAATAAACCATACTTTATTAATGTTACTTACATTATTACATGTGTTCATCCTTTATGGACATATAGCAAGGATAAAATTAGCTAGGATGTTACATAAGTCTCTTTGTGTAATACAAATCGACAACATATGATAAAATATTGGAAATATCATGGTAAAAAATAAAAATAAAAAGAAGAAGAAATAAAATGTAATAAAATACAAAGTGTGAAAATATTTATCAACCAGTGATTACACAATTTATCAACTCTAGAAGGTATATAAAATCGTTTTTATTTACTTATTTATTTATTGACAAAACACCCAAAATGTTTCTCTGTAGAATAACTGGTATTTTCGAAATCATCATCAATGTGCTTTAGCTTGAATGTAGTAGAAGTGCTTCCTATTCAACATAAATTTCCCAGGTGTAGTGAATTTGTGTCCGTGTTGTGGACACATTACCAAACCACAAGACCCGAAAAAGTCTAGATACTTGCAGTGTGAACGCTACCCGCTCGCAATAAGTAGAAAAAGGAACTCTCGCACCTTTTTGCTAGCCAATGTGACCCACATGTTAGTGATGCTTAATTCCAACGTGCCGATAATGCTGAAATGAATTATCGCAAAAAAGCCAAGTTCGCAGTGTGGAAAGGACCCATCCCCCTCGGGTAGCTTTCCACGTCGCCCTGTTCACACTCCAATAGAGTAGCAACCCAAACACACACCAACATCCTAGACGTGATTTTTCTATTATGATTTTTTAAATTGCACACTACTGACCACTGGTTCTCGTAGTAAGTCAGACATTAACGGATCCAAAAATCCATAAAGTAATAACCCAATTCATCTGAGATGCCGCTCAAGTCGGAACAAATGCTGCAAAATCATTGTTGTGGTGTTTGTCCATATTCGATATGAGGAATCTTTTTTGTACAGCATGAGCCTTAAATGACTCGTGTCTGGTTTTCTGATCCCAAGCTCGGTCTCCGAGGCACCCTGTGACCGTGGCTCAGATATTTCAAAGCGTTCGATCCATCGCCACCTTCGATGCTCGCGAAGCGCGCACCCGGGGAACGGTCGCTATCTGAGATGTGGCAAGTACAAAGTACGGGCAATTTTGAAGCGGGGTCCGCAGGGCGGGGCCGGGAGAGAAATCCACCGCGACGCGGCGAGGCTGCGAAGGAAGGCGATGATGCTACAGAAGCAAAAAGCTACTTGGCCATGGCTGTGGCGTGTTTTGGAGTAATAAAGCACTTACTCGTTCTGCAGCAAGTGGGCCAGGAGGTAGGGACCAGGCGTCGTCAGTCGCCAAACAGGGGAGAGGCTGTATTACTCCACAATGGCACGAGGTTTACTCGTGGTCCTTGCGAAAGGATTTCCTTCCGACAAATATCATCGTATGCGTCGAGCAATTTCGCAACGTGCTTGTTCGGATCGACCACCTCGACGCTTGCCAGGAGGGGGTTTGGTGAATGTAGTCGCGTTGTGTCAAACGTGGGCGGTTGGGAATATACCTGCGATCTATACCTGCGATCAAGCTGGAGTTTATGAACGCCTGGAGATTGCCCCTTGTGAGATGGCAATTAAGCTTTGGAAGTTCAGCCGGGTTGGAACCGAGGTTTCGTTGAAGTGCACTCGATGACGGCGGTCCTGAGGGAAGGACGTTAGTTTGGTGTAGTTGGCACGAATTCGTGACTTGCTTGGGCGCCTCGTGTTTTTTCTTTCCCTCAGCGCCGGTTCTGTGCCTTAATTTTGAGATGTCCTCTAGGGCGTCAATTGCGAGTGACTACTGTAGCATCATGGATGGATTCGATGGAAAAAAGGTCAATCTCTCTTGATTGAGTGGTTTGCGTTCGTTTTAGCTGGGAGGAGTGGTTACTGGAAACGAGTTAAAGAAAGCTATGGGAGACGCGGTCAATGGGGGAGCAGCGAGCATGGAACTGATGAAGCCAATTCAAATTGGGGACCATCAGCTGCAGCACAGGTGATCAAAATGGGTCCCGTCCATAACCCTGAATTGCTTCTTATAATGATACGTGACGTCAACACAGCCTGCAGAATGCGCGCGCTCGGGTAAAACTCTCAACAGCAAGTCTGGCTGACAAGCATGAGATATTTTTGTGAGAGGTTGCAGGATGGTACTGTGTCCCATGACGCGGTGTAGAGCACGAGATACATTAGCCACGCCGTTGATGACCGAGTACTACTGCCAGAGAGCGACCGAAGGAGGCCTTCTTATTTCTGAAGGCGTTTGTGTAGCCGCAAATGGCCATGGGTATGTCAATCTTTCATTTTTGTAAACTCTTTGACTTAGCATGAGCATTTCATGATTTCGTGATGTGATGCGTGCTGTTTTTGTTATTTGAATCGATCCCGTGTTCACGCCGCTTCTGTGCCGTAACAGGTTCGTGAACACTGCGGGGATTTACACTAGTGAGCAGATTGAGTCATGGAAAGCAGTCACCCAAGGAGTGCATAAAAGAGGCGCCATTTTTTTCCTCCAGCTATGGCATGTTGGCAGAGCTTCACATACAGGTAAGTTTAGAAATCATCTCAACAAGCTTTCAGCTGCTGCACAAAGCAGGTCCTGTTATCAAATAGACTGGTCATCAGTATCTAAAAGTCTTGTGTGTATGGAGCAGAGTTGCAGCCCGGAAATGCTGCCCCAATCTCCCCAACCAGCAATTCCGTACCCTTGCCGTGGAGGGTAACTCTCATAGATGCAGATGGCAAAGCGACTAAGCAAATGTATTCCGCTCCACGGCCGCTTCACATTGACGAAATTCCACAGATTATTCAGTACTTTAGGAATGGGGCAAAAAACGCTCGAGAAGCAGGTATCTCCCTTGCATATGATTACAACTCGTTGCTACCCAGATGCATGCCATAAATATGTGCTTTTTAATCTCTACAGCAAATTTCATGACTTATTTCGTTTCATTGCAAGCATGCAGATTCTTTGCTATTTGATTAATTTCCTCATCACATCACTGGATTGCTGCTTACTGGATGGCTTCCACTTCAAGACCATGGTAAGCATCATGGGAACAGTGTCGAATTCATTGAAACCCTTTTGACTGGAAACTGAAAGCAATGTCAATGTGAATTAGGTTTTGACGGGTGCGAAATCCATGGCGCACACGGGTACATCCTGGACGCATTCATCAAGGACACCATTAACGATCGCACAGACGCCTATGGGGGCTCCATAGAGAACCGTTGTAAGCTCCTCATGGAGGTCACACAAGCAGTTGTCGACGAAATTGGTGCCTCTAAGACAGCAGTTCGGATCTCCCCATTCAGCGTTTACAATAGTGTAGGGCCAGACTCGAACCCCGAAGCCCTCTTCACCTACTTACACTCCAAGCTTGATAAGTTTGGCCTCGCATACATCCACTTGACAGAGCCGGAGTTCAGTTTCATCAAGGACAACTTCAAATGGGCGCCCCAGTATGCTCATGTCACTAAAAGGAGGATAACTCCCTTGCTCGTCAGCGGGGGCCATACTCTCGATACTGGGAATGAGGCCATCGGTTCTGGATATGCGGACCTTGTGGGGTATGGGAGGACGTTTATAGCTAACCCCGACTTGGTCAAGAGATTTGCCAAGGATGCGCAGTTGAATACCCTGAATTCGAGTACGATTTATGGTGATTACACTGCGAGAGGGTATACGGATTATCCGTTCCTTGATGAAGAAGCGGATGCTGGGATTGAAGCATAATCCATTACTACCTCCCCTACTCAATGAGAACGAGCATTCGATCATTCAGAGAATTCTGAGAAGATTGTAAGCAACGGCGACAATACTCGCAAAATGTGATGCCTTCTCAATATGGTGACAGTGACTGAAAATTTGACGTGTAAACATGGGGATGTTCAAACAGATACAAGAGATTAAGTAGTGACCAATAAATATTTCCAGTTACATACATCTTGTGTATGTATATTGCTGGAATACTGAATATAAGTTGTTAACATCTACATATTAACTTCTGAACCAGGATACGACAGTTACGTATTCTGATCAATGCTCTACAAAACTCGGATAGGCTGTCTGAAATCTGTCCAATCCTTGCAATCTCAGAGATGCCTGTACCTCGGACATCTGTAATCCTGTCATTTACAATACAAGGAATTGTACACCGAATCGGCGAAAATCAACAACATTGACTGCCCATAATAATCCAGATGCGATGTGCCTTAAGGTGAAATCAAGGTAACACCTCTCATGGACAAGCGTACGCAAATTTGCCTGCACAACGACATCCGCGATAAGCTTCCCTGGCAACTTACAAGGCTTGATTTTTAGACGAAGCCACTGCATGCGATATTAGATAGGCACCGATCTGCAACAGCGCAAAACTTATGTACGATCGCTTTCAAAGCCAGGCGTTCCTCAATGCAGCTCCCTCTTACTTATAAGTCGCAAGTAACTAAGCATGGCAAACGCTTCGTCTTCCCAGCACCACTGTTAAGAAACTGATAAGTAATTGTTGTTACAAGAATGGTACTAGGGAAGTGCTGTAAGGGAGTACAGGAAACCAACGGCTTCATTCTCCCTCCTCAAATCATGTATTGAAATTCAGATCAATACAGGGTATGGGTAGTAGACAGATTAGAGTGGCAATTAATGCGACAGCACGTAGCCATAACTTGAATAAAGCTCCCATCATAGAAAACTTTTCTCTCTTTGATCACTGATGTTCATAAAAGCAGTATCCAGATCTGTCATGGGTGCTGCATAGAAATATCAAAAAATTAGAACAATCATCTACAGTAATAAACATGCTTTGCTGCAAAATATACGCATTCAATCTGCTGCTCATATCCTGACCGCTAGCGTTTCAAACAGATATAAAGGTAAACATACCCAGCAGGTCATCATATGTTCCGTCAAATGTTCCTTCAAACGTTCTGTCAAAAGTTTTGTAATCCGAAAGTAGGGGTGGTGATAGCGGACGCAGATCAGGAACATGTAATTCCATCCGTGGTTCTACGTGACATCTTCGAGGCGGATCTTGTAAACTCTCCCTAGTTCCATTTTCCGCGTGCTGCCTCCCATTGAGACCTTTGCGAGACATGGGACTCTCTCCTCTCTGCACAAGTTTTTGCGGATCTGATTGATAACCATTCCCCTCCTCCGAATCTTTTACATGTTTACTAGGGAGAAAGGATCGAATGGAACCCTTTCCAATGTAGCTTGCTGGCTGATTAGTGTTCATGTCCACAAAGACCACTTCCCTGTTGCTTTTTGCATTTATTTGAAAGGGACTCACTGGAGTAAAATAATGTTCTGCAAAAGTAGGCTGCTGTGTCGTGTCTGCAACAGCAGGAACAGGCTTTTGAAGAGCAGCCTCAATAACTGCTTGCCTCAAGGAGGTAATACCTGCACACCATAATTCTTATGTAAGACTTAATTAAATATTAAACCCAGTTGCACAGCTGATGTATAGAAGCAGGGAAAAACTTAAGCACTAATTTCCGGACGTTTCGAAAAAGAATTGAAAATTTAGATAGATACGAAGTAACTCAAAAAAGAATCTGGTGTAGGTCAAGCAAAACGACATGCAAATCTTTAGATGTAACATTCATCTTGCCGCAAACCCTTCCATCTTTTTCGCTGCAAAGAACAGTAGAGTATACATCTAAGTAGAAAAACAGGCCATACCTTCAGCAAGATCATTTCCACCATTCCAAAGTACACCATTGCCTTCCAGACCCTCTTGTTCTTGTAACACATCTAAAGAACGCATAGATGTGACTCCAGCAAGTGCAGCTTTTGAGTGTGTAAAACCTCCAATAGCGCTTGGAGACATGTAAGGAAGTTTCAGTGCTGGACTCGGAGGTATAAGCTCTAAAGGCAGATTGGAAGGGTTCGCCGATTCGCGTACACTTTGCTCCGCATCTTCATCCTGAGAAGATAGACATAAATGTTAGAAGAAAAGAGGAAAAAATTAGCGAGATGACGTCTGCATTATCATTACGAACATGGACAAGAAGGGAAGATATGCAAGGCCCATTACTCTGAGAGTTAATGTCTGCTGTCGAGTCTCTGGAAACCCAATAAGAGAGTTTTGTGCAGCTCGAGATGCTGCCATTACATCGGGACCATCCACCCGTTCCCGCAGAGTAGTAATTGCTGCCTCCATTCCTGGCATAGAAGCTTCCAGCTGGTTCTTGAGAGTCTGTTGCAGATTTACCAGCCATGAAATGAGGTGATAAGATCCAAGAGAGACCGTCTTAAGACGCTGATCATCTTACGGGCAGGTATTGAACTGCATATTATTCTTTGATCCATGTTGTCAAAGTGAACCAGAACAAGTCTACTCATAAAAAGTTACGACCACTCATTGCAGACCTTCTGAGCATCCTAACTCGAAAGTAATCTACAATCGAGATAGATCCATAATGACAGAAATGTAAGGCTCACCAGGAGGTTACAACAGTGCTGTTTGTGTTCTGCTAGAGTTGTGCGAAGAGTATGTGCATGAACACTGTCTTCCCCACGCGCGTACTCCACCATAAGATCAGGTCCTGCCCCATTGTTTGATCTGGCCTACAAGACCCAAACAAGATACACAACGGCCATCAAGCACTCAGAACTATTTATAAAAAAACAACTAAAAATAAATTGATAGAAAATCAAGAACAAGTCACACAACCAGAACTGTAATGAGTTAGACAAATAAAGCTTTTTATTTGTCTAAGTCTCAAATTTAGACAAATAAGATTATATTTTCATCAAAATAGGATAGACTGCATACAGAAGAAAAGTCAAGTTGACTCTTCCACGGTTTCTTTTTAGGAAGAACAAAAAACACCAAATAAGTGCATAAGCAATTCTTACCAAGCGAAGAGTTTGTTTATGAACTGCTTGCAATGCATGGGTCCAGCGACGCAGAATTTCACCTACGTCCACAGGGGGTGGAGTTTTAGTAGACTTTTCATCCTCTGTTGATACTCCAATGTCAAACCTAGACCGTTGGCTTTCATATTCAACATTTGAATTATGGGCTGACTCCACGGGCAAATTAACAGATCCAAGGTCTACTGCAGCTCGCAAAACAGCTCCATCAATTCGGTACCTGCAAAATGTGTCAAATTATGAAACATCCAACACCCTCCTACGTGAGGTAATCAAGAAACCTCCTGACGCTTTCCAAATCCTCCATTCCAGAGAATGTATGTGCTCCAGTTAGTCTGTGTTTTCCACTAAAGAATGAAAACTAGTGAACTGTGTGAACCATTATAACCATTTCACAGCATGTAAAATAACATGCTCAAACAAACATCAAAACCTCCCTGGCATAGGTTTCCGAATAGATGTCTTCAGCACAGACGAAAACAGGCCAGACATAAATAAGACAACGAAGGACTTTCATCAAATAGTCATGTAAATCGCCAGTTCAGTACCTGTGCTCTCGACGAGCAATAAGATCCTCGATAGGCCCAGATGCTAACTCTGCTACTCTTTCTGTAAGACATTAAATGAAATAGGACGAATTAAGAGTCATTTTCAAGGTCCTTAATAAGTAAGGTTTAGGATCAGAGATAATCCTAATCTAAGATAGCCGCTAGAAGACCAGAAGCATTCATGCGCTGCCATATTGTATCAGAGACATCCCTCTGCCAAAAATCTAGGTGTCATACATCGCTCTTAATAAAAATCTAGACCGGTACAAATAAGAGTGAAGGATAAATGTTGTCTGAAGGAGTTGAAGAGTCAAGTGGGAGTGGGACAAAAGAGTGCAGATTATGGCTAGCTTAGCTGACTTGTGACTAAATAATATGTTCAGACCTGAGTGTGATAAAATTCCTTTCCACAACTGGGAAGCTCTAGCAACGGGAGCTGTGTCACCCACACAGTCATCATGTAAAAAATCAGCATGGTTGGATTCTTGTAGTTTCTCCAGTTCTTGATGCTGAAATGCCTGCAGATTCCAAGACAAATTCAGTGGACAGGAAATATGCTGTAACGAAAACAGAAATACAAAAGATATTTTAACCAGGTATCTATGCTCTAACAAAGAATTTAGGTCAAAAAAGAGCCGATGATCGAGGTGATTTAAGAAATCAAAAAGAGAACTGAAGACGTAACCTACAAAAATGAGTTTAAGTAGCAACCAGAAAAAGACAATAGAATTGACTATGTGTCAACCCTGAACACGCAGGACGGGCAACTACATTTCTGCGAAAAGCTCTCATTTATCTAACAAAGGAATGCCATACTTTCAAAATGAGAAAGATAGCTTAAACATTACAGTTTCTTGCATTACTTTAAAAAGATTTTAACTAAAATATAACCGTATACCTCTTCAGCACACAGAGCCCGGTGTTCAGCTGTCATATCATGGGCCAAGCTAGACCAACTGGTCTGCCTTTGAACAGCTAGTACTGTTCCTTTCATAAATCGCTTGCGTTCCAACGCAATTCGAGCCTGTAGTCAAAGCACGTGGTGAGCATGTTAGATGATTTGCGTGGCTTGAAAGCAAGTTAAACACCAGTGTACACCACACTGCAAACTGCCTCTCAGTCTACAGATAGCAGTACTATTACACAATTAAAGTTGCATATCCCCTTCCAATACCTTCGTGACAGCGAGCAGAGAAGCTGGTCGAGTATTTGGACCAACAAGCTCAGTCAAGGAAGCTGGTAATGGATTAGCCGCCACATCTGCTGGGAATGTTCGTCGATGAACTTCTCGCAATGCATGTGCTGATAGATGCCACAAAAGCTCTACAAATCTGATGCATCCAACACCTTACTTAGCATTTACCATAATATAGAGTGGAATACAGATAGGTTAATAATCGCTAACGAAGTCTAAAAAGAGAGACAGAAGACTATACCTCTGGCCACAGCAGGTCGCTAGAGAAGACACACGAGAGTTGCTCCGAGGTAAGGCCCCTTGACTTTCCAGCTCATTAATCAAGCCCTGAACTACCTGCATTAGAACACTACCGTCAACAGCCTACTATAATAAAGCCACATAACATAACAAATGACAATAATCAAGAAAGAACTCACCACTTGTAACACAACATTAATAACAACGAAAAAGAGAACACACACACTTTAAAAAAACGAAGTGAGGAAGAAGAAGAAGGTTATTTGGAAAATATAACTGAGGCGCAGTGAATGTTTCAAAAGCCATTACTTCTAGAAACAGCACCAAACACAACACGCGGAACAATTAGAATCAAAAGTACTTAACCGAGGGATATTACGAGCTGGTATGGTGAACGCTAAAATTCGAAATCTTACTTTTCGAAAATCACGTGATTGTGCAGCATCGAAAATAGGCCAAACTCCAGCAAAGTCCTGCCAATGAACATTTCTGAAATCAGAAAAATAGCCATATAAAGGAATTATCATCCACAGAATCATTTTTCAATTACCAGTTTGATCGTAACCAAGGCCCACTGTGAACTTAGAATAACATGAAGAGTTCAGAGAAACGAAATATACATGAAGGACCAACATTTACATTTTCTCTAAACGAGGGACCAGAAAACAAAAGCGTTTTAAACTGTAGACGTGACAGGGCACTGATAGCATCTTGTCGGCTACAAGATCAACAGTTCTTCACGAAGCTAAAACTATATCTGTGTCTGCAAATAGATGTGAGGGTATTTGCATTCAGCTTTAAAGAGCGTGGGAGTGATATTCCCACAAGAATCAAAAGAATGTGTATCAATACTACAATAGCATCTACTTCTATCTGGACTGCGGAGACTTAAAAAACCCTAAACATTTCGAAAAAAGAAAGTCTAAACAAAGAAACCAAAAGAAGTCAAATTGCTAGATACAAAACGCTAATTGCTACGATCACTCTTGAAAGACAATTGGAGAGATCATTCATTAATCGGCGGAGGCTTCACGCAATCTAGACCCGTAATTCCCAGTACATTCCTCCAGTGGAACTACAATACGCATTACGCCCGATCGTCTTGTGCAGCTTCACGAATTTCTGAAGGGGATTACTGACGATCAACCTTTAAGTGTAGCACTCGAGCTGAATATTCAGCATCCACAACCGGGGCAGCAAGGACCCCTACCATATCAGAACTTACAGGGCTGAGTAACAAATACGCATGATATGAGAGAAATGAGACTTAAGGAAGAGAAAACTACCTTGGCCGAGAGCGTTGGACCCCTTAATGCACAAATGAGAAAGTGGAGAAGTGCTTCACCAAGACGGGGATTGGAGTGCCTGAATAAACCAGCTCGCATGCCAGCTCCAGGCCCAAGCACATTAGGGTCAAGTCCAAGGAGGAGACAATTAGAATACAACGCTGCCTCCACGTCTCCTTCTCTCTCCTTCTCCTTTTCTTTCTCACGCTCCCGATCCCGATCAGCATTCTCTTTTTCTCTCTCTCTGTCCTTCAGCGAGGCGTCCATTGTCTTAATACGACCACACCCTTATCCAGTCAACAGGAAATGCCTGTACGTATTTCGAATGTGTCTACTTCTTTAAAACAAGTGATCCACGATCGAGGCCAAAGTTTGATTGCTCGACACACAAATCCTGAAATGCCTCCAGTCTGCGAACCCCGTGGGAATAATCATCGTCTATAGATAACAGGCCCGGAGCATATCTGACGCGAAACCCTTACGATCCGTACCATCGCTTCTCAGCGCCTTAAACCACCTTACATCCCTGTAAATTCACCATCGCCTCAAGATCTGGGCGTCATGAGCTCCAATACGGAAGAAAGGAACCCATCGCTACCAAACCTAGTTCACCGCCCTATTTCAACGCCATAACACCATGCCTAGCTACAATACCACTCGAGATGGGAATGAGTTCACCACAGTCCTACGAACAGCTAACGAGCTGTGCCGCAACCGATACCGCTCGAGGCGACACCGCACTGGAATCCAAACCAGCACAAGGACATCCTCTGCGCACGGAAGATGAACTCTTCCGGGGTCCAGTTCAAGCAAACAAATCAAGTTCAGAATACATTGCGCAAACTCCCGTTCGTGAAAGGCCCAAACCAACACCACCTCCTCCACCAGCAAAACCGACAACAATCATAAAATCCAGTACACTTAAAGCCTCTTCCTTCTTGCTCTTCGTTTTTTTCTTCAGTGCCACCGCAGACCTATCACCGTAAAATTACGCCACACACTCTCTCTCTCTCTCTCTCTCTCTCTCTCCATCCCTCTCAATATCCCAAGCTGCGCCAACGAACACACGCGCCAAACCTGCTCCCCTGCCTTCTCCCCGCCCTAGAGCCACCTTACTAACATTGCCATCACTTTTTCTAAACGCGCTCCTCGCATCTTCTCAGATCGAGCCAAGAAGAGTGCCACCTCGCCGCCTCCACGGGCAGACTCGCCGTCCTCGACTCCGCACCCCAATTGGCAGCAACAATTGACACTGACACTTTCGAGCAGGCAAGAGGAGACACCGCAGAGTGCCAGAGCCTCGCAGCAGCAGTACCGCTCTGGACTGTCCACATAGCCGCAGAGTGCATCATGTGAGGGCCTCTGATGCTGAGAGACCCGATGTTAGGAAAGTAGAGGCTGAGGGATAGCAATGCAGGCAAACCAAGCACGGGGACTACATACTGGTCGCTTGCGAGAAGCAAGGGTGACAGAAAAAGCTTGGAAGTAGCGAAAGCGAAGGTGGGTACTGTGAGAGAGAGAGAGCGAGAGCGAGAGAGAGGCCGGGGGCGGGGGGGGGGGGGGGGGGGGGAGAGCTGGGAGAGTGCGACGGAAGGGAAGGTCAGGGTTTGCTGGGCGTGGCATTCAAATTTTGCCTCTACCCTCAGGAGTCTGGCTGAGGTGTTATTGGATGAAATGCCGTTGCCAGCTCGGCGCTTTTTGCTGCCAGCTCATTGGGGGGGGGGGTTGCTAGCTTTGTTTCCAGCGGGAATGGACACTGTAGGAATAGGGCGTGAGGTCCCCCATTCAACTATTTTCTTTGCATGGGAGTGTGAGGTTTTACAATTGAAGTAAAGTGAAGGCTCATTATTCCTTTATATCTATGTATCTGTGGGAGGGGTAAAATTTTTAAAAATTTTAATGCACCAAATTGTTGTTATTTTATTATTATTAGAATTTTAATGACATAATATATAATTTTTCATTGGAAATGATGCTTTTATGTATAGATATAATTTAGAATGCTGAAAGGAAAAAAATATGTGGTAAACACACTCTCTGGACAGTATTTCCTACAGTTCGCTGAAGCTCTGTCACTCGCACAAGAATAAAAACAAGTATTCTTACTTACACTTTTGTCTTTTAGTAATCAATGAGAAGGATAATGCAGGCATGATTTTGTTCCGATGTAATACTCACATGTACGTATACAAGTCAATTCTCCAGTGTGTTGTTATAAAGTCGTGTTTTAGCACAAACTGTATGCACACAGAATTTATGATTTAATGCCTCTTTTTGTTTTTAGGCAAAGCAAAGCCAAAGAATAACAGAAGTAACAACACTTCAAGTGATTGAAGATCTCTCTACACAAACGCAATGGATCACATCAACATGACATAGAAAGATGTGCACCAAATAAAAAGGGGATTAATTGTTCTTGCGGAGGTAATGTTGAGTGAGGAGGTCAGTTGTGCGAGCGTCAACAGTGTGACTTGTAATTGGAGTGAGTTAGTGAAGGACTCACCGCCCTTCAAACCTTCTACCTGGTCCCCTGGCCCTAGTACCAATCCCTCCCTCCATCTTTCCTCCTCGCCTAATTCGTAGGAGACTCTCTGCCCAACTGCCCGTCATCCGACCTGCTCACCCACCGCAAAACCCACACCCCCCTTCCTTCCAGGTCGGCACCTCCTACCCACCCATCCACATCAGAGCAAACCCTAGAATGTATATGCAAGAGCAGAATGGCAGTCCTCTGCTTTTAATCTGTTTTGCCTGAGCCCGGACTTCTTCTTCTTCTGATTCCTCATCCCATTCCTCCCTTCTCCACTTTATTTTGCTTCTTTTTTTGTGTGTAAATATATAGAGGAATGTTAAGTAAACCAAGCTTTTACTAAATTGACCCTTTCATCATGACAAAAAAAACATAAGAATGTTTTGAATTTACAATAGCCTCATAATTTTGAATTCTATCATTGGAGGTTTTTTCTATCTTTTACATGGTTTTTTAAAAAAATATCCTTCAAATTGTATCAAATTACTATCAGATATTTTTTTGATATAAGCGTTTGAAAAATAAATACTAATTTTTCTTCTTAATATAATGTTTTGTAATTGTGATAATTAACATACAACGTTTTTATAAAAAATAGATGAAATTATAAAGATGTTATAATTAGATGAGACATTTCATATATATATACATATATATATATATATATATTTATACAATAAAAAATGATTTTAGGCTAAATACATATAAAATAAGATGGATATGCAAAATTGCCAATTTTTATACACATTCACTCTTAATCAATTTAAAAAAAAAATACATTCTTGTAATTACTTTTAAAAACCCTTTAAAATAATCATGTTTTTTTAAAAATATATATTGTATTTTTTATAAAGATTTAAAAGTAATAATTTAAATAAATATAAATTGATTTAACACAAATTCTTCTAAACCTCTTCTAGAGTCTGAGTTAGCTTGTAACATATAAAATTTCTTATTATTTTGATTTTCTGCTATTATTATTTTTTAAAATAGATTCAATGTATATTCTAACTTTTCAAACATATCCATGTCAGATTATTGGTTTATGTACTAAATATAAAATAAAAAGGAAATAATTTTGTTGAATATAAATCATTAATCTATGTTTTCCACATTAGAAATCATTAAAAAAAATTATGTTATTCTTTTTACATTATAATAAACTATTGATACTTTAAGGTAAGCACATTCTAATTTATGCAAATTTTTAAAAATATAGCAACTATCAATGTCAAATAGAGCTTTTTAAGAGAGATTTTCTAGAAACTGTTAAAAAGCCTTGCTTTACCTTACTGAAAGGAAGAAAACATTCAGTATACAATTTAATTTATTTGTACCAAAGAAAGCATATGGAATTTTTAAGTCAAAAAAATATTATATAAAATTTAAAGTTTCAAAATTATTAATTAGATAATTGTATCATACAAAAATTAGGTATTATTTTGAAATAATAACCAATTTTTGAGACCATGTCAGAGATTCTTTCTAAAAATATTACAAGGATATAAAATTTCAAAGCTTACAAAAAAATTTGATAGTAAAAAGCACTTTTAAAATTTGGTAAACACAGTGCCTTGTTAAGAAAATTCTACAAATCTCAAACAGCAACAATTGTTTTTTATGAGTTCAAGATGCACTATGAAATAACAAAAAATGCTGCATTGGATTCAACCTCTGATTTTATAAAATTTTATTATTTTAAAATATAATGTAATAATTATGATCTTAGATCTATAAAAAATTAATTTTTTTTAATATGCAAATCAATGCAAATTGATTAACCCATGCAAAACTACCACAATATAATTGTCATACAATCAGTCCTTCAACTACTATAAAAACTGGTTAAATTATTTGATATAATGGAGCTATAAATGTTAACTAAATTAGTACTCATGGCAGAATAATTAATACCTAAATCATCATTAAAAAAATGATCTATGTATGTATGTATGTATGTATATATATATATATATATATATATGTGTGTGTGTGTGTGTGTGTGTGTGTATAAAAAAAATATATATCTTTACTTTATTAAAGCTTGAATACTAAAAATAAATCAAAACAAGAAAATTAATGTTGGGAGATACAATGTACATTTTTATAAGGAATAAAGTGTAGTTTAAAAGGTAAAAGTTGTTTATATTGAGAGATTTATTTATGGTATCTTTTTTGTACATTTAATTTGCTTAAACCACTTCTAATTTATTTTTATTATTATATAACATTATGGTAACCTGATTTATATAATACTAATCAACTTCCATGTTTAAATTATAATTTAAAAAAAAACCATTGGTGATTACATACATATTAAATTTAAAAATCTTAAATAATATATATATATATATATCTAATTTACCATCACTATATGTATTTAACAATGTATATATATATATATATATATATAAAAGTTAATTTTAAAGTATTTTACAAAAACAAATTAAATTGTCATCAATACTATATTGACTTGTATTACACAATTTTTTTTTTCTAAAACTTATTCTATTTTACTTAGGTGTTATTACAAATAATATTTTAATTTTTTAATTTGATTTTTTTCATAAACTATTACAATTGTATCTTATATATATATATATATATATATATATATGTATAGAGAGAGAGAGAGATTAATTGATAGTTTTGTTTATAATTAACAATTCTTTTTATGTATCAAGGATAGCAAAACCTCAAGATGAAGTTGTAATGAGCCAAAGACCATATAATTCCGAATTTTGGTAATAAAATAGCTTGTTTATTGATTAGTGCGTGTTTTTGGTTGTTGTTGTTACAAAATTTTGTTTTGCACTTGTTCATAGAGCTTAAAGTTTGAATAACACTTATAATGCAAGTTTTTCATATATGTCCCAAATGGCTAAATTATTGACTAAGTCTTTAAGCTACCAATTACTTACCAATATCTAGAAAGTCAAATCCACATCTATAAAACTTTTAAGAAGATTGTTTCTATAATAATATCAAATTTATATACTTCTACTTATTTCTATTTTTTCTTCTAATATAAGTAAATTTTAATATAAATATATATGTTTATGATATTATCTTTCTTTTTAAAGAGGAGTTTTATAAGAAGCAATGATCTTATATTGAGAAAGTGTAAGATGCAACAAATTGTATTTGCTACATACTTTGATCTTTGTTTTTTTTAAAGTTAATTAATGGATCATATTAACTATTAATAATATTATATATATGAATAAGATGACTATTTTATTATTTGATTATTATTGATGCTTTAAAAACTCTCTTCAAATAAAATATTTGTAATACCATTAGAAGTGATTTTTATTTCTATTAATATTATATAATATTAGAAGTTTTTTTCAAAGTTGTGATAGTAAACGTTTTATACTTTACCATGTATTGGAAGATGAATATGTTATTTTTAAGGATCTTTACTTCTATTATGTCGTCTTGTAGGTTGTGACAATTTCAATACCTCATCCAATAACTCAATAAATAATAGTTTATAAGTTGAATATATTAGCTCGCGATTTTTTTATTTTCTTAGCCCTATAAATATATAGAACCATAAAGAAGGATATAAGTATTAAGAACAAAAATTCAATGAAGGAAAATAAATAAGTGAAACTTTTCTCAAAGAAAGATGATAAAATGGAAATAAAAAGTATATATATTAGAAAGGAATTAGAATGGCTATTGCTAAAAAACAAAAAAACTAGAGATCTTTGAAACCAGATTGGAAGCAAGAAAAGAATTGACAAGAATGAGAAAGACTTCATCCTTGCCTTCACATATATTATCTAACAAAGAGCTATGTGGTGACATTCTATAAGACCTCCAACACATGTCTAATTTGTGAGACACTTATCTTAACTTATAAGGTTAGCTTCTTATATGTGCGCCACATGATTAACTTATATTACAAGCTATCAATACATAGAATATATGGTTAGCTTATTTGCCAAGTGTTCAACTTATTAATCACCTATAGATACGTATAAAAACAATATCATGTCTATAA